ATCACAGAGCTAAAGCAACGAGTGGAAAGACTCGAAGCTTCGCAACAATAGGTGGTTAACCATGTGCATACCATCATCGGGCGCTTTGCAGCGGACGGTGAAAACAATGATAGTCGTTTTTGCCAATTGTTACAGTCAGTGCATTCTCTTCACATATTTTAGGTATGCAGCGATTGATGCACTCTTTCCCGCAGCATTTTGAAAAACAACCAGTTGTGTTAGCACCATGGAACAACGCACCAGATCGCGATCTCCGACGGCATCACAATGGAGATGGCATTGGGCCACTAACGGCTCTTCATGGTGGCGTGAGGACTTTATCGCATCTCAAGAGTGGATACGAAAGCATTCGGAGCAACCTGATCAGCGTCCGACATCAACGACTCCTACCCAAAAGGAGACAGTATCTACTACATCAACTCCTACATCCAACAAGCGAAAGCGATCAAGAACTCCGTAAGCAGCATTGCTGAGTTGACAATTAGATGCACATTTGCTGCCCCCGGCAGCCAACAACCACACAGCAAAGCTGTGCTACGAACTCCATCATATCTGATGAGGTTCAACATTAAGAGCATCATGTCGAAAGGTCATACAGGTCTGCGCGGTTAATCAATTGATGTCTCTGTGTACCTTTCTCTCTCTTCTGAAGATCAGCGTATGCACATGCCTCAATGCAGTTGTGACTCCGCAGCCATTTCTCAGAACTACAGTTGCTGAAACACATTAGTATCGCACACAGATGGACGAGGACGACGACAGCAGCCTATGGGGATCCGAAGAGATTGATGCCTTCTTGAGGAAGGATGACACCACCACATCCTCCCATGCAGTCAGTCACACACACAAGCAAAAAACAAAGCACACAACGAGGACAAAAAAGAAGAAAGACAACAAAGACAAAAAGGACAAAACAGTCATGAAAACAAAGAAAACACGCAACATATCACCACCATCCCAATCCACAACACAGCAACGACGCCAACATCCACATACTACAAGACGAAAGAGGACACGCTCTTCGCATTCAACATCATCAGCGTCACCTACGGCAACGTCACACATGGCTGAGGACGCACACCGGTCTCCATCTCGAGATCCTTGGTCTTCTGACTCGATTGCCCCTTACGATATTGTGCATCCTACTATTCAGCACAAGCGGTCCAAAACCGCTTGTGCAAAAATGCTGGTACGTGCAGGATTTAGGTGTCGATGCCATTTCAAGATCATGAGTGACTGTCCCAACAAACTCGCTGTTGGACCCTAATTCTCAGGACGGATTAGGGCTGCAAGATCCGCTAAGCGTGACAAAAAGCCTGCACATGCGAGTGTCAGGACGACACCACTTTGTTGTTTTGCCAGAGCACACATCATGTCCATGTTGATTTGCATTCCTTGTTCAAGCTTTTGTCGGTTGGTAGCAGCAAAAATATGACAAAGCGAAAGGCTGCCGAGGTCGGCCTTCCATGGTACTCCATGGCAGGACAATGTTTTCGGATGACTGTTGAAATTCCACCCGACCGCATCACCAGAGACAAGCACATTTTCTTACACGTGGTGCTTTGTCTGGGTGACAACGTTCTCCAAGCTCGCAAGATCTTCTCCTACCGCATCAAGGAGATCACCGGCAGAACTCCTAAAATCCCAGCTTTCTTCTTCGAACAAAACCGTCGACGACTACATGATTGGGATTCAGTCACCACTTTAGCCACGTTGGCGCCGGTGCTTTTTGTTAGAACCTGTTCGGATCAGGAAATACGACAATCACCCGATCGCTATTGACAGCGAGAAAAGTGCGCCATTCACTCCTATTGCCGTGCATCAGACCTTTCACTCTACTTGAAGCATGTACGCCCCATTGGGGCTGTGTGTGTGTGTGAACCTCCCTAGCACATGGGAGCAGAGGGTCACTCCTACACTGTTTGCAATTTCACTTTTCAACATAATCCGGCATTGGACATTTACCAAATCAACTGTTGCAGGGGGATCAGGCTTCCAGTGACTGACCTGATCCAACGAAGCTAGGTCACTGGAAGGGAAGTGATTGAGGACGCTCAGTCATGTACCTGCGCAATTTTCGGCAGCCCCCTGTGGTGCCAAGATTAGTTTGAGGACAGGCCCCCTGTGGTGTCCAGATTATACAAACAAGTTGTACGGTTGCCACAATCTGACAAACTTTTGCAACATGAACAACATGCCTCTCTTTTTCCTCTTGCACTCGTACTCTTGGCCGAATCCATCAGTGTGAGTGTGTGTGTCTGTGTGTGGATCTTGATTTGGTGCCCTTCGAACAAGTCGAAAGACGGAGGGAGCGTGCAGTCCAGCTTCTACTGTAGGAGCCAGCATCCGAAGAAGTTTGCGCTGCGCCCCTGCCAGATCACCGAAATTGACGCGAACGTCGAGCAAATGCATGCAGAGCAGATAGAGGCTGAGGAGGCTGAAGCCACGGACGAGGCCAGAAAGGACCGGCCAAACCGTCGAGTGTGGCAGCAACCTTTGCCGACAGTCGCTTCAGACATCCTCATCTCGACTTTCCAGGAAGTCATTCAGAAAAAGTTTGCCTTCTTGCGCGCTTTGGAGGTGGCGTGCTGGGATTTTGCGAGCATGAGCTTCTGTCAGTTACCTTGCTTTAAACTGTAGCGTTTTGTGTATGAGGTGGCCAAGGAACTCTCCTCGATGATTTGTGATTTGACGAGCTGGGTGTACGCCACGCCAGAGCTTTTGAACGTTGTGGCAGCCGCATGGCTCGACCTGCACCTTGCGCGGTCGGTTGGTGGCCTGGTGAAGATGTTTTTGCAGCCGAGGCACTTGCACATTTCGCCGGCTACACGAAAGCAGACATCTATCCCAGGAGAGCACCTTCGTTTGCAGTGGCCCGGTCACTACATTCCTACATCTCGTGGCAGGAGAAAGACGACGCTAAACTGGCAGCGCCTGAAGCAGATTCTGCAGAATCCGGTTCAGTTGCTGGAAAAGGTTGGCACGGTTGAAGTCGAGGGTCCCAGGCGGGAGAGTTTGCGGACCAATTCGGACTCCGATGTGATCTCTTGACTTCCTCTGTGAGTCGCAGGAAGGGTGTTCTTCCGGAGCACCTGCATGCCTACATCACGCAGCTTGGATCCCCGGCAGAAATGGATGCCGAGAAGGCGAAGGACTCCCTGAAGCTCGTCTCTACAAGTTTAGCTGTGTGGGTTGCAGCTTCGATGTTCGCAGGAGATTGCGCCCGCGTTCTTCCTGCTCTTCAATGTGCTTCAGGTGGGTTGCAGAGCTCTGAGACTCTTAGCCTCAGAGCCTCAGTTCGGGTGGCCCTAGGCCGGGTGCGCCTACCGCACAGCTGACCTGGAGCTACGAAAGGCCGAGTTGCGAGATCCCGTCAGTGAAAAGACTTTGCTTTGCAACGTGTGCTGTTCCGGCTTTTCTGGTGGCCAAGAGGCGGAGTTCAATAAGCAGAAGGAAGAAGCGGGCGAGGTCTATGCGTGTGTGGGTGTGTGTCGTGCACGCAAGTCATGATACGTGGGATGGGCGGCGACGCCCTTGAAGCAATGGGCCTTCACAGGAGTACGAGGGGCCTGCCTTGGAAGAGCTTGATGACGACTTCCAGGCGTCCTGATATTGGCCAGGCGCCTAGTCGCGAAACAGCGGACAGTTTGCATAGTTTGCATAGCTTGCGAACCACGGGTCATGTATCAAAAGAGTCGACTCGGCCTTTCAACGAGCGAAACAGATGCAGACTCGTGCAGGCAGTGCGCCACATGAAGAGGGCTTCTAACGTGCTGAACTTCAGCATCTTGCATGCCGTTCTGTTTCACTCGAACCCTGGACCCCTTCCAGGGCGTGGTTTCACAAGACCTGCAGTTGCCTCAAACCAACAGCATGAAGCAAAAGAATCGAAGGCTCGTACGTTGTCACCGAGGCGAACAGCAGCAAGAGAGCCTAACTGATGCTTTGCACGTGCTTCCACGGCAGAAAATTGCAGTCCGTTGTTGCTGCGTGTCTTTCCCAACCAGTTTCTTCCAAGCTTGGCTCCCCAATGGCTTTGGTGTTCTTTGGTGCCTCGCAGTGCCACGTCGCAGCGGTTGAGGCGAAGACAAGATCCGACATTTGTGGTACCCTCCACGCGGCACAGGCAACGGAGGAGAAGCTCCAAGATCTGCCTCGCATGAACTGACCCAGGAGGCGGATTGCAATATTCCATTCCAGGCCTTCTTGTTGGTCGGGCACTCCGAGACTCAATGGCTTTAATTTGTTCGTCTTCTTCCTGCAGACTCTTAGGTCTCTGAGCGGCATTTGTGCGAAGAGTTGTCAAGAACGAACAGACGAGGGCCTGCCGCAAGGCTCCTTCATGTGCAGAGTACAACTGCATGTCACCATTCTCTCTTGCCACACGTGGCCTGGCCAGGCCACACCCCTCGAACTCAACAAATCGCCTCAGACCCAAAACGCCGGTTGCATATACGATCCCACTGCACAGATTCCAGGTTAGTGTTGTGTCGTGGACCAGAAGATGCGCAAGACTCGGCAAATGCTGAAGCGCAGCACTATAACTTAGGGTCCTCCAATGTTCTTGTGACAGCACCCCCGGCGTGAAGGTTCTGCAGCTCTGTGCGAGAAGCTTCCACCTGTTCGACCGAATCAATTTGTCCACTGCGCCGCCAGCCAAGAAACACCAAAGGCACACAGCTGCCCATAGAGTTTCGTGGAAGCAGCAGTTGGCGAAGGCTTCAGCAGCTCGCCAAGTCGCGGGAAGCGAGAAGAGATGATCCGCGCACAGCTCGGAAAGTTCCTTAAACTTAAGGTTCCGAGGCACTGGTCGCACAGCTGGTTTTCCCGAGCTGAAGCTGGTTATTGTGGTGCTTGGGACGGCGCTTGGCTTCGCAGACATTGGCTCAAGACTGGAGTTCTCCCTTATTAGAAGGGTGTTGTGCCTTAGGCCTCCGGCCGGGAACCTGGAAGATAGCGGCTTTTCCGCTTCAGCGGGGCGTGAACATCCGAGGCTCGGGATGTTTACCTGCTGTTGCGTAGATGAAAAGACGCTTGGCTTGCAGAGAGCCTGCATCAAGCCACAACGCGGAATCGATGTTTTGCGATGGTTCGCATACCTCTTTGGCTTCGAGAAGCTTGCTATCGATGTGCTCAGGCCTGCTGATTTTGTGGAGTTACAAATGGACAGTGCCTTCCCAGAGGGAAAGGCAGGCCCTGGCCCAGTCCAGAGTCGAGTCGAGGTTGTGTTCTGGTGTGATGAGGGTGGAGTCAAAAGAGCTCCACTTGTGCAGGGCGCGGCCTCGCCAACTGCTCCCGTGACGTTCGAAACAAGGCTGCAGGCTGTTTGCTGTCCTTCTTGGTTTTCACAGGCTTGGGACCTGCAATGAAGCCCTGCCAAATAAGGACATCTTCCTTGACCGTGCCCCCGGCACCTACTTCGGTGTTGACCTTTCCAGTGCGGGAAAGGCCCTCCCGCATTTTGTTTTTCGTCATGCATTGTTTGAAGCCTTAACTTCGTCGCGTGCTGGGCCGGTGTCTTTGTGATTCTTGACTTTGTGGTTGTGTCCCCAAGGATGTTTCTGGATGCACACTGCTTCGACTTGACTCCAGGAACCACTTGACCCTAAGTTCTCGTGAGGCATGTGTTGTCACCAGTGTCACCACCGACGGCCTCATCGCGGATTGGAACTCCAAGTGTAGCGAAGAAACGAAGGCAGATTGGCACGCCGCTTGCCCGAGCTTGCTTGCAGCTGGAATATGGACCTGCCAGGTGCAGAAGTACGACAGACTGTATGCAGTGAACGGTCAAGCAAGCGAGAAAAGCAAGGACACGTGACATGTCCCTGTAAGTTGAAACAGCTCAGGTGACTTTGAATCACAGTCCGCAGTCCAATGCGAGCCTGATGAGCTCGCGCTGTGCAGGAGATCTTGGATCTGCTGAAATCGACGCACAACAAGATGGTGCTCACCTTCCAGAGAGCGGTCGTGAGCGAGGTTAGGTCTGCACCGCAGAGTGCATCTGCAGCCCACGTTGGCGTTTGCAGGTCAAGATTCAGCGAGGTGCCCTAAACTTGGGCATGCATTTGAAAGACGGCCCCCATTTCCTTCTCGTGCTCGGTGTCGATGATGGGGTTGTCAAGGACGCAGTCGTACGCTCCCTTGGTTGCTTTGAGAGCTTCATAATCATGATTACATAATGCCGTGCTTTGCCCCAGGACTTCAACAAGACGGTGCCTGCTGAGTGCCTAGGCATTACATTGTACCTCCAGCATGCCGCCAGCGCGGCGGGCTGTCGGTGAGATTGGGCAGGTGCCGGCTAAGCAGGATTTTGTGCTGAGCCTCCGGCGGGCGTGCAACTAAGGCAGCAGATCCAGCAGTCGGACCGAATCGTGGGTGTAGATGGCTTTGAAGGAGTTGGAGCAGCACTCATGGACAAGGCAACATGCGGAAGATGCAGCGGAGTGTTAAATATGGGAGCAATGAATGACGAAGGTCCGAAATGCAGGTCCCGAGGTAACGTTGAAGGTCTTGGCTTGGAGGCGAGGTTGCAACACGCCAGCAGTCATGCAGTCTTCTCCCTCACCGGTTGCTCTCTTTGCAGACCATAGACTGGATTCTGCGGTGCTGGGGCCTCAGGGCCTCAGCCTCACAGCCGACGCCGAGCGCAGATTGGCCCGCATACTCAAGCCAGGCGGGCAAGAGGTCCCAATCGCAGTCGAGGATGTAGAGCTCCACGCTGGAAGCAGCCTGAAGTGATGTGTAACATATCAGATCAGCAGCAAATAGCATTTGTGAGTTTTCGTTGTGTGCAAGTTGCTGCCTCAGAGGAATGGGCATAGATGTTGATGGAGCTGTTCATGTTTATGTTTCTGCGAGAGAGCCGTGCCGACAGTGCAGCAACTTGCAATGGCTGTGCACTGGAAATGTTACCTTGCCCACAAAGCTCATTGAAAACCACGGAAGCACTTCTGTTGCTTCCTGCTTCTTGCACTTGCAGTGTGTGGCAGTGCAGGTGCTGCACAGCAAGCTGGATCCCTCACATTTGCCAGACAGCGGGTGCTGAGGCGATTTGAAGAGCTCCTGGACAGGGTGCACGAGGCCTGTGGCAATCAGAAGCCAGCCACCTGTGGACTTCATAGCGATCCTGAGTGCAGGCTATTCCAGAGTTTACAGCACAGGGTTTGGCCAACGTTGGAGCCCAAACTAGGGTTCTTCAACAGCGAGTTGGTTGCAGAGGTTGCTCCTTGGGTCCTGGGTGCTAGGCACGGCTCAAAAGCGCATGCGTGAGATGCTGGTTGCTTCTGGCAGTCTCGGCTTGGTTCGAGGGTAGCAATTTTCCTGCATTCAGAGCCTCGCGCTGCTGGACAGCTTGAGTGCCTCTTCTGCTTGCGCGTGTCATTTTCCAGAGTGCAACAGCCCTCTTCGAGAGACCTGTGTTGGAGGACTTGCCATGAGTGCCAAGCTCATAGGGGAGAGCATGACCTTGTATCGGCGCTGTGGCATGTTTTTGGCAAAGTTTGCAAAGTTTATTGTCAGCGCAAGCAGACCGGAAAGTAGCTGAGTTGTTGCTCGAAGTTACAGCTCAGGAGCATCATGAGGCTTCATCGTTTGAAGCTTGACCCGCAGATGCGCAGCCTGGGGGACACTTACGCAAGGAAGGAGTTCAGGCTTCATACCAAGCCCCAGGCCGATGCTCTTCTTACCGACGTACCATGCGATGCTGAAGTCGGACTTGGCATCAACTGACTTGGTCTCACAGGTCACGGACTCGCAGCGCCAGATGTTTCTGCGAGAGTGGAAGTCCTATGTGGCAGCTTGGCAAGACGGTGCTGAGGATGTATGGACTGTGTGGCTTGTCGTCCCTCGCAGGACATGATCAGCTTGCAAGAGACCGTGGTGGGTCGCACGTCTCAAAGTAGAAGAGAGATGCAATATGCAAGGAAGAAGTTCTGAGTTCTGGCGGCAACGCTCAATCTGTCGGCCGTTGGCCGTTAGCCAGACACGAGACTGGCCAGGCCAAGAGCTCAGCGCCGAACAGAAGTCGAAGCTCAACGACCAACAGAAGGCGAGCGGAGCTGAGTTGGATAGTGCACCGCGCCACGAAATTGCGACCGTGTGTCAGGCGCCTCCTTCTGCTAGAAAACTAACTCGGGACTTAAGCATCGCCACGTGTCGGCTGATCGCATCGGAGCGGCAGGGTTCCAAAAGATTCTTCCCGTAAACGGGCGCGTGTGCACAACGAAGATCAAAGCCTGAACATGCAGGGTCGAGTTCTGCTAGTTCACGCTCTATACTGTTCCGAAAGGGTGCGTGCAACCCAAAAGAGGCACCTTCATTTTGCTGCGACGGGCGGTAGAGTGCTTGGCAGTCACCAGAGTCGTTACAGAACTCTTGTGGACCCGTCATCAAAGATGGCGGATCGCCTTCCTCGGGCATTGCCTTCGCCGCTATACACACAACCAACACAAACAAACAACACTAAACACCAACCAGCCAAGAACAAAGCGCCTCTAAGGGGGATGCCGCAAAACATCGCACAACCCAAAAGCCGTAAAGAAAAAAACCAGTTGGCTCGCGTCACAACTTTTTGTAGGCCTGTGGCACAAGTGGTTGGAACCTGAAGGTTCCGCCTCTTAGGCGTTTTGGAGGAAACCTCCGTCGAGTTCCACTCGACCAAAATCCCCAGACACTGAGGTTTAGGGCACTGCCTTTACAGCTGTTGGGGAAGGCGTCTCGGGCACTTCCTCAGTAGCCGCTGTTGGACACCCTCGCGGAGGATCGCTGTCAGGAGGGTGTACAGCAGGCCCAGCAGCGGTCGTAGTCATCGGTGAAGTGGATGTCCCCATGGTGCTGTCGAAGTAGATCTGGGTGGTGGGCTTTGAGCCTTTGACCTGCTGCCAAAGCGTTTGGCCGTAGGCTGGAGCCTTGGTTCGGGCCGCCTCCTCTGTTGGGCGGTGCGCCTCCGGAGCTGCTGCCTTGGACGCCGTGGTGGGGTTCTCGGCCTCGCCGAGAAACTGCTCCATCGTCGTGCAAGACTCCACCGCCTCTTGCGTCCACTATTCCTCGCCTCTCGAAAGCATGGAGCCTCCTTAGTAGGTATAGAGGCGGTGGCTCCGGCCAGGTGACATCATGGGCGGCAGTGCCCTCGCTGTCTTCCTTGCCGTTGAGGGTTGTGGAGTCACCGTCCCCAGGCTAAGTTGGTGCTGGATTGCCCGCAGCCGTGACCGATGTCTCCGGAAAGCCACCACGTGTCCCACCAGCGCCAGGTCCACAAGGTACTGCGGGTCGGCATCAGCAGTCGACTGCGTTGCCTTCACCGCCTGCTTGGGCAACTCCTGAGTGGCGCCGCGGCGGTTGCGAAGATTGGCGGTAGGCCGCAAGGTGTCAGCAAGAAGCCCACCACAGCATTGCTGGAGTCCGCCATCCTCTCCAGCAAAGAGCGCTGCTGTGTTGCATTCAGGCCTCTGAGCTTCTTCTCCAGGTCGGCACACTCCTTCTCGATGCGTTTGATCTCCGCCTTCTCCTCCGCCGACAGCTCGTCGTCGTACTCGTCGTCCGGGTTCCCGGGTCGATCCTCGGGGATCTCGGTGCGGAGCTGCATCAGCCTCAGCACTAGGACTTGGCGGTGCGCCTGGGTCCGCAGCTCCGTGGGACCATCATCGGGCTCGACCGTTGGTTCCGAGCCCAAAGCCGACATAGTCCACCTTCCCATCGGGTTCCGGTGGTGCTCGGCCCGGCAGTCGACCAGGGCGAGGAGGACCGTCGAACAGCTGGAAGTGAGAGCCCAGGCTCCGGTTGGCTTGAAGTTGAAGAGCGGAATTGGCTCGCCAGTGCGCTAGGCAAGGGCGTATCGTCCTGGAGCTCCACGATCTCCGCATCCAGATCCACTATGGGTGGAACACCATGGTTGGCAGCCTTGAGCCTCGCCAGTAAGCCCTTCTCCCAGCAAAGGAAGATGATATCCCTGGCGACCCGGAGGATATACACCACGCCACACGACCCCAGGATTGAAAGCTGCTCAACGCACGGGTTGACATGAGGAGGTGCTGATGACCAGGCGGAGCGCCTCTGAGTCCACACCTCGGGTTGTGAACCACAGTGCCTCTCCGTTGGGAACCGTAATTGCCATCGGTGTGGTACGTTGGGCGGAATTCGGCCCTGCCTTCTTTGGGGATCGCTTCGGGAGATCCCATGGCTCCGTCCCTGGCTCCTGGTTGTAGTTGCCCGGTGCGAAGGAAGTGGGGACCGAGGGGGTAGAGCATCCGCCAGCAGAAACCCCAGTTTCAGGTGGGCCCACCACGAAGTCGCTGCTGGGCGGAACGCCTGATCCAGAATCGGCTCCAATTCCTCCAGCATCGCCAGCACCAGGTGCGCTTCCATGTGGATCGTCGGTGGGAGCTTCTGAAGTGGGCGTCTGGTTTGGTTCTCCTTGGCCAGAGTCCGCTTCATGCTCGGGCTCGGGGGCATCCCACAATCTCCTCCACCGGCTGCCCGTGGTTCACCAACTCCGCTCCTTTGCTCCTGCACTCGTTGCGACCATTGTCCAGCACCGCAGCCATTGCAACCATAGCTGAGCCGGTTGGCCTCGCCGCATTGGCAGCAGAACCTCATGGTGGGGCTTTCGTCTGCATGGGCTTGGGCGGTGTCGCCGTAGAAGAGGAAGCCGGAGGAGCTGGGGCTGGGGCTGCCTTCGAAGGTGGAGGGGATGCCGTAGGTGTCGGAGTCGGCCGCTGCTTTGCTTGGGGGGCTGCGGGGGAGGTGGCGGTGTTGCCTTCTTAGAGGCCGTGCTGGTCGAAGAGCTGCTTGCCGGTCCACGATGGGATGGTTTCGCGATAAGGCCTGCCGGGATCTGCTTCTGGGCTCAATAATTCGATATGAGAGCCGTGCTCAGCGGAGACTGTCGGTCGCGCTCGCACACTCGCCATCCCCTCTGACTCTGAGAGTTCAGGGCCCGAGTGTCGTGAATTGCCGGAGCATCGATGTAATGCAAAAATGCATTCCTCCGCTCCGCTTGGGGTTGGGACGGGATCTTCCGCTGGGGGGGGGATGTGGAGCGAGCAAGAGTCGCCGAGAGCACTTGGGAAGTCCAGAGCTGAAGCATCTAAAAGCAGTCCGTGTTTTAAAAGAGCCCACCACAAGGGATCCTCTGCCGCAGCAGAAGGCCCCTCTGCCACATCTGTTGAACGGGTATCAGCAGCACCACTGATCCACAGACTTGCCAGGTGCAGCTTGGGAACTTGGAGCAGTCTGCCAAGTCTCTGGCATCTCAAGGAAGCTCATAGCAGCCTCACGGGTTGTTGTGGTCATGACTGTTTCACCCTTTCACACTACGTTGTGTAGCAAAGCACGGCGGTGAAAATGACGTCGTGGAGAATCCGGGCCCTGTAGGTGTGATGCCTGAACTTGCTTGGTGCCAGAGGCACTTATCAGTGATGTGTTACACACTTGCTGTTCTCGCGCAGGGCTGTCAGCCAGGATGGTTCAAGCAGGCTGCCATGGCCCGAAACAGCCGCCGCAGGGGCGGCAACTCTCAAGGGCGAGGTAAAGGCGACCGTTCGCAAACAGAAGCCTGGGGAAAGCTGTGAACTTTGTCAGTGTGTGGTTGTTTTGTTTAGATGTCTTGCCAGGGGCAGGAAGAGGCGGAAGAGGTCAGCAACAAGATGGGCGCCATCCACACGGCCATCCTGCTCCAGGCCAGGATATCCTGTCACCTTGATGCCCTGCTGTCGCCTGAGACCCTGCGTGATTGTGCGGAGAGGCGTCGTCAGACGACAGAAGGAGAAGCCCTCCCGAGGACGAGGAAGCGGACGAGGAAACAAGGGTGGTGCTAGGAGGCGGAATGCTGGGAGAACGAACGCGGGCCCTTTACCGGCCTCTGTGCAGACGGAAGTCAGTGCCTTGGACGGAATTCCGATGCGTGTTGTTTGGATGGCCAGTCCTTGCAAGAACTGTGCCGGTTGGCCCCGGATGCTGCACCATTCGTGAGGAGAAGATGGGATGTTTCGGCACTCTGAAGTGGAGAAAGCACATGGAGATGCGGTGATGTCGATTGTCATGGCAGCTGACTGCATTTACACAGCATCGCGTGACAAGACGTTGAAAAGGCAGGATCCTTTTTGCGGGCCTTGTCAGGCCCTGTTGTAGATACCCAATCACCTTCTTGATGATGGCTCGGCAGAGAGAGAGAGAGGAATCACCTACACTCGATCTTCACTCCCCTTTACCCGATAACACATCGGGTGGGCATGATGCCCGGGGGCTTTGATCGGCCCTCATGCCCGGGAGAGAGAGAGAGAGAATCACCTTTCAGCTTCGGTTTCGTGTTAGCCTGCATATGCATAAGTCTAAGCAGCGGCCGGATGTTCACACGATGAGACAGCGAGTTACGACGTCGAAGCATTTTGCCGCATTCAGGTGGAAGGTCAACAGAGGCACATCTGGCAAGTACGAGCTTTCTGTTGAACTCGAAGTACCGCTTGGAGATGTTTGTTGGTGTCTCATCAGCGCTGGAGATTGGCTATTCTGTGGCCTTGGAGATGGGAACATCAAGGTATCTCGCCCTTCGAAACATGTGTGCGCTAGAGTGTGAACTTGGCCAAGCTTGCGGCCTTGCAGGGCTTCATGAAGTCGGGCACCGAGACGGTACTCAAGGGCCACACGAAGCGTGTTGGCTGTCTCATGACGCATCAGCATGTGCTCCTTTCGGGGGCCTCTGATGGTTCTGTGAGATGCTGGCAGATGAATGTACACACGCAGACCTTTGAATGCAACTTGGCGCAGAGCTTGACTCACGCACCGACTGAGAGAGAAAGTTGCTTCACTAAGGCACTCATGCAATAGACGAGGGGATCTCCGGTGCTGTCACATCGCTCTCGGTTCTTGGCGAAGGACTCTGGGTGGGAGGAACCTCCGGAGTGGCGCTGGAGCCTCGTCTTGATTGGAAGCCTCACGGCCCTTCCCTCCGCCATATCGTCGACTCGAGATGTTGACGGCCCGGAAAAGAAGGCCGATCTGGTGTCGCACCTGAGGTTGAGTTGGCAACTCTAAAGGTTGTGAAGCACCTGGAGCCGCGAAGGTTTGTCTCAGGCTGTCTGATCGTGCTTTGGCATGTGGTCCTTGCATTCAAGCTGCCAATGCCGATGAACCAGGCCTCTTGCAGTTCGACGGCCATATGAAGCTTGGCCTTCATGCGGACTGTCGCATCGAATGGACAGAGCAGGTGCGAGGCGAGACCACATGATGAACCCAGGATTGTGGTGTATGCCGACGGTAGCATGTGCATTTTCGACGGTCTGGGTGCTATGAAGCACAAGCAGCCAGCATTGCCTGCTGGACCGGTGCTGTGCATAGACTCCCGGCTTCACAGCCTCATTGCTGCCGGAATCGTGGTCGGAATGCTGTTCTATCGTGTTGGTTCCATCTGAGGCCGGCTTGGAGTCGGGTCCACGAGTTCTTTGTGGTCACGCGAAAGGTCAAATCAGCTCCATATCCTTACCCGACTTCGTCCTCAAGAAGTATTGGCATGCATTGGAAAGGTGCAAGGCCGGAGCATTCGGTTGTAGAATCCCGCAGCTTTGAATCGATGCTCCTGCAGGTTCAGACCCTGTGCTGTGCTGGCCATGATGGCATCTACGTGCTAGGAGCAGAGAATGGCACTCTGCAGCTGTGGCAGAGGGATGGGTCAGTGGATGCCCTTTGAGCCAAGCATCTCCACCTTCTAGCCTGTCGTTCAGACCTGGCATGCGCTCCACTCTGACGTGTGGCAGAGGTACAGTTGCCGGCAGGAGATTGTTTCACATCGTTTCACACTGTCAAGTCAATGGTAGGTGCGACTCACTGGCTCCATCACTGCAGCTTTGTTTCGTCTTATCGCGAGAGGCATGGAACTCCAGAACTGTAGTGCAAGGAGCCAATGCTGTCGAATACTCGGTGCTAATGAATAAAAACCGATGAATTCGGGTGAGTCTTCTTTTACTCAGAGGCGGACTTGGTTTTGAGAGATATAAGCAGGTTTGCAAGCTTCCCATGGCTGTTGAGGCTCCCGAGTCGGGCGTGCCACGCACGTGTCGCGATGTAGTTTGGCGATGGCTCGCTCTGCAACGTGCAAGCCTGCAAGCCTGCAGCATCAGTGTGTCTTCCATGTTGCAAGGTGCCGGAGAACTGAGGCGTTAGGCAACCATGGTGCAGAACTTGCTGCTTGGAACTGAGCAGGTGCGGTGACATGCACACAGCATGCAAAGGGAGGAGGAGTCACCGGAGTGCTGGTCGGACTGGCCACAACTTATTCTCCGACCTCTCTGGGTTCCAGCTCCTACTGCTATCTCATGCCTGGAAGAAGGCTTCCTAGTGTGCTGCGATGAGCAACCCCTTCACTGCTGGGTGGCCGAAGTTTCGCCGCTGGCTGCACGGGCCGCCAGCGGACGGGGCAGCGGATGGCCAGGATGCCAAGACGTATTGCGAGATCTTGTGCAGGGACACATCGCTTGCAGGACCTGTTTCACGAAGCCTTCGTGTTCTTCAACTTTTGAGGCCGCTTACACCGCAAACCCGGCAGTTTGTCTTCTGAGACCTCAGACGTGTCTGCGGGATTTCCTGGCAAAGCTCCGGGAACCTGTGGGCGCATTGGGCGATCCACCGGTGAGGATTGGTGCCCATCTTGATTCCAAGCTGACGGTCGGTATTGCTGCGCACCCAGTTCTACTGGACGTTCGGTCCATGGAAGCCCTGGTCTGTGAGTTCTGCGAACTGTTCAATGCATCCTTCGAGAAGTCCAGGCTCCCTGTGAGGGACAGATTGGACAGGGCTGACTTCGCCCATTGGCAGAGGTGTGCAGAGGCTTCGGGGCTTTGGAGCTCGGCTGTTCTGCGCCGGGTCAAAGCACTCCGCGAGTTTGCCATTCAAACTCCCAGGGACGAACCAAGAAAGCGCTTTACCGGAAGCAAACAGAGCGAGCACCTGCTGGAGCACCTTCATCTTCCGCTGCGGTGTGCGGCTACAGAGTTGCATGTGACAGAACTGGAGCTTTTCTTGGCCATGTTCGTACTCTCACTTCGAAGCTGGCGACACGGATTGGTCTTTGGCTTGCCGCAGTCTTACAGACAGGGTTTGGACATTGTGGGCTCCTGCACCAACACTCTTCTTGCCTGTCTGAAAACGCCTTCCGACACTTCGTTGCTCCAGGCAGCCCATCACGTCCATGCTGAGCTGCAGTCTGCAAGGCGCGATGGGGCCGCCCCAATCGTGGAGATCGCGAAGGCCTTCTGTGAGCGGGAGGAGCGGTCGGTTCTTTACGACGTCTTCTACGACTGGCGACGACGTCCCCAGTTGGACCGGGCTGTGGTCACCGAGGCCTTGGGTTCGGCGTTCAGGAGCAGTTTTGCCGACTTGGAGATTCTGCTCTTGGCTGACGGCCCTGGTGGTCGTGGCGATACCGACGTCAGCTTCGTCTACCGGCCTGAGATCATCTCTGCCAGCACTCTGCAGCACCTCATGCGACAGTTGAAAGATCTTGTGAGAGGCGGCGCCCACGTCGGGGCGGCCTCTATGACGACGAAGACCTTTCATCTTTCAAATGCCGAGGCCTCTCTCCAAGAAGACTCGACAGGCGGTGCCCTGGATTCCCTGACTGGCATGAGAGCAGTTGTCGCTGCAGCTCTGCCGCATGAGGCTATTTGCGACGACCTGCCTTTGGAGAGCCTGGGTTTGGACTCGGTGTCCGCCGTCTTTCTACAGGGTCGCCTTTCAGAGGTTTTCGGGCTTGTGCTACCGGCGTGGCTGATAGCTCAAAAATCAACGATGCAGCTATCTTCGGCGGCCGGGCTTGGCGACCCTTGCAATGACGGGAAGCTGGCAAGAGGTAGGAAGCTTCAAGCTCGATTGGCTGAGGATGAAGACTGGCAAGCTTTGGCCAGTATATGGACTCAGCATCATCATTTGCTAGAAATGGTACCGCAAACGACTGGGCTATTGCTCACAGGGCCGCCGGCTTGGCTTGCAACTTGTGCTTTCCTGCTGAGCCTCCTGAGATTGGATTGGAGTTCGCCAACCGCTTTGCATTCAGGTGCCTGTGGTTGCCCGACCTGTAGACCTAAGAGAAAGCGTTCATGTGACTGCACGACTCTAAGAGCTAGAGATGCTCCTGGAGCACCACCTGCCGTAAGCCTCGTGGCCAGTGCTTGGTGCTTTACGAAAATTGCGTTCATGGACCCTGCAGGTGAGAGTTTGGAAAGCCTGCAGAAAGACGTTTGCTTCAGGGCCTCGGTGTGCTACGCAGTGCTCGTCCTGCTCCAGCACTTCCTGCACGCGCTGCTGGCCCGAGCACTGCTCTCTTGGGACCTCCGCCACGGCGAGTTGGCGCCAAAAGGATGGAAGAATGCGAGGAAGGATTCGAAGGCGGCGGCCGTGGTTTTGGTGGAACAGCTCCAGCTCGATGGCACCTCGGGAGCCGACGGAGCCGAGGTGCTTGGGGTTGTGTGCGTGCGTGCAGGCATGAACCGTGATACATCAGGGGAATGCTGGCCGTTTTGGTTTGGGAGAAAACGACCTACCGTGACCAGAGTGGCATCTTTATGGCATGCCGCGCTAGTCCCAGTAGCACGGAACCAGGGAGCAGCCAAGATTTTGGTTGACTTCGCAGAACGCTGGGCGATGGACATCGGGGCGACAAGACTGGAAGCTGTTTGCCTCAATCAGGCCGCTAAGGCCGCTTGTTGGAACATGGGCCTCGAGCTTTGGAACCCACGGATCGCTCGCTTGCCGTTGGCTCCGGCCTTCTTCAAAAAGCCGCTCCGAACCGGAGCAAACATCCCAAAGCCAGGATGAGAAGAGAGAGATTCTTACCACTAGCGAGTGGCGCTTGGTGACAGCGGCGAGCCTTTGGAAAAGCCAGATTGAGCAGCTTGCGGGGAGCTTCAACACCATAGACGTAGGGACACCATCGATGGGAAAGGATGAGCAGCTTGTGTTTCCTGCAGATATTCGTGAGCAATCGCTACAGGCTGATTGGGCACGTACGGTCATCAACGGGGCTGAGTAGCATGATTCGCTGAGCTATTGCCAAGCTGTGCAAAAGTGAGACCCGAGCCCCGTATGCGAACAGGGAAGGCCATGGCGCGAAGAAAAGAGCCGGAGGAATTTGCATACGCGCTCCCAGGCGGGCCGATGTTCTGGCAAGCCGAAGCTTGGGTCCTCCACTCAGGGTTCTTGCTCCAAGCTCCCAACCTCTCCAGCCAAACCCTAAGAGACAGAATCGAGAATTCCTCACAAGAGGCCACGTTTATTGTGCGCTTCCCTACCGCCTTCTCTTGGTTTTGTTAGTCGTTCGAAGGGATCAGAAGCCGAGGTCCGAGCCGCTGCCAAAGTCTCTGGTCGAATCTTCTCAGACTGCGACTCGGAGACTCGGAGACCGCGACGGTGCCTTCGACAGTCCTGCGCCTGGGCCGGACCGCTCAGGCTGCAAATCACGAAGTCCACGGCCTCCCAATTGGCAAAGACTTCCTGGGCTTCGGCCACGCTTCGTTCATACCTTGGCCCTTGTCGCATGCACCACTCCCTCGGAAAACGTGCTCGAACAGAGCTGGACTCTGCCGCAAACCAGCACGAGAGTAGGCAAAGCAAACGAGCTACCCCGAGGCTACAGAACAAGAGTATCGCTCAGCCATAGCAGAGCAAAATGTCTCTTCGCTAGACTTGTGATGCTACCCATGACTGTCTTGCAGCGAACCGGCAGAGCGGATGCAACAAGGGTTTACGCGTGAGCCATCGCGGGCCGTCGCAATGCGGAGCAGATGGCGAGCCTTTCGACCAGCTGGAGCTATGTGCAGGCCGGAGATGACAGTGCGAAAGTCGCACATGCTGGCAAAGCCCTGGCCGTAGCCTCCTGTCAGCAAAAAGCAATCTGACACAATGCACGGGAGTATGGAGTGTGACTTCAAGCAGCTGCTTGTGTTTTCTTGTCCTTTCTCTCCTTCTTGAACTTTCCCACCCTATTGTAGCGGCCCTAGCCCAGGGCCTAGCCGCTGAAGGCACATAAGCCACATAAGCTCTCTTCCAGAAAGCCCAACGCAGTGCTTCCACAGAAGTCTTGGTGGCCTTGCGAATTGAGACGTGCTGTCTTCACAGACCCGGGTTCCTGTACATGTCTGAGCCAACGGGCAAGGTCTACACTTCAGTGGCCGTCCTGTGCGTTCTAACGATGATCGCCAGGCCGAGCTGATGCAAGTGTCGAAGCTTTGAAAAGCCTTCGTGCTGGCAGGCTGCTTACTGCGCGATTCTACGGGCTTCCTTTCAACCCGCGTCACGCACTGTTCTTGTTGCTCTTGTGCTGCTCTCAGACATTGTAGCCTGGTAGGGCAAGTAGTCAGTAGAAGCGACGCTGGAGGGTGTCCGTTTCCCGAGGCTACTACTTTTCATTGTTCGAATCGTGAGCGACCTTTGGGAACTTGGCTCTCAAGCTTGCAAGCAGTGTTGTGTCGCGGGATGCTGGAAGTATTGACGCATCGCCTGCATTCGCGTAGCTGGCCTGCCTCTAAGGTGACGGGAGGCCTTCCGTATTTGAATTCCGCCTGCACCCATGACTTGATGTTGGGAAGTTTTCGTTGTCGCAGGCTCGTGGCAGCAGGATCACAGAGATGGATGTACAACCTGCTCTCGACAGGCAAGAGCCAGGGGCCTCTGTGCGATGTCGCGGCCAGCTGCTGTTTTGAAGGTCCTGTCATCGTTTTCCTCACGATCTTCCTGGTGCTCCTTTATCATCTCACCTGTGTCCTCCATTCCATCAGCCTGGCCAAAGAGAGCCTCGAGGCGGCGGCCATGCGGCGGCAGTCGCTTTTGCACGCGTCGCTCCTGTGAACAGGAGGCCTACTGCCGGTCTGTGGCCGTGGGCCTCGGGTCCATGGAGCGCTCCTTTGCGGACCAGGTGGTCGCGCGCGGTCTTTGTGCGAGGCACTGCTGCAGGAGCGTTGCCTCGGCATGGCACGAAGCATCGCGAAAGGTGCAGGGGAAAGGCTTTCCTTACGTATTTCGGCTGCTTCATGGTCACGACAGCAATTTCATTATGGGTGCCTCGTCCATGATGGGGCTGCAGTGCAGCACAGCGCTGCAGTCCTTACTGGCCGACCAGGTGCTCTTCATGGTGGGCTATGTTCCATGCTGAGCCTTCGCATCTCCACTAAGAGCTTGGTCGAAGGTGGAGCACAAGTTGTCCCAAGGTGGCCACACTTTTGGTCAAGGAGCGTGCGGTGAGTTTGCTGCAAATATCGCAGCCAGGGGGCTGTTCAGGCGACACAACCAGCATGCGGTCCCGTTTCCGTCGCCGCAATTTCAGTGGCGGTTCTTCTTAGATTGACAAGAGAATTTTATTTGGACATGTCAAGGCTGCGGGTACCAAGCTTCTATGTGTCACCATAGCATTTTTTCAATCCTTGCATTGTAGACATCTGCTGGCATGGAACCCTTGATAACCCTTGAAGGGAGCAGTGCAAACTCCAGCGCAGCACCTTTACGGATGAGCCATGCCGCAGCTGCCCTCGCAGAACGCTCGAAGCAGCCCCACTGACAGCTGGAACGGAGCAGCAGGCGGAGCAGGCGGAGCGGGTGCCGGGGAGCAGACTGGCCGGTCGCTGCCTCCCGCAGGTTCCGAAAGTGCTGACTTGAGTCCCCGCAGTTTGCCCAGGCGCGACACATGTGCACCTGGGGCATGGATCCAACTAATGTCTAACGTGCTGCAGGTCAGAGCCCGATTCTGCTGGCTCAGTGGCTTTGGAGAATTTGTTTCCCTGATTGTCATGCTTCGGTCGGCAGATTGTTCTGTTTGTCTGACAAGGAGAAGCCGGGAAGGGCAGGGCTCAAGTCAGTTTCTACCGCTGCGAGGGCGGCAGTTCGGTTCAGGCATGGCAGAAACAGATATGGGACGGTCTGCAATATTCTGCAATCTGAACTCTGCAGCTGTCCATCGGAGGCACCTGGCTACGAGTGCAAAGACCAACGAAGCAAGCGAGAGCTCAAGCGGTGCCTAGACCAAAGAGCCCTTCAAGGATTTCCAGACACTGCCAAGTACCATGAGCCTTCCCACACTGGCACTTAGTTCACTTCAGGTCGTGAAGCACGGCTCATTCGCAGACATCCATTTTTTGCCGACACTTCCAAAGACTTCCGCGAAGAGACCCTCTCTCGCACTCGGCTTTCCTTTGCATGCTGTGGTCGGAGAGCCCTTATCGAACCTGGCCGATGTCTCAGGGTGGTGCAGGCGGTGAGGCCCTACAATGTAGATGCGATCGAGCCCGGGATCTCCAGAAAGGCAGAGCTCTGCAATGCTTTGCAATGCTCTGCCCACACCGCGGGGACCGCGTTGTCTTCTCAGGCGGACTCCCTCTCTGATGCGCTCTTCGATCCACTGCCGGCGATCGTCACCAACCAGGCGCCAGCCCTTTCATCCTGGCACTCGGATCGTGACGGCGCAGAGGTCATCATGCAGCCGGGCTGTCGTGTTCCTGACGAGCGGATCCACGCCCATTTTTTTTCGCATTGCAGTGGAAGCAGTGAATAGGCATGAGATGGCAGCCCTGGAGATTCTAACGCTGGATCAGGAAAGGCATTGTCTTGGCCCTTGGTGACCATCAAGACTTGCAGGCAAGCTTCCATCGCAGAGACTGGCACAGTGCCGTTTGTGCTGAAAGCCAGGTTTTGTACCATCAGACAACGCTCAGCTCCGACTTGCACGACAGCTTCATCCCGGGAGTTGCCGGCCAGGTTCCACGGGAAATGGGAAAGGTGGCTATGGTCGGCATGGTGCGTCACTTGACAAGTACATCCGTTCCAGGATGTTGCGTTTCAGCTAGTGGAGCAGAGCTTATTCCGTGTACAGTGGGAGCCCCAGTTGCCTCGGCCAAGAGCGGCGTGCCTCCTCCCTGGCTGCAGGAAGCGTCCTTCGGCGGATCTTTGCCTGCTTCGTGCGGACGACCTGGAGCGCCTGTCACAGAGGCCTGATACAAGTCTCAGCACCAGTGGAAACACTTATTTGGGTTGCGAGGTATGCCGAGGATTATCAGAAGCTGCATCAACGTGCACGCAAGATGACGTGCAGCCTTATCAGGGCATGGGCTCGAAAGTTTCTCGGCCGGCAAAGCCTCGCCGAAGCTCGGGTTTGCTTGCAGTTGCTGTCTGTGTTTGGGCAACCCAGGTTCCACATGCGCTGCTATCCCAAGCTTTTTTGCAATGTTTCCCAGGACCCAAACGATTTAGGAGCGGTGCCGCATATCGATTCTCAACAGCTTGCAGGAATTCATGTCCACCTTCGCGGATTTGATGCAAGTAAGAGTCCATGCAGCCGGGCAGACGATTTGCGCCGAGGGCGATCCTGGCAATTTCGGTTTCTTGCCACATCTTGCCACCTCTTGGCCCATGCGTGTCTCGAGTCTTGGGCGAGGGTGTCCCAGCCGAGGCTTCTACCTCCACTCAGGTGCCGAAGCCAACAGTTCAACGGCATACAGGGCACAGCACAAGAGCAGAGTGTATGGCAGGACGCGCCTTGGTCTGTCGGGGCAGCACTTCCATCATCAGATTGCTTCTGCCTCAGAGCCATCGGCCGGACACGGGCCTGTCAGTCCCCCGCAGTCCCGCAACTCGGAAAGCTTCTTCTCCCAGGTCTCGAGAGCAAGACGGTGCTTGGAAGAGTTGGTGGGGAATGCTGGAGGCGCTCCCGAACCTCGAGTTCCGTGCCGAGGGAAATGAAGCCTGCTTCGCATAGTCCCAACGGTTGTGCTCGTGCAAAAACAGACAGAAGGCTCGCGGCTCACATCCAGCGACATGCTGTTACAGTGTTGTTACCCGCCGAAGACGAGGCGACAATCATCCCATTGCGAAGGCTGACAAGAAGAGACAAGCTATGGCTCTGCAGACCACCAAATCAGCACTGGCAGCACCCCTTCAAGCCACGCAGTTTGCAACAAGCAACCTGTTGTGCATGGCAGCCTGCAAGAGAACATGCACAAACCACCATATACTGCTAGGCACACCTGAACACACCAGAGAAGACACAACAGATGACTGTCGCACACCGCTTCAAGTATTTGGCGGGGCCACCCCCAAAGCAGGAAGTGGCAAAAAATGAACTAACCCCTGCCCAGTCGGTAAATGCAAGAGAGGCAGGTTTACAAGCGGTTTTTCAACGTCTTGTGGCAATCCCACCCTCGCATGTGTGGAGGTTGGTGCAACATGTGTCGAGCAGACTCTCGGCGGCATCAGGCGGCCGCGACAGCAACGGTCTCCCAAAGCCTGGCTACTCAGGACTTGCACCGTGGTTGTGGGAGTCTCAGGGAGTTGTTCGTTCCTTCCTTTCTGTGACAAGGCTTCGCCCAAGGCCGGCAAGGCCCGCTGGATCTCTGCGTCCACCGAGTCCACCGAGGCCGAGAGCGACTGCGTGGCCTGGGTCTTGCAGATCAAGGACTCGGAGGCCCTGGGGAGCGCTTTTTTGTGAGATCCCTTTGGGCTCTTCTTTGGGCTCCTCGTTTTTTGTGCATTTCGAAGGAGCTCCGCGTCAAGTTCCCGCGCGAGAGCAGCCTCTTCGATCGAATCTCCATCAGGCCACTCCAAGCCCAAGCCTCCTTTTCTTTTGCTGACAAAGCCCTGGCCCTGTTCGGTATTTGAGGGAGGTTTGGACGTGAGCTCAGCCGCAGAGCGCCTGCAGAACTCTGGCTCACAAGGTTTGGATGTGAGCTCGGCCACTCGGCCATTCGCTGCCATGCCGTCCGGCAAGAAAGAGCGCCAAAAGTCATATCAGTGCATTCCAGGAGCAGCTTGTGTGTCACTGGTTTGCGTCGCATTTGCCAGCCGCTACAACATGCAGTTCGTAACCCATTCTCTGCAAGTCCAGTCCAACATGCACACCAGCTCAAGACCTCGCACGACGTCAAGGAGCAGAGGTTCCAGAATTGGCATGCTGGCGGTCATGGAACCTCCCACACGCAATGCACCCCCAGAGACAGCCGAGCCTACGCAGCAGGATGCATCGGCTTGGGCAGAGTGCATCATCGAGGAATGTGATACCGAGGGTTGTAGACGGATGGAGAACTGGGTTTTCCGAAAGGAGCATGCCACAGACTATCAGGCCTTCCTGAACGTTCGAAACGTGAAGCCGCAAGGGTTCCTGCCGTACCACGGACAGACCCAGTACAACACCACCGTGCTTTGTAAAGAGCGGTCGGTGGATGTGTCGTTGAGTTGTGCTGAGTGTGTGCGGCTGATCGTCGGCGGCCCTTACGGGGCTCGTGGAGTAGCTGTTGCGGCCTTTCCTTCACAAGATTCCGTGCTTCCGTGCCTTGAGCTTTCCAAGCCACTGCCAATCACGAAGCCACAGTCGGGCGAGAGATGGGATGGCAACCAAGAGCAGCCGAGGCAGACTGCATTCTGCAATGTCCTCAACCTAGGCATGTGAAGCTATGAACGACATGTCGAGTTCGATCGGGCAAATATCGCACAGGAGTTTTCCATCTGTCAACACACCCAGCCCTGCGAGCTACATAGTGCTCTTAATTCACAGCCCGAGCCGTGGCTGAAGTGTACAAAGACAGGCCCCCTTTAAGATTTTCCATTGACACATGCGGGCCTAGCACCAGCAATCAATTGAATTGTCAAAAGATGCTTCTTCTGGGAGAGCGGAAGGCTCTCCCAGCCGACACCTAGAATTTCGCCCTTGGCCATTCCTGGCGTTGACACGTGCATAAGTCTATCAACTGTCACTCTATGTCCCGCTATGTAAGCACATGCGTCATGTAAGCCACACCGGTAACAACTGCTCTGTCTTTCGAGTATCAAGGAGTCGGAGGCTGCGTCCGCCTTGTTCAGCGTTTCACACATCTCCGAGAGCCTTAGCCAGGGCAGTCCATGTCAAGAAGTGGCATGTGTACATCCAGCCGCAGGCATGTAAACTTGACATGGGACTAAGTCTCATGGATCTCACCCGAAAACAGAGGGTTTTGCGGTCCAGCTTCAAGTACGGCTGCGTTGGATGCAGTGCCTCCCTGCCTCAGGCACCTGCAGCTTCTTAGCCCACACATGGATGGCATGCAGCTTTCCAGCATCCAGCATCATTCGGCATTTATTGATGCCGCACCCATAGCAGAGCCAGGCGAAGCATTGCAATGTTCGCTGACTGCGGTCAAGAGTTCCAGGAGATGCTGAGCAGCAGCCTGGCGGAAACCTGCGTGATAGTGACAACATGTGGTGCTAGAGGGTGCGCGCATAGCTGAGGCAACTTCGTGCAGAGGACTGGCCGATCCCTCGCGCCCGAGAGAAGCCGAAGTTTGTACTCGCAGGATCTGCTCCCGAGATGAGGTTGTCGTGCAGGAAGGAGATTTTGGAGAGGAAATGTTTGTCCGAAGCCTACAAGAGAAAATCTGGCCTCCGCCGGCCGCCGGCCTTCGCGTGCGGACAGCGTGAAGTGAAGTGAGAGGTGCTGGTGCTTGGCAAGTGCAAAGTTCTTCGAAGAGCGGCTCTCAGTCTCAGCCCTCGGCTCGTCGTTGCGCCTTCTGACTAGGGCCCGGCCAGGTGGCAGCGACCGGCCTCCTGGTTATATTGCGCCGGACTGCTCTGGCTCTTGGCTTCAGAGTCACGGTGCTCCTTAGGTTCAGTCGGCTACATCCAGGAAGCTGCTTTGGAGGCCTCGCGGCTCTGGGAATTTCCAAGACGCGAAAAGAGACCGTCATGGCGACTCGGACCCATGGGAGCCGACGTCCGTCGTCCGCCGAAATTTTATGTGGGACTGGCTCTGCAAACAAGGCTGACACCGTCTGTGATATCCGGGCGCTAAGCCGCAAAGCGCTCTTGGCCGTTCTCGATAAATTCCCGGAAGAGGAGGAGCCACTCACTTAGCTGAATAGCAGGGGAAGCATGCATGGCATGGCCCATTCTCATGCACCCTCCTTTGAGGCGAATGATGGCAATTGTGGAGGCGCACAGCCAAAGCAGGAAGGCGAGGCAGACTTGGCACAAGAGTGCAACTCACAGTCACAGCTGTAGGCGGCCTCTCTGGCATTGGAGCAAGCCAGTGCGGGCGAGGGAGGCTTCAGTCAGGACTTCCAGCCCTTGAGCTGATTGCTGAGAGCTTCTGGCTGAACCGGGATCCTTGCATTCGAACGGCCCTGGGTCAGGATTTTATTCGAATGCTGGTGGACAACATGCAACTTGGACCAAGCTGCACGTTAGCAGAACCAGCAGAGCCGTCCGGAAGCAGAGCAAGCCAGCATGCTGCTAACGCTGCTTGTATGCCCAGTCGGATCTAGATCAGCGAGAAGCCGCACCCTAATCAATGAAGAACTCGCGATGTGCGCGACTGCTATCTGAAGAAACTTTCCCGAGTCAGGCGACGGAAGTCTATGTTCTGCTTGTTATTCATGTGCCCAAGTACTCCGAGCCACAGCAAGTCGCTACTCCCCGCTGGCATGGTTTGGCCCGTCCAAGAATGCGGCGGAACAGTCGAGGATGCCTCTGGAACGGATATGTGACCAGTACACCCTCCGGCGATTGATCAAGTCACGCATGCTCCAGCGATCTACCTTCTGAAGCCGGCCGAGATTATTGACACATTTCGGACTCCCCGCCCGCCAACTCAGCATCGAGCCCAGCCCCTGTAAGTCCACAATCCTGCGCTGGAGTCGATTCCTCGTATTTGTAGCCGCCAGCTGCGGCATGCGAGCAGTTCCCTCGTGGTAAATGTTGCAAGCCGATGAGTGCTCAGGTATGAACAACCCTACATGGTGAACCAGGTCATCCTGCAGCAGGGAATGCCAGGCCTAGCTAGTCCCACGACTTTGTCTGATGTCCGGAACACATGCTAGCTGGGCAAGGCACCCATTTCGTGGTACTGGTGCATGGAATTGTGGAGATTGAAGCGAATGGAATGGTAGTCGCGACCGTGATGCTTGGAAGCATGGAGAGCTCACATCAGGAATGTCCAAAGACAGGAGATGCAGGAAACCGTTCAATGAGGAGTGCGTTTGCAGTTGCTGAGGAGTGCTCCAGGCATCTTCGGCGAGCGTGGCTTCCTGGTATCCGGCAGTCGAAGCCCCCAAGCGGCACGCAGACTCCACAACCTTTGCTGGGGCGTGTGCCGTGAGTGTTTCCTCCTTTGTGAGGTGGAGCAACGGTGAGATGCACCACCGTGGCCGAGTGCATGATGCTTCCTGTGGATGGCCCATCCACGCCAGTGACCTGCCACAGAGTCCTTACTCGGAGCAATCCTGAAGACGTCAGAGGACGGATGCAACAACCTCGAAAATGAACTTGCGGTCTGAGTTGTGAGATCGTAAACAGAACCTCGCCTGGCTTGTCTGAGTTGAAAGAGCGTAAATGCTGAACTTGAGTTTCCGGGGCCGAAGCCTAAAGCTGCGGAGTCCCGGAGACAAGAGTCCGGGGCAAACGTGAGCTGCGGAGGCACACACGAGTCGGAGCTGCAGCATGTGCACATAGAATGATTTTTACGAAGTCACCACTTTCCTGGTGTTCGTTCCAGCATGATTTCGTTTGTAATGTGGGTGTCGGTTTAATCGGTTTAATTGACGGGTCCCCCCCCCCCCCCCGACCAAAAAAAGAATTCACTTTAGTATGGCGCCGGTGACGCCGGACAGGGGTCAGGGGTCTGAGTGGCAGGGAATTGGGAGGTGCCGGGGTTTGGGGGCTGGCTTGGGTGCAGGGTCTGCGGTTCTGCGCGAATGCGCGGTCGGGGGTCGGGGGGGTCTGGGGATCACCAAATGCTGGAAACCAAGCCCCGATCACTCCAAGATTACTACCAAGACTAAAAACCCTTCATTTTGAACACTTTTGCCTCCGTAACCTACACTCCCACACTCCCACCCACAATCGACCACGTCTGAAGCTTGGTGCGGTACAATAATAGTACAGTAGTACAATAGTAGTACAGTAGAAATAATACAGTAATACAATAGTAGTACAATAATAGTGCAGTAGTACAATAGTAATACAACAGTAGTACAGTGGTAGTACAATAGTAGTACAGTAGTAGTACAATAATAGTACAGTAGTACATAGTAGTAGCAAATAGTAGTACAGTAGTAGTACAGTAGTAGTACGATATAGTACCGTAGTACAATAGTAGTACAGTAGTAGTACAGTAGTAGTACAATAATAGTGCAGTAGTACAATAGTAATACAACAGTAGTACAGTGGTAGTACAATAGTAGTACAGTAGTAGTACAATAATAGTACAGTAGTACAATAATAGCACAATAGTAGTTCAGTAGTAGTACAGTAGTAGTACGATTATAGTACCGTAGTACAATAGTAGTACCGTAGTAGTACAATAATAGTGCAGTAGTACAATAGTAATACAACAGTAGTACAGTGGTAGTACAATAGTAGTACAGTAGTAGTACGATAATGGTACAGTAGTACAATAGTAGTACAGTAATAGTACAGTAGTAGTACAATAGTAGTACACTAGTAGTACAGTAGTAATACAGTAATAGTACAGAAAATAAAGCCAGTGAGCACATTCCCCCAATAAGCAAAGCATAAAGCCAGCGCCTGAAACCCTAAACCCTAAACCCGGAGCCTTGCCTGCTGCGTGCGAGTGTGAGCGTCGAAACCCTGAACCCTAAACCCTAACAAACCCTAAACCCTAACGAATCCTAAACTCCTAAACCCTAACAAACCCTAAACCCTAAGCCCTAAACCCTTCCCAAAGGGGGGTCGGTCCAGATTGGACCCAAAATTGAATTTTTTATACAAACTTTAGTACTGGAGAGGCCTTTGTCGAGCAAGGGTCCAATTCCCAATTCGGCGGTTCACCCTAGCAGCCCCCCCCAATAAGCAAGGCATACAGTGGCAGTACAATAGTACAGTAGTAGTACAGTAGTAGTACAGTAGTAGTACAGTAGTAGTACAGAGTCTCATTCCTGACGCCCCAATAAGCGAAACAATTCTGCAAGAGATTTTCGGGCTTCAGGGCCAAGGTTTTAGGGTTGGGTGGGGGTTTGGGTGGGGTTTAGGTCGTGGCTGCCTTAAGATTGACCATCAGCAAATAGCACAGCCCCGCCACCAAAAAATCACCCCAGCCAAAAAAAAAACGCATTAATTAGTACCCCCAAATTTTTGGTCAGATTCGGAATTAGCCCCCGAGCCGACGCATTAAAGAGGCCTATATTCCTAAGCCGACCCCCGCATTACGCGGTACTTTCTTTTAGCTTGTTTGTGTCGCTTCTGTCTTCAGATTTGATCGCTTTTGGTTCCACGTCCCAGTGTTGTCGCCAACGGTTCGATGGATTTGTGTTTCTCATTTCCAGACTGCGTTTGGGCATGTGATATGCAAAAATTTTTTTGAAGGTGCTTGGAATTTTCATTTTCTCCCAATCTCGTCGTCACTCCAAGATTCCCCGAGGTCGTTCAGTTGCCAATCGTGATGTAGGAATACACGATGGCAGGAGCTCAGTACACGCTTGACTCAAAAATGTGGTCTGCATAGTATCTGTTCCGGTGTCGAACGCTTCTTCTTGCTAGTGGTAGGATGCCCCAAAGCCGAGATCGCAAGAACCAGTGACTTGTCATTTCAGTGAGAAGTAGTCGGAGACTGGCTGCCACTTTGGCAGCGCAAGTGCCTGCGAGGGATGATGCTTAACGTGCACTTTCCCTCAAGCAAAAAACAAGAGAGAAAGAGATAGAGACAGAGAGAAAGAGGGAGCACTACTTCGAGTCCATCAAGACTGGCATCTCCGCCCTCGAAGATGGAGGTATTGAGCGGCCACAATATGAGTTGCATGTGAGCGGTGGGGTTCATCCCACATTGAAGTAAGACGTCCTTCACAACACACCACCCTACTTGGTGGGCCCGATCCTAAACCTTCAGTTTGAGTCTTGCTTTTTGGGCGTTCGCACCTCGAAAGCCACAGAAAAACTTGAAGTGGGAGCCAAGCTCCTGCTACTTTGAGATTGAATGCGGGGGAGAGGCTATAATTAATTAATTCTGGTGAGACACTGGAGTTAGGAACCTGGAGTCGGAGAACGTCTCTCTCGCCAACAACAGTGTGGGGGGGGCATTTGCGTGTTTTTGCCTCGAACCTGGAGCCTCACTCGCGTTGGAACGCCGGTAGTGGGGTCGGATTTCTTGTGGGGGAAGACCGATTTGGTCGGGCCCTCGGGCTGAAAAGTTAGAGACCCAGGTCCCTGCCGTTGGTGTGTTTGAGCCCTGGTCTTCAAGGCGGTACTAGTGTTCGGGTGTTGTGGTTGGCAGTACAGGCCCGGTCTCTTGTGTCCGACTGCGCCTCTCAGCACGTTAATTCCCCGGTGCGCGAAATCGCGCGGGGTGTCGGCGCACGCAGACTCCCCTGACGGTGCTGAGGAGGGAAGGGGGGGGGTCTGCGCCCGTGTCAAGCCCCGAGCAAAGCAAGCAAAGCAAAGAGAGAGAGCTGTGTGTTCTATTTGTTTCCTTTCCTGAGAAAGCCCCACAGCTCTGGCAGCAGCCAACAAGAACAAAGTCCAAGGGCACGAGACAAACCGGGAAATGGTGTCACAAAACGAGTGGGGGTCGGAGCAGGCGAGCTGGACTAGGCGGGGACTCATTGCAGCATACAGGGATGCTTTCATAGGGGGCTACCCATGTATGGGGGACACGCAAGCATGCTGGTCCAGCTCCACCACTCCGCCTCCGGGTCTCACCAACAAACAAGACGTGGACACTCAGCATAGCGCTAGCGCGCAGGGTTTGGGGGTTTGCAAGCCAGAGAGAGAGAGAGAGAGAGGGAACTGTTACGTCGCCAGTAAGGGGCTCAACAAGGTACCGGGGAGCAGGGAATGGAAGTCCACCACTGGAGCCACGCAAAAGCTGTCGTGTACCTGCCAGACGGCCCGTCAGAGTGTTGCTTCTCTATAGTATCGTGTGTGTTTGAGCAGCCGAGGTCCGGGGGGACAACCAAACCAGGCTTTAGGGGGGGTGGGAAGGTCAGGCAGTGCAGTTGCGCGAGGTTCAGTTCGGAATAAGGTGGGGAGGCAGGTAAGGGGTCCAGGAACGCCGGGGACGAGCACTGCTTACTGTACTGTAGGAGCTACAGCCCTTTACGGCAAGAGGGCCTGGACCCCCCAACACCTTGTACCTCAAGGGAATGGCTAACAAGTCTGAAAGGTAAGTCGCCTTAGTTGCAGTCGCTTGTTTGAGCTTATACTAGTAGAGTTGCAGTCGGTGCAGAAGCCAGACCCTTGCAGCTGATCAGTTTGGGGAGACTACGGATGACTCGAGTGATACCTGATATGGTTCTGAAGGTTCGGTTGGGGACGGGGTACACAGGGTCACTCGAGGGAACGTGCCAGTCAACCCACCCCGAGAGGGGCCGCGAAGACATCGGACAGTTGCGAGCCGTGGGGGGGTTGGCCTTCGGGCCGGGGTGCGTGCACCCAGACCGCAGGCGCTCGCAGCGCACTGGGGCGAAGGTGAAGCGGGCACCCAAGACTTCGGGGCAGCCACGTACCAGGAGATGGCAGCTCAACAAGAACGGGGTTCAGCAACGCAAGCCGGGGCGACAAGAGAGGAGGACGAGCTGGAGGCCCCAGCGGAGTACGCAGTATCAGACGGGAGACGTAGAACGACTTCCAGCCCCACTGACCGGCCAACACCAGTGAGTTCACCTGAACCGGACAGTAGCGACTGAAGGTGACGTAGCAGGTGACAGGCGAGGCCCAGGGGTGACGACATCCACAGCCGATGACCCCATACTGTGATCTGCACAGGTTGCTAGGCCCCCGTTGTGTTTCCTCACCGGGGCATCGGCACGTGGACAACACCACCATGTACACGCTGCAAGCTACTTTCTCGTGTTTGGTTTGCTGCGACAGCCCGGGGCCCACAGTCTGTACCTAGCACAGGGTGAGGCTACAACCTACCTCCGGGGCGAAAGTCCCCAGTCCACCAAAGTCTCCGGGACGCCAAACCATAGTCGCTATTAGTAGCCATGCAGCCTGCTTGTCGTGCCAGTTGACACTCGGAGACACATGTGAAGAGACATGCTCAACCGAGGTACCAGGTGATACCTAGTTTGCACTGTGACCAACACGGCAAAGTGTACACATACCTGGGGCCATCGGGGCGGAATACCCGCTAGAGCATCCTCTTGAGTTACCGACACAATGTACTCAAACAGTCATGTAGCTTGTGTACCTGGTTGACAGTTGTCGGTAATCGTAGCCCAGAGCACGTAATACCTTGCGTGCCACCAACAAGGGGCAGCCCTCCGGGTGGGGGCGTGCCCTCAAGCCTTGTGAAAGAAAGAGCAAAGACGGAATGTAGTCACAGGTACCCAGGGGGATCATATGATATTCATTATTATAGCAGTGACATCGATTAAAACATGATCCCACTGGGGGCAATCAACTACAAAACCCTTTCACACTCCTCCAAAGTCCCCACAAAATATGGGGGGGCCCTAGTGGCCGAGGGGTCTCAACAACCCCTCATGCCCGGCAGAAGAAGAGAGAGAAAGAGGAGGAAAGCCTGAAGAAGAAGAGGAAAGCATGACGGCCCAGCAATGGGGGGCCCCAGTGAGTGCCAGCTTTGAAGGGGTGCAGCAAGTGCAGCAAGCGATCGACACAGCCATGGGGAAGCCGTCGCTGGAGAGTTCGACTGGATGGCCCCCAGCTGGGGGCAGACCCTCGGACTGCTACTACAAGAGGCGGAGGACCTCCTCACAGAGCTGGAGACCCTGAACTTTGGCCGTCAAGCAGCCGCCGCGACGACAACGCAGTCCAGAGGAACAGCTGCAGAAAGTGCTGCAAGACCAGCACAGAGGGGGACACAGTTCGAGCAGTGGTGGGATGATCACGGCCATCCTCGAGAACCCGATCTTGGTGGATACACAAACCACTGAGGAAGGGGGAGCCAGCCAGGATCCCTGTTTGCCGGACCGATGCAGAGTGCACAAGGGGGACCGGTCACGGAGAGCGCTCCAACAAAAACGGGGGCTCTTTTCAGGTTGGATGCTGAACGAGCGGGCTTGTGCTTTGTTTCGGTTGCTCATGTTGATTGTCCGGTGGGGGCAGATCGTTCAGCCTCGAGCAGGAAGTTGAGTTGGAAGTACAGCTGAGCCCTCTTTGGCCAAGTCAAAAGGGGGGGGACCAAATCCTGCGGACTGCAGGTGCACGTTCGCGTGCGGAAGGGCTTTCCTACCTGGCAGAGAGAGAGAGGGAAGCCCAGAAACTCCACAAAGCGAGTAAGTGAGCTGTTTGTTTGGTTGTTACACGGGAATGGGCACCCGCTTCGCCAGCCACAATTCCAGTGCAGCAGAGGGGCGGCTCCCCGGAGCGGGGGGTAGGGACTGCATACCCTCCAAGCCCCTGAGCGAAGCAAAGAGACAGAGAGAGAGAGGGTTACCAGCAACTGTCCCGGCAACAGGCCACTTTCGCGTAGCTGTATCCGGAGAGACCTTGGATGACCCACCTGGTGCTTACAGGTTCGCAGTGGTAATGGTCTTAGAAGGGGGTGTTTTCGGGGGAGGGGTACACAAGCACAGGTGGGGGAACGAGCCAATCTCTCATCCCGGAAGGGGCCTGACAGACTTCGGACTGTTCGAGCCGTGGGGGGGTTGGCCTTCGGGCCGGGGTGCTCGCACCCACACCCCTTCGCAAGCAAGCAAGAGAGGGTTACAAGTAGCACAGAAAGCGTCAGCGGTACCAAACCAGGAGGGCACAAACCTTAACAAGTACTACTTATGCATTGTAGCAGCAATGGCTCCAGTGCACTGCTGGAGAGCTGACGGAATACCAACCCAGAACCCTCTCCCTCTGCAGTGAACTCTTGCAGCATTGTTTCCGAGGAGCTTAGAGCGGGGGCACCAGTGCAGAGGTTTCGGGGTTGAGTGGAAGGCAGGTTTCAGGCAGTGACATAAGGCCCAGGTGGGTTTCAGGCCAAGGCAGGGGACCAAAACAGGAGGGGCACCCGATGAACAAACACCCATTGCTCTCTGCATGGGCTTGCCTGCTTACATACTGGAAACAAATCGGGAGCTCAGAGTACGCAACCTTGAAGTGGTGTGGGGAACCCATTGTTCGGTTCACGCTAGCACTGTTTTCCTAAAGAGGGAAACCGCCCACTGCTCCTGAACAACAGGATGCACTCGACTTTGTACAGACTGAGCCCATCCACACAACATAGTGGATGGGGTCGTGCGCCTGCGCAGGGCGGGAGGACTGCTCCTGCCTCAAACCCCGAGCAGAGCAAGTAGAGAGCGAGAGAGGCAGAAAGAGAGAGAGAGAGAGAGAGGGAGCGAGAGAGACAGAGAAAAAGGTGCGATGTCCAAGGGGATGCAAACAGAAGGGAGTGTATAGTGCTACAGTCTTCCGTGCCGCTGGCTTGTGACTCTATAAAGATTTGTTAAACGTCACAGCAGATTCGTACAAGCGGGGGAAAGAAGATCTTCCAGGCGACTTGTTCATTTATAAATCCATGGCCTTATATTGGGGGAGATCTTCGATCCTTCTGGAAGCAAAAGTAGTGAGAGTGCAACGGTTCATGTTGAACTTCACTTATTAATGGCAGCTTTAGCGGAAAACATGAACAAGGCACTCGTTCTTCACTCCCCGTTGTGCCCAATTAAAAATGATGGGTGGGCCATTCGGCCCGGGGATGCTGACCCATCCCCATGCCCAAGAAAGAGAGAGAGAGAGAGAGAGGAAGGAGGGATACTAGAGGGGAGTTGGAAGCTCAGCCTTCGAGGCGGGTTGGGGTTTAGTGTTACTGGGGGGTTGTGGGGGGGCACCTCGGGGGCCCAACTGTCGTCTCAGCACGTAATTCCCCGGTGTGCGAACTCGCGCGGGGGGCGATCGCGAGTGACGCTCCCGTTGCCGTGCTGAAGAAGAGAGAGAAAAGAAGCCCGGAGCAAAGCAAAGAGAGAAGGTACTATGCCCAACAGTAAAAAAAGAATGGGAAGCAAGAGGCTTGCGGAAAGCAGATGGCTTGCGAGAAGCATGCCTTCTGTTTCTAGACTAGCTAGCACTCCTTTGGAGAAGTCAACAAAGGCCAAAGTGTCTCGCGAGATGTGCGTGTGAACCCACGGTACACTGTCATGTTCATCTATTTTGTTTTCCAATTTTATGGGCTCTGGCTGCAGACCGGGGAACCTCCTGTTCGTTGTTTCATGCGTCGTTAATTCCTGCGAAGGATTCCAAGCACTTGAGGGAACCTAGCAGCAAGTAGCACTAAGTGGCATCAAGTTCCAGAAGGCCTAGTGATTGGCTTCATCAGTAGACGCGGGAGCGACTGCAAATCTCTCGCAGATTATCGACTCCGCATCGACTGAACAACACTGTGACTAGGTGATCCGGCAACTGTACCAGGCGGACATCCAGACGCTTGGCGTGATTAGTCGGTTTTGTGCTTTTGCCCTCAGCCTTCCAAGCTGCTGCACTGGCTCAAGTCAAGCGTGTTTACGATTGAGGGGGCCTAGTGGGCATGAAGCCAGATGGGCACCAAGAAAGAGAAATCCAAAGACAAGAAGGCTTCAGGCAGGAAGAAGTCAAAAGCCAAGAAGAAAGAAAAGCACAAGTCCAAGAAGGCGTCCTCCTGTCTGGGTTTGCTGGGTTTCTGACCGGGCTGGTTTTGGCGATGGTATGAATATTGGCCCTGTCCAGGCCTACAAAGATGACAGCAGCAGTTCGTCAGCTTGCTCGCACGAGGCTCTGCTTTTTCTCAGCTTACAAGCCTTTGCCATTTGATTCGCTTGCAGGCGCTGAAGGCCAAAGCCCCCAAGGCCCTTGACGCGGGAATCGCGCAGGAGATCCGGGCTGCATTGAAACGCCGTGCCGAGACTTGCTTGCACCCCAAGGGTTGAGTCCAGTTGGTCAATCCCGAAGTGTCTGGGCATGCCGAGGAGGGCGCATCCGCCACAGACGTGGCGACAGAGAGGGATGATGCATTGGGTCGGCATGATGCGCGGAAGACTCTGCTAGGTCCAAGTCGAGAGGAAGTCCTCAGCGAGTCGCAGAAGGCAGAGCGGGATGCGCTGAACCAGGAGGCAGAAGAAGTTCTCAAGCGGCACAGGGACCTTCGGCTCCGTGCAGGGGCCGCCAAGTGAGTCTTCAGCGCCCCGCACGCCGCTTCCCACCCGTTGAAGATGTTGATCACATGCCTGCTTCAAGGATATGGAAAACTGGCAGATTTGCGCTGCTGTGCAAGGTGTTTGGGGTCCAAGTGTGGACCGAGTCCCAAAAAGCGCAGACGTTAGACGGCGGATCCTGCAATCTGCTGCGCGACGAGCAACCAGTGCCGGCGCCTGCGAACAAAAAGCCGTCTGTGGGATTCGGGAGCAGCCTCCTTTGCCTTGCAAGTGCAAGGGTGACCCCACAGGCAATCAATCATTCGAGAGATTTGAGACGGAGCGATTGGAGCATCGTTAGCACCAGGAAGCAAACGCCTGCTCTGAGGAAGTTGGAGCGCATGCTCCAGAAAAAAATGCAGTCAACCGTTCAAACCTTGTCTCAGAAGGCCTGCTAACACAATTTGGCTGCTTGAATTCGCTTTGTGCTCCTGCAAAGAGTTGCTTTGCAGGGTTCGAATTTACCACAAGCGCAGCCGGGCACTTGCGTGGTGACACCTGCTGCGGAACGACATGCTTGTATCAGCTTGAGGCAGAACACAAGCTTCCTGAAGAACTGTGACCCGTCCTTCCTTACACGCATGGCGCAGCATTTGGAGAAACAGGCCTTGGGTCGCCTAGTGCATGAACTCAGCTGGACGCTGGACTTCTTGTGAGGTGTTCATGGCTGGACAACCTTTGCTTGAAGAGGATGTTGATGCAGGCTTCTGCCTGCTTATCCAACAAGGCGGAAGATGCTGGCATCTCTGTGCAGCGTGGCTCAGCATCTTCCTTTAAGCCTTCATCTTGTAGGCGTGGCATGCGTGGAGAAGGCAGGCTGGACCCCTAGGTTGCACTGTTGCAGCATCGCTTTCCGGCCGATTTCTTGCGTGACGGGCTTGTGCATCAAGGCAAGGTCGTGGCCAAGATCGGTGCGGGAGAGAATCTTGGATGCAGTGACTGTTGCGGAGGTGGTGCTGGGTTCACTGTAATGGCTGTGCTGAGGTTCATAGGTGAGCTCGTGGCTTTGGGATTTGCCACTGCTGCTTCTCAAACCATTCGAGCCGAAGAAAGGACCATGCTTGAAGACGTCAGCAAAAGGGATTCCAACATGCAATTCCGAGCTGCAGGGTGCTGGCGTTCGCCATAAATAACGATGCGTTCCGGGAGCTGGTGGACGAATTTCCGGAGGACGCAGCGCAGAAATGAAGTGCTCGCGACAGTGCGATGGTTCTCCGGAGCTTGAAAGGAGAAGCAGAAGCTTTTGGAGCTCGCCCGGCAGCGCATACAGGCACCTATGCACAGATACGCGACAGCACAGAGCAGCGCAACTGAAGCCGCACCGCGCTGCACTGCACTGCACTGCATGGTCCTGCATGATGCTTGGAGTCTGGGAGGCCAATGTTGGGCGGAGGCGGAGTTCACGAGGTTTGTTTGGTCGACCAGATCTCCTCAAGGTGCCTCTCACTGCCTCTCTGCCTTCCCCCAAACGATGGGAGAATCCAGCAAAGGGACACCCCTTTTGAGTCAGGCTGTGAGTGTTGTTGCGGCATTCCAGAAGAACGAGGAGCGACGATCCTCTCGAAGTCTCACCGGTGACTTCCTTTGCAAGCATGGCATGACTTGACATGACCTGAGAGTCGTGGCACTGAGGCGAGGGCGTCCTGCTACAGCCGGAAGACACCCATCAGGCCTTCGAGGTGTCAGCACGTGAACCAGTTCTGCCAAATCATGCAGCAGGTGCGGCGACTTCCCGGCTACCGGAGTGGTGTTAAATGGGTAAAACAACGGCGTGCAGCGCTTGAGGAAGCAACGTGCCACAGCTGCAGCAGCAACCACACCCACTTAAACAGTTTCTATTATGATCTAGGCAGTTTTTACACCCCAGACCCCCAGAAAGTGATCTGCAGCTCTGTATCCTTTAAACTCCCATTGTTTCCTCTGCGCTTTACTTGATAGGCTCTTAGAGAGGGCTCAGTCTATGGGACACAGTTAATTTATCTGTTCTGAGTTTGTTGCTTGAGATTGGTCATCAGACTGTCCCTTTTAGCACGTTTCACATCGTCAGACTCCGAACCATATGCCTCGCCTGGATTGCCCGAGTGTGAGCGCCGAAACAGATTCTGTCCGGCAGCTTGTTGCGCACGAAGGTATGTAAAGCTGAAGAGAACCACTCTCAGAAACCAACAAGCACCCGGTGTTGACCTCGGCGCTACTGACACTAGTGACACTAGTGTTAAAGTCGAGCTGGCACAATCCTTTTTGCCGGCGAGGTGACGAGTTTGAGCCGTTGGTGCCGCTGCCTCCGCTCCAGGGCTATCGCCCCCCGGAGAAGGGCCCAGGAACACCGTGGTCTGCACAGTCGCAGCGTCAGGCAAGGGTAGCAGTGACAAAACGCGCGAAATCTCAATCACCTCATGTGCTTGGGCAGGCCATGCCTGCATCGGTGATGAGGTTGCGCAAGTTCAAGAAGCTGTACGGGAGGCGGAAGGTCTAAGAACGCAGCCGCCGGGCCTTTGTAGAATCTGCTCACATCAGGAACGTCTGGCTCGAGACGTGCATTCCGTGGAGCCGACCCAGCATGTGCCACTGCGAAACTGGTGTTGACGTCTTCTTCTGCACTTTGGTCAACGCAGTACTTTACTTGTCAACGGTTCGCAGACCCCCGCCGTCGGGCAGCTCAACGCCAATCGCAGGCCTTGCGACGGAGGCCAGCCTGAGTCCTTTCAATGCTTGCAAAGTTCACAGTGTCGGGAGGGACGTTGAGCTCCGAACATCCCGAGGACAAGGGCAGTCGCTCCGCTGCACGGCCTCGTCCTCTGGAGCTGAATGACGACGGGCAGGTTCCGTTTCAGTCGTTGCTTTGGCCAGCTTGCATCTCCAGTGTTCTTTCCCCTGTGTTGCGTACCGATACTGTAAGTGATGAGCCAGCGCATGGCCGTTGCATGCGGACTTTTGGTGTGACCCCACCCGGCATTTGAACTAATCGAGCTGCAAGGTCGCAAAAAGCAAAGCGAACTGATCACTGGATGGGAAAAGCGCATTTAACTGTTCTGGCAAATCACTTCTTGAAAGAGACATCGCGGAAGAGAGAGCCCTCTCCTTCGTGCGGGATTCCATGAACATGTGAGATCCGGAAGCGTTGCACGCTTCATGGTTGGGTTGTCCACACCGCTAGCATGAGCTAGGAGTGCCAGTGAGGGCGGCATTGCAGCAATACCAGAAATTCATGAAGGCCGCTCGCCGGTGAAAGCTTCCAATACAGGCGAGGGTGCGCCGTTCATTCGGTCATTCGCTCGCCTTTCCGCCTACCAGCCCCGAAGCGAAGAGGTCGCCTGCTCTCTGATTTCCCACGCCTCACCCCACCCCCAATCACCTGACGCCACGCCTCACTTCGCTCCGTCCCAATGCAATCAGCCGTCGCTCACTCCATCACTCACACGCTTGCTTACTTGCTTACTCGTTCCACTGATGGGGATGGCCGGAATGTGTTCGTGTGCAGGATGCGGCACCTGTCTCGATGGAGCCCGCCTCCCCAACTTCGCCGGAAGCAGCGAAAGCTTTGAGACAGAAGCTTGCCGGAACACTGGCCGCAGCCCCGTGCGATTATGGACAGGCTCGTTGAGTACAACAACCTCATGATTCCGAGGCTCCATCCATGTTCGAGCAGATGCACAAGTGGTTCTCAGCTGTGCAGGGGGATGACGAAGAGGAGCTGCCTAAAGACATCTAAAGACTATACCAGTGCAGATCCACAAGCAGCGAAAGAATCGCACGGTGTGCACCCCCTTAGGAAGATAACAGGAGGTGCAGGCCCACCAGCTGGAACAGGACGACCACGACGATGATCGCGACGACGACGAAGACATCCACGAACGCGATGATAAAGATGACCAGGACGACCACGACCACGAGGATCACGACGAAGACGACGGCGAACGCCACAACGGCCATGCCCACCGCGATGATCAAGACGACCACGACCCCACTATCAAGACCACCAGGACGAGCGAGACTAGTAGGACCACCAGGACCACCGGGACCACCGGGAGCGCCAGGACCACCACCATTACCACCATCACCACCCAACGCGCTCTGAGCATTTTGAGCGCCGCAGCGCAGGGCCTGGCCAGTCCCGCTAGTGCGAGCCGCGGAACCGCCGGGCGGGCGTGCCTCGCAGCGACCATAACCACTCCCTCGTTCTCCTACACAAGAACCGCGTGTTGCCACACTGTTTGGGCAACAACTCTAGGGTGCTTTGAACGAGAGAGCTTGCCAGGAGCGCAGCCCAATCGAGAAGCTGAGTCTCTTTCTGCAGCAGGCTGCCGCGGAGCTGGCCTTCATTGTGAGGGCTGTGTTTAATTGCTTCTTGCTGTTGAGGAGGAGGAGGCTGAGGAAAGCTACAGACGAGAACGTGCCGCTCCATGCTTGCCATATTTTGCCGTATCTTGCCATTGCGATCCCAACCTCGAGTCTTCAGATTTCTTCACATTCCTTCTCGAACCTCGGCAGGGCGGCATTCGCACCTTTGCAAGGGCTTCCATGCGTGGAAGGTGTTCTGTTTTGGTCGAGGCACGGCTCCTTCGCCACTTTTTCCGTGCGAAGTGAAACCTCGCAGGCACTGCATCGAAAAGTGCTGCGGCGGCAGATGAGCCCAACATCGTCGACCTGGACTACAGCTCTCGAGAAGGTGCGATGATTCCTCCGATGTACAGACCGCCCAGACGGCAGACCAATTGCAGACGGGAGTCTTTTCTGGCAGACAGGCGGGGAGGGGTGGTTGGCTTTGGACATTGCAGACCGCGAGGGCCTCAATTTGACAAGTGGGGCATCTACGGCTCGAATTGCGGAATATAAGCGGGATGTGAAAGCAGAGTCTCTTACATGTACATGCCAGTTTTCTCAGAGACGCAACAGCGATCACAGCGACCTTGACCGTGCACTGGATGGCTCAAGCGAGCGTAAAAGCAAGTGTGCGCCAGTGCGAGGGAGCTTTGCAATCTCGCACTGGTAGCGGAGCTACGGCTCCTGGGGGCCTTTTGGAAGGCCGAACCCTGCGCTTCTGCGCAACCGCCTTTTGCAGAGCCATGGCTGCTTTGCTGGAATTGCTGCGCTGGCCGAACTTTGTTCATGACGACGAGGTCGGCCAGGGCACCGAGGGGAAGTTTGGAATTCCCCGATACAACGGCGAGCCCACCCGGCTTGCTGAGTACTCCTTCCGAGTTCGGGCCAGGATTGCCAAAGAGAAGACGATGAGCAAGGAGGAGAAGGAGAAGCTTGGACCCTTGGGGCTGCGTCTCATAGAGGGCGTGTCTGGAACGGCCTTGCGCATGGTGCAGACCATGGACATGGCCGATTTGGCAAAGGACGACGGCCCGGAGAAGCTCCTTGCGATCTTCGAGAAGACCCTTCGGCCCAAGCGGATGCAACAGGCCCGCGAGCTGTATGCCGCCGGGGCCACCTCCCACGGAATTTTGTCGAGGCAACCTGGCGAGCCGGTTTCTACCTTTGTGCTCCGGCGTCGGACCTGGTACCGCTGCCTTACCGACTGCAGCACTGAGATGAAGCTACCGGATATGGTGCTGGCAGAGCAGTTGCTTGCGGCCTCCAACCTCTCGAGCGGCCGCCAGTTGCTGATTCGGACCGCGATCAAGGGGGACCTCACCTTTGACAATGTGGCCGACGAGCTGGTGGCTCAGCACGGCAGAGTGCATGAAAGGGAGCGTCGCACGCCAGCGCCGCACAAGGGGCCCGGCCACAAGGACAATGGCCACTGCTCCTGGACGACCTCTTCTACACGATCCTGGAGGCCAACGGGGTACATTGCCGAGACCGAGGAGGGCACCGAGCACACGGAGCACGACGACCTCTACTATGAGGACCCGCTAGCCCTCTACGGCGAAGAGGAGCTGGACTTCGAGGAGGAGCAGATCGGCTACCTGGTCGATGATGGGGTCGACCTGGAGGACCCCGAGGTCGCCGAGCACGCGGCTGACTTGATGCAGGTCGAGCAAGAGGCACACTTCGCACGGAAGGGTGCCGCACACAAGGGCGGAGGATTTCGAGCGCCGCCCGCTCGGCAGTTTTCCGTGACTGGCTCCCTCAGCCTGAGGAGCGGCGAAAGAAAGTGGCCGACCTGAAGGCCCGCACGACTTGCCGCCGATGCGGGCAGCGTGGCCACTGGCAAGGGGACCCACACTGTCCCCAGACCAAAGGGGCAGGACGCTCAGGAAAGACACGGCCGGGATCCTCTCCGAGTTCCACTTCGAGCACCTCGGCGTCTTCCCCGTCGCACGGCAAGGGCAACCCTGGAAAGAACGGAAAGCCGAGGCCAGTGTACTTTGCCATCAGAGAGAGCGAGCCACCGCACGGGCGCACCGCCAACCTAGCCTATCGAACCCCGGGCCGCCGAGACTATCGGGCAGTACCTCCACCACGTGATCTTCGTATGCCGTCCGGCGTCATCGACCTGGAGACCGAGCAGCAGGAGGACAGCCCGGGAGGTTCGGCTTGGAGTTTGGTTCCCGCGGAAAACCGGCCGCAATGGACGGACCTTCCGGAACAAGGAGCCCTGGAACAAGCCCAGCGACATCCCAGATGGATGCCGGAACAGCAGCCGGCCCCTACGGCCAATGAGCTGGAGGACGCTATGCTCCAGCAAGCTCTCGGTGCCATGGAGGTGGACACTCCGGCACCGGCACCTTTACCGATTGGCGGCACGAGTTCTACCCCACTTACCCGGACGCCGCCCGCGACACCGCCACGGACGCCGCCTACCACGACTCCGACTGGAACGCCTGTACCGGGAAGTTCGACGGCACCACCGCCAAGAGCCGGCTGTCAGCATTTCAAGACAACCACCAAGGGGAGCAACGCCTTTTACAGACAGGTCAAGTGCCTTGACTGCGGTGCCATTCTGGAGCGCTCCAAGGTGACAGCCACCACCACGGCAGCGACGACAAGCACTCCTACGGCCGGCTGTCCGCACCACCGTGTGACTTGGCGCGGCACCAACGCTTTCTCATGGAAGCGCACCTGCCTGGACTGTGGGTTTCAAGAGAGCGGCCCGACTAGCACCCGACCGACGCCGGCGACAACAACCACGACCCATGGAACGACCTCAACGACGCCGGCACCCACGGCCCAGGAGGAAGAGATCTACTTGACCAAGGAAGAAGCCGAGAGAGCCGTGGCCACTTTCCAGGAGGCAGTGCACCGACGCCTCCACCACGTCGGGCCGGAGAGCTACATAAAGGGAAGCTCTTTGCGAGAGTCCTTGCGTTTGGTGCTTCACATGGTGACGGTTTTCAACGACCCGGTCCCCGAACCACGACCTCTACCACAACGGGTGCTACCGACAGCCACCTGTGAGGCCGATCAGCGTCGGGCCGACACTCTCCGAGAGCGTGCTTCCCAACTGGCCACCGAGGGCAAGTACAAGAATGAGCCTGTATACCATGCCTACCGTGACAATGGCTACCGCAACTGGGTGCGCGCCAACATCGATGACCACAGCGGCCGCGGCATGAAGCAGCTCAAGCTTATTTTCATGGAGATCGAAGAGTACGAGAAGCTTGGCGGACCCCTTTTCCAGGATCCGGCTCGGCATGCCACATGGTCTTTGGAGAGGACGCCGCCGAAGAACCCACGGGGCCCGAGAGTTCCCTGGTTTGCGTCTTGGACACAGGGTGCAACACCACGTGCCATGGAAGCCGCTGGCTGGAACGGTACCTCCGGCTCACCAAGCAAGAGGCACCCGAGCTGCAACCAGACCATGGCGGAGGCTTCCGAGGGATAGGCGGCTTGGTTCGGACCGCCGGGGCACGAGAACTGGACCTCTGCCTGGAGCTCTCCAACGCGGGGTACGCCAATGGGAGCCTGAGAAGCGTCGAGATCGAGGATAGCGATGCCCCTCTTCTTGTGAGCCTTGAAGCGCAACGCCGGCTTGGCCTGGTGCTGGACCTGACGCGAGAAGTGGCTCACTCCCAGCTTCTCGGCCACGACCTTCGGCTCGTTCACCATAACGGTCTTTTTGGGCTTCGCTTGCTTCCCGGCGACTTTGCCTACTACTTCGACATGCTCAACAACGACCGCGATAGCATTGACGGCGAGGACCCCGACCGGGAAGACCCAGAAGACCCGGACGACGTGAACCACCACAACCGTGAGGACACCAACGGCAACGTGAACCACCACAACCGTGAGGACACCAACGGCAACGTGAACCACCACAACCGTGAGGACACCGACGGCAACGTGAACCACCACAACCACGAAGACACCAGAGGAAACCAGAGCGAAGCCATATGTGATGATGCCACAAGGGGTTCAGAAGTTGACGTGAGCGTTGGCTTCCTGGCGTTCGACACCATGAAGCCTCACGCCATGAACCGGACACAAGCCACCAAGCACAAGGAGCAGGTCATGGGAATTCGAAGCCACGACCGCCTGCTCTGGAACCAAGTGTGTCCTTATGCTTCCCGGCGGCGACCATGCCTTCCGCGGGGCTGTGGCACTTTCCTTCTGGAGATCTTCGGCTGCGCGGTGCTCACAGGAATCGCCCACCAGAGCTACGGGTACCCAGTTTCGACCCCTTTGGGAACCGGGCACTTCGGCAACATCGACCTTAAGACCGTGAGTGGGCGCCAGCAGGCCACCGAGATCATTGAGAAGGAGGACCCCTACCTGATGACGTTCTCGCCGCCGAGCACTCCGTGGACTAGCTGGCAACGGGTCAATGCCACCAGAAGTGAAGAGGCCAAGGAAGCAATCCAAAACGAAAGGAAAAGCTGGCTGCCCTTCATCCGCTGGATGACCGAGACCATTGCAGAACGACTTCAGCGAGGTCGGCAAGTCCTGGTTCTGCACCCGGCTGGTTCCGATTTGTGGGGAACGTGGGACCTCCAAGGCCTTATCTGGCAACCTTCTGCCCGAGAAGCAGCAACCACCGAACGCCTGGAACAGGTTCCTTTTGACCTGTGTGCTTTTGGGCTGCTGGACAGCCAAGGGCAACACTACGTTCGGAAGCCCATGCAGGCACTGACCGCGAGCCCTGGGTTCAAGGACCTACTACGCCAGGCCCGGTGCCCCGGAGATCACCAACACAGCCGGCTGCAGGGGAACAAGGAATGCCAAGCAAGTGACGGCTGGACCCTGGAGTTCGGCACGGCCGTCATGGATGCCCACCTTGGAGATCTCGATGGGATTCTGGTTCGCACTGCCTTTCCGGCGGAAGCTATGGAGGAAGAGGCGACCGAGTCACCTCTGGATGACCTTATGCCACCCACCTTGGACGCTGTCTACGACGACGGTGACCTGGCACGACTTCTACCACAAGGGCAACAGATTGACGAGCAGGCAGTCATTGAAGAAGAGACGGCGAACCCCAACTTGGAAAAGGAAGAGGGGGAGCCACTGAGGCAACTGCGGGCTCGTTGGCGTCAACTACCACAATCTACGCGCATAGCGGTGCGACGGCTGCACACCATGACGGGCCACGCCTCTGTTACCTCTATGCAGCGACTGCTTCGCACGGCCGGGGGCGACTCTGAGGTCATCAAGGCACTTCCCTATTTCCACTGTGCCGCGTGTGCTGCCAGAAAACAGCCAGCGCCACAGCCAGCTACGAGGATGCCCAGCGACTACCGGTTCAATGTGGAGGTGGCACTGGACTGCTTTGAGGTTAGAGACGTGGCGCGGCACCGCTATACCATCCTCTCGGCCGTGTGCATGGGAACGCTCTACCACACTGCGGCGGTGGTCTCTCCGGATGGTGGCGTACCTTCTTCGAAGCGATGCCTGGAAGCCTTCAGTCACATGTGGCTGAATTGGGCCGGACCTCCTCGGCGTATTGTGCTGGACCGTGGGACCCACAACCGCGGCATCTTCTCTGAAACCATCAATGCCATGGGGATCGAGCTGCGGTACATTGGTGTAGAGGCCCCACACCAGCTTGGCAGAGGAGAACGGCAAGGTGGAATCCTTAAGCAGATTCTCCAGCATGTGATCGAAGCCCGCCAAGTGGACAACCATTTCCACGGGATCACCACTCTCCTCCCCGAGGCCACCTTCGTCAAGAACAACCGGATCCACCACGGCGGCTTTACCCCTTCCCAGTGGACCCTGGGAAAACTGCCGATTGAAGTGGACTCATTGGTTGCCGAAGAAGCCACCGACCGAGCTGGAGTACACCAAGAAGCCCTCGAGCCTGAGACCGAGTTTGGCCGCCAGCTGCAATTTCGTATGGCAGCCAAGGAGGCCTTCAGCTACATTGACGGGGCTCAGCGTGTACGAGCCGCAATGCTTCGCAAAATGACCCCTCAACGAGGACCTTTCGCACCCGGAGACCTTGTGTGCTTCTTCCGCAAGACACGCGGAAACATCACAAAGGGCCGGTGGATGGGACCAGCCCCTATCCTCGGACTGGAGGGGCGCAACCTTGCATGGCTCATCCACGGAGGGATGCCTATTACGGCAAGTCTTGAGTCCCTCCGCTTTGCCACTGGAGGTGAGATTGTGGCAAAGAGGAATCTGGAGCTGCGCCCATCCAGGAAGCGCCGCCGTGAGCTTGTTGACCCAGATGAGGAGTTCGAGTACCCTTTTGGCGACGACCTGGTTGGATCGCCTACGGCTCAGGCTGGCGGAGGAGAAGCACAACAGATTCCTTTCTTCAACAATGACGACCCGGATCTTGAAGACTACTCTCCGAGCCCGCTTCCTGAGGAACCTTCTCCTGTGCAAGGGCCACCACCGGGCCTACCGGCTCCAGCTTGGCCACCTCAGGAACTACTACCACGTGTGCCAGAGGAAAGCGACTCAGACCTAGATGGGCCCAGCACTGGAGCAGAACCTGAAGCAGAACTTCTGCCACCTTCGGTGGCACCAAGCCGACGGACTTCCAACACACAGCCAACGACATCTACTTCACCTGGGGGAGCAGAGCAAGGCCAGGGCCCACCGACTTCCAACACACAGCCGACAACATCTACTTCACCTGGGGGGCCTGCGCTTAGCGTCTTAGAGCAAGCACTTCGTCGTTCACCGCATGTGTTAGATGGGGTCCCAAGTGCCACAAGACAAGCCGAGAGATCTAGGTCCTAGGTCGCCGGTTCCGAGTGCAAGAGCGGATGTCCATGAGCGATCGGCCCTGGTTGGCTTCCTGGCCAAAAGGACCAAGGCGAAGACAAATGCTGCTCGAGCCAAGGAGCTTCACCTCAACAAGGCTACCCCTGAAAGGCGCGAGAAGATGATGGCCGCCAGAGCTAAGGAATGGGCCAATTGGACCAGCTTCGATGCCACCCGTGTTCTACCACCAGCTGAAGCAGCCAAGTTCCTGGCCGAGAACCCCGATGTGGAGGTGATCCCCATGCGCTGGGTGGACACCTTGAAGTCGGAGCCATGGGAAGAAGACCGCCACAAGGCCAGGATGGTGGTAAGAGGGGACCTTGAGCGTGACGGGGACCTACGCACAGACAGCCCAACATGCAGCCAGCAGATGTTATGCTTCACCCTTTCCCTGGCTGCCGGGAAAAGATGGCCTGTCTTTGGAGGTGATGTCACAGCTGCCTTTCTGCAGGGTGAGCACATCACGCGGCAACTGGTGCTCTCGCTCCCTAAGGACGGCGTGGAGGGCATCGAAGAGGGGAGCATCATGATCGCCAACAAGCCGGTGTATGGGACGCGTGATGCACCGAGGGGCTTCTGGAAGAAGCTTGCGAAAACGGCCAAGAAGCACGGCTTCAGAGAGATTCCCTTTGAGCCGGCTGCCTACTCCCTGAGCAATGCCAAGGGCGAGCTCCTCGGGATTGTCGTCTCCCACGTCGACGACCTTCTGTGGACTGGGGGGCAAGAAATGAGCGAGGTGATGAAGAAGTTTCAAGAGGACCTGAAGTTCGGATCGCTCGATGAGGGCGACTTCACCTACTGTGGCAGGAAGATAGCTCAAGAGGCCGAAGGGATCCGAGTGACCTGTCCGAACACAGCAGCCAAGGTTCGAGCCATACATGTGGCTCCTCAGCGCCGGAAGCAGCGAGACCTCCCGGCAACCGACTCTGAGACGAGCCAGCTACGGAGTGTGCTTGGATCGTTAGGATGGGTTGGCCGAGTGTGTCGGCCCGATATATCCTATGAGCTCTCCTCCTTGCAGGCTGTCCAGAAGCAGGCTACCGTGCAGGACCTCCTCGACGCCAACCGGCTTCTCTACTATGTGCAGAAGACCCCCGAAGCTGGAGTGTTCTATAGGTACGGGGCAGTAGATATGGACCGGGCTGTCCTGCTGTCCATTACCGACGCCTCCTATGCCGCCGACTTCGACACAAGCAGCAGCGGGAAGGCGCTTGGAAACCGGTCGCAGAGTGGAAGACTGCTTTGTTTGGCAGACCCCAGCTTCCTGGAAAGCGGAGAAGGAGAGGTGTACCTGCTGCAGCACCACTCCAATGTGTTGCGTCGAGTGTGCCGGAGCACCCTCCAAGCGGAGACCTTGAGCATGGTGTCCGGCTTTGAGGAAGCAGAGCACATGCGTGCAGTGATGTATGGCATGCGCCGCGAGCTCACTGAAGGATGGCAGGTGCGTGCCATGGACGAGGTCACCATTCATATGTTGACCGACTGTCGCAGCTTGGAGACGCACTTGTTGCAGAACGGCATGGGCACCACGAGTGACAAGCGGCTCTCGATCGACATGAGTGCTCTTCGCCAGATGATCTGGCGAGAGAAGGGAGAAGCCTACGGCGATCCTTTGGGAACAGATGGCATCCCGAAGGACTCTACTACGAAAGTGGAGTGGATCGAGACCAAGTCCATGCCGGCAGACGCGCTCACCAAGAAGATGCGGAGTGACCAGCTGAACCTGTTCATGAGAACGGGGCACATGAAGATAGATCGAGATCGATCCTCCAAGAAGGCCGGCAATCGCCCGGTCTAAGGTCTTAAAAAGACCATGGATGTGAAAGCAGAGTCTCTTACATGTACATGCCAGTTTTCTCAGAGACGCAACAGCGATCACAGCGACCTTGACCGTGCACTGGATGGCTCAAGCGAGCGTAAAAGCAAGTGTGCGCCAGTGCGAGGGAGCTTTGCAATCTCGCACGGGATTCTTCTAAGGCGTTGTGCAGATGATTGACAATGTGTTGGAGGCAGATGAGGTCAAACAGGTGCGTCCGAAGAGCGAAGAGTGCATCTTATGAGCTTCAGCGATGCGCAGGACGGCGAGTTCTGAGATCCTCATCTGCGCAGTTTCACTCGGGTGCTGGTGGTTTCCTTCCGAAACTCGGGGGCTGCCACCTCTCCCATGTACGGGTAGGACACAGTAGGACAGGTAGGCTCGACATGGCTCGACAAGGCCCAAGGCCCCACGCCGCAGATCGTCTGCCGCCCCAACGAATTATACTCCTGGAGAGCGGGGCTCAATGGCTTAGTCTGAATATACATGTGGTTGGGAGATCCGTGATGGCTGCTAGGACGATGACCAACATCATGTTAGCCTCTTGACATAATTCTGGATATTCTGGCTGGCTTCGTGTGTATCGGCAGTTTCTCAGGCGTCGCTCTCACGGTCCTGGTGGAAGCACCCATTTTTGTGGTTTGCACGCTGACGGGCCTGGGCCTCTTCGCGTTCGCTGTGCAGCTCCTCCATCGCTTGAGGCAAAGTTGCGATTGCTGTAGGGTCTTCGTTCTTGTGGTGGTGGCGATGTTTGTGATACTGGTCTGCTGGTCTGCTTGATCAGGCGGCTCAAGATGATGTTGACCAGCGAGCAGGCCATAGCGGCGCTGCGTGAGGGAGTCGCTCAGAAGCATTTTTGCTCAGAGACCTTCCTTCTCTTTTCAACTCGACCCTCCGTTCGAGCACCTCGCCCTCCCGCTCTCCTTGACCCAGCTATCTCATTTTTTGCATCGATTCTAGGTACACCCTGATGGGCGAGCGTCAGAGAGCTCCTACGCTGGCAGCTCTCAAACGCGGGCAACTGCAGAGGCCACGCGTCGTTGGCTGCGTCTGGTGCATTTTCTGGGTTCGGGGTTAGAATGTCGGAAATCTTTACCACCGACAGATGTCCAGTTCCGCCTCAGCAACCTCGCCTGACGCGTTCGAGCGCGATGCCCAAAACGTCAAAAATTGTTCGAATCATATGGTATTTTTCAAATATCCCCACCAAAGATCGCATATCATTCCTGAATCGACAAAGGGACAGGTGATCGGTTATGATCAATGTGGCAGATAAATCGCTGCGGAAGATCAAAGCGCGAGAGGAATGGGAGTGCACGGCAGTTCGGGGGAGTACACGAAATGAGTCTGCAGCAGATGAGTGCGGAGTGAGTAGTGCCTGTGATAGTTGTGAAAAGCAGGTTGTGCATGATGCCAGGGGCGTGTGCAACACATGTTCTCGTGGCTACGGACTGCCAATGTTTGAGTCTGTCAGTATTGTCCTAATTGTATAGCCCTCATTGGTGATGCCAAGATTGTACCCTGCATCGTAGGTTCGTCCTAGCCAGGCGGGAGGCAAAAATTCCTGAATCCACTGCGAGCATTGTGACGCAATCTCTCTGTACTCTTCTTTTGTCGTGAGACTTGACAGACCGTGAGATGCATTGCCCTGTCTTACGATTGGTATGTCACAAGTTAGCAGCATGGCAACATGCATGACACATGATGGCATGATGATAAATGATTCCTGGAAGATGATTAGTCGATGTCATGTCAGCATGGTGTGTCAAGTTTCTCAATTAGTTCGTGTGTATCGAAGTAACCCGAAGTGTCAAATTGGTTTTCTGGGCCTGAGATTCTATTTTCGGGTATTGCAGTTAGTGATCACATGTGAGAAAGTTTGGTCCTGAAAAGGGCGCTGGCGCGTGCCAAATCCAGTTGCGATTTTGATTTGTGTGTTTTGGCGACTTTGAATCGTTCGATTTCAGCTTTCTTGTTTTGCATTTTTTACCCATTGTTTTCTATTTGGTTCGGCATTGTCAGTTCTTTGATATTGTTATATCCACCCGCAAGGTCTCGGCGTGTTTCTTACATTTTCTTACAGTTTCATGATTTGTCTTCCCGTTTTTGCTACTTGTTGCGATTATTCATGTTTTTCAACGCTTATTGATTTTTCTTTCGCATGTTCATAAAGAAGCATTTGGCTGTTGTTCTTGGTGTTTTTCGGTTTGGCTCATGTATATTGGATCATCTCCCCTTATCGCCAGATTTCGTGCGACGGTTCAAAGTTGTCTGTTCTGCTCTGTGGCGAGTCAACTGCATGTTGCCATCATAAGATCGAGAATCAGCTTCCACTAGCCTTTCGGAAAGGCATGCCTAAGTGCTTTCGGCTTCGGTTTTATCATCCCAAGACCATGCGTCCCCATACCATTCCATATCCTGACTCCATTCCTCTTGGTTTCCTTCCTTCAGTCACCGCTGACATTCTTCCTTTACCTTTACCTTTAGGCATTCCTTGCTCCAGTGGCTCGGATTGGTCTTTGTCCCATATGTTACTGACTTCTCATTCCTTGAGGCAGCCGTTCGATGTTGAGGCCTTTCGAGTTTTGGGGATGATTTGAGCTTCAAAGCTTGTGCTGTTGTTCGGCCCCCGGGCTCAGTCTTTTGGATTCACCGCAGCAGTCGGCGACGATCCGAATCGTTCGATTTTCCCTGAGGTTTCAACTTTTTGGAATGTTTGAAGAGGTTGTGAAACCCTGAAGAGATACCTGTGGAAGGGACTATGGCCTATGGATTGAGGAAAGACAGTTTTGCAAATGTTCGGACTACCTTCGGTGAACTTGCAGGAGACTTCGTCTTTGGGGGTTTCAGGGCTCAGGGACATTTGACTCTGAACAAGCATGCCCTGGGAAGCTCGGTGCGTCTCTGCCAAATTGCACCTTCGGCCCTGGTCTTTCGTCTGCGCATTCCCTGGCATAAAGTCAAAGGGTCGTTCGACGCCGTCCAGCCCAGCTCCACCGACTTCAGACGGCCATAAGTGCAGACCCTCGAGTAGAGAATGGTGGAGAAAAGATGCCTGATATTTCATGTCAGGGCTTTTCCGGGAAGCTGTGTCAAGTCAGTGTGTCGGTGGATCTTCTGCAACTGGGCAGGCCTCATCCAACGAAAGCACGGAGCAGCTGGAGCAAACGGGCAGGATGGCTCGGATCATCAAATGCAGCCATGCTGCAATATGCCGTTTCCAAGTCACCAAGGAAAGGCACTGCAAACTCTTGCTTTGCCCTGATCGAGGTAGCGAGGTTCAAGCTTCCTGTTCAGGCTGGCCAGGTTGCTCGGCAAAGGGAAACTCTTTCAGAAATTCGCATGCAGGCACCAGTCTGTCGGAGAGCGCCGTCGGTCAGGCTTGGCCTGTGCCCGATGTACTTGTGAACTAGGTCGGGCAGACGAGCAGTTTCTGCAAGCTCTGTGTTCAGACGTGGCCTTGTCTGGAAATTCAAGCTGTTGGCAAAGTAATACGTTCGAAGTCCGCCAATCTGCACACCAAAGGCCGAAGACCCATCTAAAGCCGACGTCTTGCAGTCTGTATTTCTGGGTTTTGGCAATGGCAGCGATGGGACTTGTGCCTGTGCCAGCTCCGAAATCCAGAAGCGGGAGCTTCCGTTTTCCTCAGCAAAGTGCCCTGGTCCGCAGTAGCAGCTTGGAAGCACGCAGTCGCCTGGCGCTCGAGTGCACTGGCAATGGCAGACTAGCACTGGCGGAAAGCCGCCAGGCCCGGACCTTTCGTCCTCTCTTCTGGATGCCGAGAAGTCCTTTGCCGGCCTCGTTTCTGGAACATGGGCCGGAACCGGCATCTGCGATCTCCGTGCGTCCGTGACAGCGCAGCAGAAGCAGGAGCAGTTGCTGTATGCCCAGTGGTAGAAGAAGTATCCTTGAAGTGACGCTCTGTCAAATATGCTCCCGAGCGTCTTCTGCACCATCGTAGGTTCGCGTCGTGAAAGTTTAACCATCGCAGTTTCAGCTCAAGCTCATGCCCGTGATTCCGAGTCTTTTATTCGTGGCCATGCCGAACTTCCCCTCATAAAGCTGCGCAGCTTGACAGCTTTCTTTGTCTGTAGCTTCGCCGTCCCGAGACGTTCGAGAAGACGAGGGTGCTTCCCTGGCGGATTGATACTCTTTGCTTTGGCGGAGGGGCGGAGAAAACATGACAAGTTGAAATATGCTGGTGCAGGGCCGAACAGAATTGCCGTATTAGAGGCGGCTGCCGGTAGCAGGAAGTAGACCATGCAGCCATGCCGAAGAAGCAAGCCCTTCTGTCCGAGATAGAAGCGCTTCAGCTCTTCGCTTTGGCGCTCGTGCCCAGTTGTGCGTAAATAATTGGAGTTCGAAACGCAAGAGACCTAGTGACATATTGGCAAAGCGACACAAAAGGCGAACCTTCACCTCACGACCGCCTGGGTTGCTTGTCGATCTTGTTGCCCATCTTGACAGCACGATTCTGAAACCTCAGATCGACTCCTTGGTGGACCGCGTCGCTATGCTCCTCTCATCCATGCACTCTGAGGCTAACCTTATGAGCGACATCTTGCCTCAAAGGGTTGCCCTGGAGTCTCATCGGAGTGTTTGGTTTGGTAGTGTCAGCCGGTTCTATGCTAATTTTCAGCCCTAGCCTATCGGCTATCGCCTCTTGAGTCCGCTTCGGTTCAGCTGCTGATTGTTGTTTAGCAGCTCAGCCGCCTTTGCAGCTGGTCTGACAATGCCGCAGGTACTGCAAGACGTGCAGGCAGCTTTCGGCGCGTTCAACTTTGAAGCCAGACTGACAGAGATGCGACGCGTAGGTGAGGAGCTAGACTCGCGCTTGAACGAGTTCAGAAACCAGGCTCGACGGTTTGGCTTCAACGAGACATCTGCAATTCAAGATGAAGTTCTGCGACTTGGAGAAACCTTGCATGGGTTTGACGCACGTTTCGCGGCGCACGAGCAAAAACTGCACGAGCTTGAAGACCATGTCGGTGAGAGCATGATCGCCGTGCATGACCGTCTCACTTCGCAGTGGGACGGCATGTCGTCGGAGCTGAAGAAGTTGGCTGACCGTGTGGAGAACGCCGAGTCCGATGTTGCGCTTTTGTCGGACGAGGATCCTGGAAACTATGCGGAGGCCCTGCAGAAAGCGTCAGACACGCTGCGCATCGAGTGCCAAGAGTTTGTGCTCCAACAGCTTGAGCCTGCAAGCGCTCGCTTAGCCACCTTGGAGGAATACTTCTCCCAGCAGCATTGGGACCTGCTTCATGCGTTACGAAACACAGAAGGAGCTGGGTCGAAGGAGGGCGACACTGTCCATAAGGAATGGCAAAGACAGGCGCAAGATGACATGAGGTGGGGACCCGTTCCTTCCCCCCAGCCCCAGGACGCCCCTCACCCCTGCTCTCAGGCAGCACGGCGAGCAGCTCCTCCACTTGACGCGTGAGCTCAGGGACGTTCGAGCCTTGGCCTCGAGCCTGGAAAAAGTGGTGGAAGGACACAGCAGGGAAAGCAGGGAGAAAATCGCGACCGAGAAGCCCATGATTCAGGACCCGTGCCACATCCTGCAACTGTTTAAGCACGTGTCCCAGCAAAATCCGAGTTCAGAAGTGAAAGTGAAGCCGTCTGACCTCAGCTTCAGCGGAGGAACCCCTGAAACCCGATTGCGTTTTTGGCAGAGGGTAATTAATCCTTATCGGAACCCAGGACCTTTCGCAGCGCATGGACCTGGTCCAGGCAAAGCTCGAAGCGCATGGTGCCAACCCGCGAGCGGAGCAGCGGGTCGACGAAATGGATGCCAGGCTCAACTCCATCAGCCTTTCCACGAGTCAAGAGCTCCGCTTCCTCGCGCAACAGTTGCGAGACCTGGAGGGCACCTTGAGCAAGCGAGCGGACACTGCCGAGAAGACGACCGAGCGTTTGCAAGTGCAAGTTCAGGACGTGGTCTCTGTCATGAAGGATCTGCCGATGGCCTTGTTGTCAGGGCCCAGCTTGCAATCAGACGTTGAGGACCGCATGCTGCAAGCACTGGAACGGAAGGTTGACCTGGCATCGCAGGACTTGCGATGTCAGCTCGAATCGCAGATCGCACAGATGTCAAATCGAGACCGGCAGATGCAAAGCGATGCACGTGCTCTCGAAGATGTAAGAGACGTAAGATCGCAAAAGCTTGCGTTCGAAGTGCGGAAGGAGTTCGAGCAGAAGCTGGCAGACAACGGAATGTCCACACAGCAGTTGTTGAGGGAATTGCGCCAGGAGCTCGAAGCTCGAGCATCTCAGTCGCAAAGGCAGGGCGAAGAGCTGCGGCGAGAGATGGAGCTGAAACTGGAGAGGAAGTTCTCGGCATCAGAAATGGCTATGGAGGAGCTTCGGCACACACTGGACAACATGCGAACCCAGCAGCAGGGAACCCTGCACAAACTCTCGGAAGATATGAAGCAGATGAGTGCGGAACTGGAAGTCCGACTTGTAAAGGCACAGGGGTCGAGCCAGAGGTTGGCGGCCGAGCTCCACAAAGACTTGGACACCGAGCTGCAAGCCAGACCTGCGGATACTTCTTATATCTTTTTATCTTCTTGCACCTAAACAGGTTTTCACACTTTTGAACTGTACTCCATGCGAAGGAGGTGAACCTGACCGAGACGAGTCGGCAAGTGTTGCATGAGGAACGACAGCAGTTGGTCAGCGAATTCCGGCAGGAGATTGAAACCAAAGTAGCTTCATTCGCTGAATCTCGCGGTGCCCACCTAGATCTGTGAGGACCTGGAGCGACGCCTTCTGCAAAGAAGCAACGGCCAGGCAATCGCTTTGTGGCGGCATCTGCTGCCGCTGAGGTTTCTGCTTGAGCGTTGTCTAACCGGCCCAACCGAGAGGCCAGCAGCGACCAGGTCCGACTTGCTGCCGAGGACGGATACGAGTGGCCAGGAAGTAAGTGCGGGCTGGATGTGGGTGTCAGACATGGTGTCAGAGGGTAGTGTTATTGCAGCTTAGCTTGCTTGCCGCCTCCGCCAGCAGTTTGAAATCGATGGCATGTGCCGAGGAGATCCGGCAGCTCCGATCAGCCATGGACAGTACAAGGGAAATAGCAGAGACTTGGCACGAGGATGTTAGGCCTGTTTACGTTGGATGGAAGGGAGGGTTTTGGGTCCAGTGTTGCTTTACCTTTCGCCACATGTTGGAAATTGCGATTGCTCCAGGAAGAAGCACGCCGAAGCCCTGCTGCAGTTGGCAGTCACTTTTCGCCTGAATGCCTTTTTGAGTGGTGCCTGTAGATTCTCGTATCACGCGAGGAGACGTGGTCGAGTTCCTTTCCCGTGGGTCAGACGACTCCTTCCTCGAAGCCGCAGAGCGAGCAGCGCGAGTCACAGCCAGCTCCTTGGAGGTCGGCGGAGTCGGAAGTGAAGCGGAATTCGCCGCCCTGGCCGTGCCATGCGGATGCGGTGCCATTGCAGGATCGCTTTTGCGAGCGGTTTGATCGCTGCGATGCAGCAGCCAGCTGCTGTGAACAACTTACGAAAGAGATGGAGAATCGCTTGCGCCAAGCGCCGCGGCATCAGTCCAGAGTCTAGAGCTTGAACTTAATTTCGATGGGCGTTGCCTTCTTGACCGTATCGGTGCCGAGGTATCCAGTGAACTTCGTGCACATCAGCAGCTGGTGAGTGTTCTTGCACCCTCACTACAATCGATGGAATCCGATTCTGCACCTCTGCAGTTTTTTCAGTCAAAGGCTGAGGGGCTGATCAGCTGCTCATGTACCGCTAGAGGTGGCAACAGCAACAGCTGCTGCAACAGCTGCAGCGGCGGCTGCGACAGAAGTGCTCTCAGAGGTCCGGAACAGTCCTGCAATGAGGCGCCATCCACATCGGCTGGTGGTTTAAGCACCAGGCCAGTCACGGACAGGTCACTGCGAAGTAGCCCGTCGAGGTCCCTGAACTCCACAACACAGGAGCTGTTCTTCGCTCGCACGTAGTCATCGCAAAATGTTGGGGAGGGGCTTCAGCTGATGTGTGCGAGGTTTCGTCGTTCAGATGAAGCAATGTCAGAGCAGCCCGAGTCGCGCACTTGCCCAATTTCACCGATCTCCGAAGAAGCAGAGGCGAGGGTGGCTGCGAAAGTCATTTAGGCAAACGTCTTCATTTCCGGGTTGGCATGATTGCAATGGGTTCGCTATAACGTGCGCTTTGCTCTGTCAGGTGGATGAGCAAAGCTTCATCATACAGGGACGGCGCCAAAAGAACAGAGATTTGAGCGTGGACGTCGACCAATTTAGCTTGCAACAGAAAGTCGCAAGGCACCCAAGCTGCAATGATACCGCCCGTGATGTGACTGACTAGCGGCATGTTCCTCTCCATCGCAGAGATGACTTTCCCAGGAGCCTTGCGGGCTTGGAGGACTGAAGCTGGCGCGATGCACATCCCACGAGCATCCAGGAAACGCGTCTGGGAGATATGGTTTGAAACATGACCCAGCCGCGAATCTGACGAGCTAATGCACTTGAACGTTACATAGACTGAGGGCAATGAGGCCTCAACTGCCCGCAGCATGACGTGTTGTACAAAAACTTATTGTGCTTCTCGCGCTCCTGCGTAGCAGCAAGCCATGGCCCCTGTACCATATGCCATATGACGAAACGCTCTGCGGCAAAAAGCAGTTTCTGATCATCGCCTGCGTGTGGTTCGATGACGGGCTACATCCGGTGCAGCCTGCTTTCAGGCAAGCTCTGCAGTGGACAGGCCAGTCAGAATATGCTGAATGGAGCCTGAAAGTCCGGAGCGCCACAGAACTTCCATTCACATGCCAGGAGCCCGGAGAATCTCCCGGTACCTTGTTCAACCCAAGTTGAGGCCGTGTTGGGGAGAGTCTGGGCTGCACCTACTTGCCTTCGTCCTTCGTCTTCGTGCGGAACAGTGCAAGGCCCTTTTTTCGGGACCTATCCAGAATCGGATTGGGGCTCGCATTTAACTCGCAGCGGATGTCAGAGAACAAATGCCGATATCTGTCTGTTGACGACACATGAGTTCCTGCGACTAGTGCAGACATCAAACGTGGAACATGCTGTCTCAAGGTGTTTTCCGCGTTTGGGCCGTGGTGACTGCTTGCGTGGCGTCGTTCTTGTTCCGCTCCGCCTGCATTCTCTATTTGTTCTGTGCCAACAAGTGGCTCGGCTGAAATTGACGGAGCATGTGCTCAGCCGTGCCCATGGCCGATAGTCTTCTGAGGCAGTTCTGGCCTTGTGCCTTGATCCTGCCGTACTACTTAATCTCCGAGGCAGGATGTAGTTTGCTTGGCCTCCAGATCCTTGAGCCGCGCCGAAACCCTGAATAATGCAAGCTGAGTGCCTCTTGTGTCTAGAAGACATGAAGAAGTTCAGCGGGCCAGCATGCCACTTCCAGGCTGCCCCCGCGGCCATGCTGATCTTGCTGTACCTTCTGTCGCAGCCTCAGCTCTTGGCGACATAAAAGCAGAACCTGAACAAGGACTGCCAAGTCGAGGCTACAGGCAGGGGTGGAGGAAGAGAGAAGACCACAAGCACACGCCCTGTTCCAACATGTCCAGCAACGATGTTTGCGAGCCCAGGTCCCGCTTGCTCTGCGAGGGTCCTTGCTTCCTCACACCGAGACACCCATGCAACCATCGGACGTTCTCGGACTTCCGAGCCTCGTTTTCTCCTCCGCGCTCGAATGCTTACTGTCGCACAAATGCGAAACGTCGACAACGGAAGCATAGCGCAAGCTTACCGGAAACTGTCCCACGACCTTCATTGACAGCCGAGAGGCCCTAAAACGGAGTGAGAACGGAGAGGGCTTCCTTTTCCCTGTGCCCCTGACTCGCAGTGCGGCTGAGGCCTGGAGTCGAGGTGGCCTGCCACGCCCGCCGCGCCCGTGCATGGGTCTGAGGGCTGCTCCGTGCAAGGCAAGGAGTTGGAGTTTCGAAATTCCAGGCACTTCCAGACCGAAGCTCTTGCCGTGCATCTTTGCTGGAGAGCGAGGCCTGCAACTGTGCCATGCTGCCACGCGTGTCTCATGATGTGTCATGTTCCAGGCACAAACCCAGCAGAGCTTCTCCTTGTGGCTGCGAGCAAGTGAGCCAGCCGCTACTGTGGACGAGTCAGGAGGTGGCTTGCCATCCGCGGCAGACCCAGCACACTGAATCGAGCAGCCCCAAAGAGGGCTGCCTGTCTCTGGCTTTCCTATCAGAAGGTGGGGAGAGCTTGAAGGCATGTTTCCAAGCGGACATTGCATTGCCGCAGCTCTTCAGAGTCTTCTTGAAGTTTCAACAGCCGGGGCAATTTCTGTTCATGGAGCTTCCAGGTGTAGGGATTGTTGGACGGTGTTTGACTGAGGCTGCATGAACGAGGTGCCAGCGACCTCTACTGCCACTCGGTGCAGGCCACCAAGCTCGAGAATGGTTGGCCACGTCGAAACATCAGCAGTGAAGCAGCTACTAGTACGTGGAGTGGTTGGCGAGGCTGCTTATCAACGAACTCGACGCTCAAGGTGCCGATGCTACCGCCCCTTGCAAGAGAGTGACGCCAGAAAGCTTCTCCGAGCTCGCAGAAGTTCTTGTCAGGCGAAATCAAACTCTTGGAACCATTCGATTGAAGCGAAACGGGCCTAAGGGAGGGCCTGTACGGAGGTCCCTGCCCCTCCCCCTCGAAGTATTGAAGGCTTCGGTGACTTATAATGACTTATCGTAGACCGCTCACCCTTTCGTGATTTCCTGTCTCAAGCTGAACCAGTCCTGATGGTCGAAGGCACCGCAAACCTGTCTTGAGATTCTGCAGCGCCCGGTTCTGTGGCTCGGTGCTCAGCTGAATGTCGCCAGCCGGAACCTTTCCAAGCAGACTGCCGACTGAGAACATGCCCCTGACTAGGACACGCTTGCTTTGGAAGCTGCTGTTGCAAGGCACATCTGATGAAGTCAGGGCTGGCGAAATTCAACGTCACCCTGGTTTTCGTGATGCTTCGTGCATGCTGGAGGTGAGCGGGAGTCGTGCGAAATTTCACACTGCAAGGGCAGGGTCCTCGGGTGGTTTTGCCTGCTTGCCGCGATGATTGAAGGGATGCATGGCTCCATACACCTCAGTGATGTTTGACCGGTGTGCTCCGGTAAGACGACTCCCATCTGGTTCGCCTAAGGCTGGCAAATAGTGGCACCTGACTCAACATTCGGGTGTTTACTATTTCGGTGCTTTCGTGGAGCTTGCAATTGCGATTCAGGCCAAGCCCTCGCCAAATTCGAGCCTTGGGATGCGACAATGCCTCGGAAGCACAAGAGAAACTGTTCAGCCGAAACCTACCAAGACATCCTTTGAGGTCGTTCTTCGAATCCCTTTCGTCGATACTGTGTGCTCGTGCCACCGCTTCAGATGCGTCGTAAGGGTCTCATGTGGAAGGGCAGTTTTGATGCTTCGGAGCTTTGAGGTAGACGAGATCCACCCACGGGACGGGCAAAACTCCATGCGATGCTCAGAGCGATGGACGCGTCCATGCGAGAAAGGCTGCCTCTTCCTTGGCAGGAGCTGGCGAGCATTGGACAGTCTCCGAGAACATCGCAGAGCCAAGACTGGCCACCCTCCGCCGTTGCTGCGGCCTCAGAGTATGATCATGGACTTGCCACTCCAAGCGTCAAGCGTTCCTCCGGCAAGGCTTCCCTGCGGTCGCAGGAGGTCATTGCTGGCCCCGGTGGGCAGGACGTTGCAAACATGAGCTCCTTCCTGAGTTGATGTTCTGTTGCACTGTAGCAGCTTTCTGCTATGCTGCCCCCAGGCGTCATTTGCTGTGCCCTTTGGCCACTTTGACACCAGATGTCAAGATGGAGACATGTCTCAAGACCTCACACGGGGACACGTTGATTGAATAGAACCGTCGCAATGAAGCTGCGAAGAATGCTGCGAAGCGGCAGCTGGACATGTACGGTGTGGCGCCATGCCGGCGTGTCAGAATCACCGAGTCACCGAATCGAGTGCTGCCGGGAGACGTGCTAGCTTTTTGTCCGCACCTCTCGTCCGAGAATCTGAACAGAATTAAGTTTTCTTGCGTAAGTTTGCCAGTTGGTCTGCTCTGGGCGACCGGGACAGGCATGATTTATCATCAGTAAGCATATTCGGATACCACTGCTGGTGCGGTTGGTTGTGTTGCCGCAACACACTTTGCGCTGCAGGTCGAGCGTTCGGGAAGCTGGAGTCATCAGGTTGGGCACGGTTGCGGTGTGATTGGGAAGTCAGACTGCGAATCCCTGGCGAGGCTGGTGTTTGCCAGAGGTGCCCTCGTCTGCGGCCGTCGCGGTCTCGCCGAGGTCCGTCGCATGCCGACCAAGTAGACAGATACAGACGGAGTCCGAAAACGGAAGGAGCAACGGCCCTAGACGACCTCCGTCTAGTCTCACATGTCGCCAATTCGCAACGACCCCGCTTTTGCTTCTGTGCCGTTCCGGCATCCGAGAGCTTGTCTTCTCTGCAGTTTCACTTGCTCTCTGCGGGGATGGAAGGCTAACTCCCCAAGAGCTCGGCAACGTTGGGCAGGCCGGGGCCCAAACCAAGGGCCTCGCTGTGTTCCGTGCGCTTCCTTCTTGTCCAGGAGCCCGCCACTGAGCTCCATGCCGGCGGCACTGTCTCGAGGGCTGCTGCGCGAAGGGCACAACAGTGCCTTGAGGCTGCCGAGGGTGCAGCGAGTACGCACCCAGCAGATGCTCATCTCTTTCAAAGGTGTTGGTGCAGACATCGTTGAACCGAGTTCGTATTCTGGTCAGGCCGATAGCTTCGAAGCGCAGGGATTGCCATCTTCCCAGATGCACGCAGCTCTCGCATGCTTTTGCAGTTGCACACCAGGACTCCGCTTGCTCGATGTGTGCTAGTTTGGCTGAAGTCGACACGTCACGCTGAGCAACGTTTCACCTACGGCGCATGCAGCACTCACGAGCAGTGGCAGAGCATATCAGAGTTCGTTCGAGTAGGTCTGACTTGCACCTTGGACCTTTGCGGGCTGTCAGAGCTGAACGTCGGTGCGCAATGGGGACAGCGTGCGGGTGCTTTGCTGGTTTGACGGGCGAGGCGGATTGGCATCAACTGATTCAGCTGACCTTGAATCCTTCGATTCGAGAGTTCCCCATGCAGGCTCAGGCTCCAGACAGGCGGCGAACGGACCAGTCGCCAGCAGTGGGTGCCATGCTTATGTCTTCCCATCGCATGGGATGTTGGGTTTGTGTCCTGTCAATGCAGGCTCTTCAAGCTCAGCTGGCAAGCAGACGCCACCAGTCGAGGACAGGTATGCTTTCGTCATCTTTCGTTGTAGTTGCTTGTGCAGATTGCGACAGCAGGACAATCAGCCGACACACCCAACAACACCAACACCAGCGCCCGATTCGCCCGACGAGAAAGGAGACAATGCCTGTGGCAGCCAACAGCAACGGCAGGTTCAGCGGCTAGTACCCTGTCAGGATATGACCTCCTGGAAGACGTAAGGACGTGGAAATCGGGGTCGGGAGGCGGCATGCAGTTGCCAAAGAGAGTTTTGAGAGTTTGTGGCGTAGATGAAATATACAAAGTCTTGCCAAGCCCGGCGCCCAATCAGGTGTTATCGACATCTCACCTGATGGCTCTTCACGTGTACTTTTGCAGCCGCCGGGCCAGATCGACAAGGAAGCAAGTGCTCCAGCTGACGGTGCTGAGGCTGGAGACAGAGCCCAAAACGCAATTCCTCACCTTCTCCTCGGCTAAGCTTAGTACGCTGACCGTGACCCGCATTGTTTGATTTGGAATTGGAAGGTCGGCATAGATGTGGAAGTGCTAGAAATCGTCGGACCTTCGCTCGAGACGCGCTTCTCTTGCCGTGGCTTACGCACCGCTTCGGGAAGTGGTGATGTTCGGCTACCCGAGGAGTTGGAGTTTCTCACCTCAAGAGCGGAACTGCACACTGTGCTCGTGAAGGTTGGCATCGCATGAATATGATGAATGTCGGGCGTGCTCTGCAAGGTTAGCAATCCCGCACCTCAAAAAGCCTGCCGGAACCTTCATCGTTTTCTGTTGCTTGCCTGCATATCAGGATACAGATCCCATTGAGAAAGGAGGTTCTGCTAGCAGCTTTTGAAAGCAGCGGAGGCCGATCTTTCTGTGAGTATGGAGCTCTGCCAGAGACTGGCCTTTGGCAAGCTCTCGCTCCATGCGAACTGGATGCCTTGGGACAGTGCTCGATCAGTTAGGAAAATGCTCTGCTACCGCCGAGTAGAGGCTCGTCATATGAGGCCGTGGAAAGGAGGTCATCCTCAAGCTGCAGCTGGTTGAAGTTCAGGCTCCCTAGCAGAGCATGTCAATTTAGTTTTCAGTCTGCTTCTCTTTTGGTGGTCTGTTGCGGTGGGCCGTGCTCACTGTGCTTCACCGCCAGGATCTTTGTTTGGCCACGCTCGAAGGACATGAGCGACTGGAGTACGCCAAAGGACCTCACGCAATTGGCAGGAAATGGACGCACATGATACCTTGGGAGTCACTGAGAACCCGGCGGTTTCTGTATCCCGGTCATAGGACGCAAAGATGCGGGATCCAAGTTTTTCAAGCGCGACAAGTTCGAGTCGGCCCTTGAGCGGTACAGCCTGGCTGCCGAGATGCTTGGCCACCGCGATGACATCAAGGACAGGCCTGGCACACGCATACACATCTACAGCTATATATCTGCATACATACATGCATCCGTCCGAAGGGTCTTCTACTGCCGTCTAGCAGCAGCTGTCAGCTGCAGAACGTGATTGACAATACGGCTTTGTTAGGGAGGGACATAGGATTCTATGTAGGGCTCGGCTCATCTGCCTGAACCCGACCTGCAGCTGGATTTGCGGCCACAGGAGGCCCCTTCTGATGCTCTTGATGTTGCTTCGCAAGGGCTCGGGTCACGTAACTTTGCAAGCCGGAAGCTTCCGCGTTTGGATCGCGGCTGCGGCGGCTCAGTTTTCGGGTCCTTCCTGTTGGAGCAACATTTTCGAGCTGCTTGCACGTTGTGTCAGCTTCAGCACTCATAACTGGGCCTGGGCGTCGTCCTCTCTGCACCGCATTTTCTTGTTGAGCCTCGGTGCCAACTTCCGGAATCACGTCCTTAATCCTGTCCTAAAGACCACTCCCAACTGCAAAATCCTAATGCACCACCTATGCACGCACAGACCCTGACACAGGCACAGAGACAGAGATATAAACAGATAGACACACACACACACACACACACACACACACACACACACACACACACACACACACACACACACACACACACACACACACACACACACACACACACACACACACACACACACACACACACACACACACACACACACACACAAACCCACACACACACACACACACACACACACACACACACACACACACACACACACACACACACACACACACACACACACACACACACACACACACACACACACACACACACACACACACACACACACACACACCCCCCCACACACACACACACACACACACACACACACACACACACACACACACACACACACACACACACACACACACACACACACACACACACACACACACACACACACACACACACACACACACACACACACACGCAAGAGTGGTCCTGGATGCCCAACTGGATTTCAGGCAACACAAGCTTTGCCAGAAATCTGGCTTCCCGGGCCAGACAAGGGTACCCTTACTACTAAGGGGCCACTCAGGAACCTGCGAGCGGAGTTCAGAGATTCCCTCTCTACTGACGGGGAGTGGATTGAGACCCACTCCATGCCAGCTGATGCCCTGACTCAGAAGATGCAAAGTGATCAGTTGACGATGTTTGATGGTTTCCGGATTTGTGGAGATAGTCGCAAACAGGCATTTACGAAGGCTACCAGAACGGTGGTCTAGGTCTCAAACAGACCATGTCCGAGTTGTGAGAGCGTAAACAGACCATGGATGCGAAAGTAGAGTTTCAGTCATGTATTGAGCAGTATATATCCAGGGAGTCAAAAGTTGCGCAACAAGACCTGACGGACCTTGATCATGGCTCAAAGAAGTAAAGCAAATCAAACGCACCAGAGCAAGGGAGCTTTGCTACTTCGCACCCGGCACACAAGAAAGTCCCCAGAGTCAAGCAATAATTGTAGTGGGGAGATCATAGACGGCGTAGCACGAACATGCAGGCGTTTATGTTCCACGAACACAAAGCCGTTTGATTTTCAACATCTGCGGCAGGATAATGCGCTTTGGGCGCAAGCACAAGATGTCCGGGTACTCTGTGAGCTGAACGCAGTACGGGGCCCAAGAGCTGAGCCACAAGGCATTCGATTCAAAGCCGCAGCAGTCCGAGATTCCTGAGGCGGCTTGTTTGTTGAAGCTCGAGAAATGGCGGGAAGCGGAGGAGCCGCTGGGCAGGGAGCTTTTTGCATTGTTTTGCTCGGGTTCGCCTTTCGTACCAAGAAATGGCATTCGGTTCCGGATGCAGGTTCTCAGGCTCGAGCCCAGACAACTTGTTTTGTTGCAGGCGGTCTGCAACGCGATCCTTCGCGCGAGCCCTGACAACGAGAAGGAGCCGCTCCAGGACATGCTTCGCAGATCCTGAATGGCGGTGACGGGCCATGGAGGCACTTTTCCGACGAGCCAAAGCACTCCTGGCCTCGGGTGATGCAGCAAGGGCAGAGGTTGATCTGCGCCGAGTGCTGGAGGCCAGCGGGAAGCGTCCTTATATGCCCGTAGGGGCCCGCAAGCTGAATCGATGCGCAGGCCAACTCCGGCAATGCAGAAGCAAAGCAGCTGCTGCAGAAGGCACCCGTATGTCTGACTTACCCATTGAATTCGTTCAAAACTCAACCAGCGAAGGCCCGCCAGCAAGGCAAAGGAACAGAGAAGGAGAGGAAAGTCTATGCAAAGATGCTGCAGTGAGAGATGGCCGAGTGACCGATCGTTCTGGTGCCGACGCTAGCTCCTGATATCGTTTACCGCTTCTGCAAAACCAAAACGATGCAGCCTTCCGCCGTCCTAAGATATTGGTGCTCTTGAATTGCAGACGTTGCTTTCTGGATGTCGCTGTGTTTTTGCGCAAGCAGTGGTGCACCTAGGTCGAACCTGTCATGAGCACTTAGTCGCCCGGAGTACAACGGTGCCATGCTGCTTGGGTCCATGGGTGAAGCTGGACAGGCACGAATCGTCTGGCACTCAGGTTGTGCGCTTCTGCTCTTTGCTCGAAGTGTCACGAAGACTGGAAGGCAGAGCTCTCTCCGCAAGCTTTGGCAAACATGTCTTGACCAAAGCAGTGTGAAGCACCAGTTCCAGTAGCTGTCAGTGGCTGTTCACTTAGAGGGTTTCAAAATGCCAAGTGAGGCTGTGGAAACCTGCGAGCTTCGAGTCTTCGCACGAACCGGCCCCGCACTCGCAGAAGTAGCAGATGCCGAGCTCGGGAAGCGCGGGAAGCGCTCGGAGCCAAGAGGTCATCTTTGGCCAATCTCTGGGTGAAGTGCAAAGGCGAATTTCAGGTTCGGAGCTGAGTGGGAAAAGCATGGCACAGCTGGAGCGATGTTGGGGCAGCTGTTTACCCCGCCCAGGATTCCAGTTCCAGGGCCTGGTCGGCATTGCGTTTTTCTCTTGCACTTGGACTTCCCTGAGGGAAGGCTCGGGCGGCTGGCGGGTTGTCTACGGCATGCTGAGGTGGTCCTCCGCGCAATCCGTTGCATCGACGCCTCCCTTGCTGGACGCAGTGGGTTTTGCCGCGATCGAGGCGTGCAAGTGGCGGGGCTTATGCCGATGACCGCTTTTGGTGCTTAGGCTATGCCCCAGGCTCGGCCGAAGGAGGCTCTGTGCGTCTGCTAAGCGACGTGTGCGAATCGCGTCTCCCCGTGGCAGGTGCTGGTCCTGGCCCAGGCTTTCGAGGGCCTCGGCCATGGCCAGTGGCCCAGCAAAGCGGAGCAAAGCGGAGCAAAGGCGAAGAGACTCCTCGGACTCGTCTCCAAACCGAGACAGCTCCAGCCGTCCTGAGCTCTGGGAGTGCATCAGTGAAGACATCGACAAGCACTTCCTGCAGATGGAGCAGGCATGGCCCTAAGACTGCTAAGACCAGTGCAAGTCAGTGCTTGTTCATTTCAGGATACAGATCCTCCTGTGCGCAGGAGTTGCAGACTAGCTCCGAGCTTCCCGACTCTGAGCTGGTAATGGGTTCGCTACAGGCACCCAGGTTTAGGCCCCGCGGGTGTCGGACGGGAGGGGTGGTGGTTTCGTGAGGTGCTGCACAGCGCCGGCTGCCTCACGGAGAAGAGCTTCAGCGGGAAGCCAAGAATACGTGGAAACGAAGCCGATGCCGCATGCAGGGATGCAGGAGAGGCCGAAGGACCGAGGGCTGAGATCTTCGTTTTTGGAGTTTATCGAAGCCGATGCGGCGCCAGAGAGCTCCTGTGGAAAAAAACATGCAGGGGGGGATATGAGATTGTCCGGCCGCAGCCTTTGCTTGTTCAAGCGGCACGACGCAGCGGAAGCCTGCTGGGTGTCGACGTTTTTTCCTTTGTGGGCTGGAGGCCTGCATATACTCTTACAAGGCCCGCTCACCATGAAGCCGACAATACCGGAAGTGGTTCATTGGCTATCGCTGATTGTCGAGAGGCACTTTGCAACCAAATGCACTTTGATGGTTCTTCTGGCTTCTTTCAACGGCTGAGGCGCCACAAGCTTGTCAGACTGCTTGAATCGCCCTGTTTTGATTAGCTTGCATGATGTCCCTATGCAGAGACGCAGAGTTGGTTTGGGAAGGTTTGGCAGAAGCACTGTGCCGGCCTGCAGCGCTAAAGCTGCAGGATCCCGAGGCGGGGGGGAACCTTGGTGTCTCAGATGTTGCTGCCAAGCCAGAGACTCTGCCTGGCCTTCAGGCTGCACATTCGTTACACAGCTGCCGGGCACCATTTAGCATTTTGTTACGCCGCTCGTAGCTTCCGGTGCGATTAGCTAGAGATTCATTGCTTGGTTCCACGTATCGTGCTTGTGACATCCTTGCGCGGGCTCACGGGCTCATGACGTCACGACTGTCTAGTGTGACGTCGCAACTATCTAGTGTCTGCCAGGCTGCGCAAGTGTGCAGAGAATTCGAACCCACCACATGGGTTTTTGAAGAGAACGGTGCGTGCCTTAGTGCTTATCCGCAACGGCAGATCGTCTGCTTTCTGGTGGGACCTTGTGACGCAATTCCAGGTCGGATATCTGGGCAGTTTGTGCAGCACACAGCCACAGCTGTCCAACAGAGCGCTCGCAGCCATCCGGGATTTCATAAAAATCCTGGACCGCGAAGTCCTCAGAGCCTGAGACCGTTGTCGGACCGCACCCATCGGGCCCAGATAGTTCGCGTTGCAAGGGGCATCAGACCCGGATGACGTGCTCGATTTTGCCTTGGCCGCTTACTTTGACGAGGCCTTCTTTGAAGAGGTTGCTGGTTTTGATGTCTCCGGGTTCAAGTACTGGCCTGCAGGTCGTGCTTCGACATTTTCGTTCGCTCATGGGTGACGTTCGCCAGCAGCACTTCAAGTTTCAGTCGTCATGCTGCATTCGGCTACATCTGCAGCTCTTGCAGGCCTTGGGAAGCCTTGCGTCGGGTGAGCGAGGTTCGTTGAGCTTTGAGCACGGCCTGTTGGATCCACAAACCTGGGCGCTAGGCTCTAGCACCAGCATTCCTCCGCTACCAGTTTTGCTACAAGACTGCGAGGAGGATTTCGAGGCGACCGTTGTGAAGAGCTCTTGCTTTTGGCACACCTATGCATACCTATGTTAGGATGCACGAATGCAGTGTGTATTTGTTCAGACCGAGAAAGTCGGCCCAATTCGGGCCGTCGAGACATGAAGGGGACCCGCATATTGTTTTCTCGTTTGCTCCGATGTTGGCAACTGCTTCTTTTCTCTGAGCCCGCATGGACGCCACGGCAGCGACCCGATGTAGTTTTGTCGACCAGCGTGATCATATCGGCGACTGCAAGATCTATGGCGTTGCCTCGAAGGCATCGGCGAAGTGCTGCGGTTTGCAGAAGCAGCACATTTGGAAAAAATCGGTGTTATGACATTCAATGGCGAAAATTGCTTCTGGACAAAAGCTTGTGAGCCCTTGGCCAGCAGCCAACGTGGACCACGCTGGCTGCAGACACGACAGGGCTGATAAATATACCTTCCCCTGCCTATTTCCCGAGCCCCTTCCCTTGTCCCATTCCTTGCAGCCACATCCGGAGGCCTTCTCCGACTGGTGTGGGAAGGCCAGTGTCAGCGCATGCCCTGCCTTTGGGATCACCACGGGCTCCCGGCTGCCCGCGCGGGCCTCGTCAGGTGGGTGATGCCTACGTGTACTTTGTGTTCCTCGACATCAAAGGTGATAGGGCACTGCTAACACACGCCGTTCCTTGGCAGCGCTTCCATGGTTTCAGCAGGCATCCAGCAGTTCCCGCTAAACTTTAGGCTGCCAAATCGAGGCAAAGCGTTTGCAACAGTTGCTGCGGGTTGATGTTCCCGGTCTGACTGCAAATCTTTCTGCGACGAGGCCAGCGTGTAAATGCATCTTTTGCCGACAGAAACTGAATTACGAATCATCCCTGGATCCTTCAGGCATTGGGTCCAATTGGTGTGGAAAGAGCTGGCCTGCCAGCGCAGGTCCCATACATTGCAACGGATGCACATGCAGGCATTGCAGCAGCCCGTCCGGAAGTTTGCTATGGGCTATGTACACGTCGGGTATGTACCTGGTTTTGAGCAGAGTCGCAGCCAACCTGAGGCAGTGGCTGTCACATGCGAAGGCTCGTGTTTTACTGCTGCATAGACTCAGACTAGCCATGTCCAAGACGTGCTGACGGGGAGCACAGAGTGATGACGTAGTTTTCGTGCAGCTTGCCTGGAGCTTTGCTGTCCGAGGAAGCTGCGGTGGCCAGCCTGTGCGATATTGGTGGTAGGGCATTCTGGGACATGTACTTTTGCGACTCGCTTCAATGCAGCTGAGTGCACCTATGCAGCTGCAAGTTGCAAATCTAAAAGCATTTCATCCCGGTGATGCTGCTACAAAGATTGTCGGACCGGGTGTGTAGAGGACGGTGCAGTTGTCAACATTTTTCAAGATGGTGTTGGCTGGACGGCCGAGGTGGCCTGACCAAGATCAGCTGGCACGATTTTGTGGACGGCCTGCAGGAGCAGTTTCTCAAAGACTTCTGTGCGCAGGACCGATTGTGCACTGCAGTACTTTGTAAGGATTTGCATCATGTGCTTGCCGCGGCGTGAGCTGAAACTAAATGCCAGCACGCACTCGCCTGTCTAGGTCACAAGAAATCATCCTGTATTCGTGCTATTTGTCCGTTTGTCTGTCTGGCTGTCCGTCTCTCTGTGTGTCGGTGGTGCAAGCATATACATGTGCATGTCATGTATGTATGTATATAGATGTATGTATTTATGTGCGTACGTATGTATGTACGTATGTATGTATGTATGTACGTATGTATGTGCGTGTGTATTCACGTGCGTAGGCATCTAGGCATCTGGGCACGTGGGTATGTAGGTAGGCAGGCAGGCGGGCAAGTAGGTACGTACGTATGTGGGCATGTATGAAGGCAGGCATGGTTGTCTTATGTTGTGTTCTGTGCGTTGCCGGGCCTCTCCCAAATGCCCCTCACTCGTCCCTGCAGCCTAAAACACCCAAACATTCCACAAGGGGGCAGGGAACTAAACTCAGTGGCTCAAGGCCCAAGCCTTTCCCCACAGGGCGGGAAGGGGAGACTTGTGCAACATCTCAGAAATGTTGGAGGCGGGGGGTGAGTGAACTAAACTCTGAAGCGGAAGGCCAAGCCCTTCCACAGAAGGGGAGGTAGCAATGTGGGGAAGGAAAAAGGCGGAACAAAATGCAGAAAGGCGCAACCATGCATGCATGCATGGATGGATGGATGGACTTTTTGTTAGTATGTATGTTAGTATGTACGTATGTACGTATGTATGTACCTGACCACATATACAGACACATATATCCACTTGTCATACTTGTGCATGTGCACAACTCTTCACACCCTTGCTTCTTCCGGAAAATGCAGATCATTTGCGATTTCTCTGTCTGTGTGCACAAGTACCGGTAAATTGATCACCGCATGTATGTGCAGCCTTCTCTCTCGCACTTTCTCCCACACTGTCGCTATATCCGTTGTGCTTTCCGTCTGCTCCCTGATTTGTTTCTCGGTTCCTCCCTCCCGCCCTCCCTCCCTTTTGTGCGCGAGCTTCAATGTGAACAGGCTTTTCAGGCTTGCCCCTCGCGAGACACTTTTCGCAGGACATACTGCCACCTTTGCGACGTCGCGTGGTCAAGAAGTCCAAAAACCAAGCCAGCCGCCGAGAGGGTTGCCGTCGTCGCCGTCGCCGTCGTAATCAAAGTCGTCGTGTCCTGGTATCATCTTCGTCGTGGTCGTCGTGTCGTGTCGTGTCGGGGTTGCGTCGGTCGTGGTCGTCGTGGATGCGTACACGCCCCTGAAATTGCCGAAAGAGCTGGAGAGCTGCAAGCGTGTCATCAGCATCCAGAAACCCATGGTCAACAAGTTCAGAACACAGATGCCCCTGTCGTTTGACGAATGCTTGGCCGCGACAGAGCTGTGCTTTTCGTCCTTTGGTAAACTGCTTAAGGTGCACAAGTATCAGTGGGATTGCCTGCTTGAAACCTACGAGCATTCAATCCCGGACTTGCTGGATGCCTTGCTAGAGGAGGCGCGTCGAGAGATCGTCGAACAAACTGCCGTCCAACCTGCAGTATTTCCAGGCATTGGAGGAGGGTACAGCTGCGCTTATCTATCGCGGCCTTTCCGGGCCAGCTCCGCCAGAGGATCGACCAAGCGGCTTGGAGACGAAGAGGAACCGGAGGGCGACATGCAATGCAGCTGTGGCTGCTTAGGTGCGACATGTTCTCGCCGGAGGGCGACACGCAAGGAGGAAGCGATCATGCCCGAGACGCAGTGCGCAGGCAGCACAGGCCGTGGCCTCGCTCAATCGCAACCGAATGCCGTGGCCTCGCTGACAGTTTCATCGCGCCCAGAGTTGAGGCGAAGAGAGCTGGATCTTGCAGGACAACCTAGTCAGGAATCTCAAGCCGACCCAATCTTCAGACATGTTGGTGGTACACCTGGCGACTGTTGATGTGCCCGTTGAGTTTTCGCTTCCATCATCGTAGATCTCTTCGATTACCCCATTCACATGCCGCTCGTTGCTGCTTTGTGGCAATCAGCCCCGACTCGGGCGATCCCCCGTCGCGCCCAAAGTCGCCTATGCATTGTCGTTGAGGCTGTGGAAATTCCGTGTCGTTTGGGCTTGTACTTCCAGTCATGAGCCCTGCGTGTGCTGAGAGCAGCCAGGGCAGAGGTCGAGTCCCTTGGCCAAAAGGGTTTGGGATCAAGGCTATAAGTCCCTGGCCACAGCTTCGCCAGGCTTCGGAACACTCTGCGACTGCAATTCACTCACTGGTGGCAGGGTGTTCTGGCAGCAAGTATAAAGCGACGCAGGCTGGCGCATTTGGGTTTTGAAGTGCATCAGACTGGCGACGAAGGCGCACTCCACAGGATCCCCGAATGCGGTCTGGCCCGGCAGAGCCTGGCACCCGCGTGGAGTGGCAGACCTTTGTTGAAGAGCCGCTCGGCCCTGCCAGGCCTATCACATAGGCTGCGAGCGATAATTAGTCAGAGACGTCCTTTGGATGCGGCACCAAGGTTGAGTGACTCGGAAGCGAGGTGGTGGGCCTCCACAAAGGTAGATCGGTCGCAGTGCGCTGAAGAGGCCTTGAAAGGGGTCGGCAGTGGAGTCTTACGATGATTGTGCTTCAGCTTTGTTCTCGCAGGATCATCTGCGCGTCGCTGCGCTTGCTGCAGTCAACAGCACCTCAGCTTTTTCTGCAGTCCCCGGGTATTTACTAGCATGGGCCTATGCTTGAGCCCGCGCTGAAGGTGCAGTAAGTTTTTTTGGTCTGGGTAAGCCTGGCGGGAGGTGGGTGATTTCAGCTTGCGTCGCTTTTTCTGCGAGTTACCGAGGCTGCTTACACTGCTCAAGGCGTGTGCTCCTGCTGCGTGTCGCATCTGGTGACCTGGCACATGACCGACCAGTCCTGGAACTTCCATCAGGATGGGGCAGAGCAAGGTCGTAAGACTCACGACGAAACCTGCTCTCGCGTCTCTTCCAGGACATTACAGCCGCTCGGATCAGACCTCCCAGATGCCTGCTGTCTTCATAAGCCCCAACAGTATTACCTCCACGATGGGGGTGTCGATGCCTCAGTGGCGTGCCTTGAGAAGTTAGCAGATGGGCAGCATGGCTCGCCGCGATATCCAGGACAAAGCTGGGGCGAGGCGTGGCACCTGTGAGCCTCCGCCGTTCACTCTTGTCATGCGGCAGGGTCCAAGCGCAAAATGATGCTTCCTGACTTGGCAGGGGCCCCATGTACCCGTGCACTCCTAGTATTGATTCACGTTGATCATGCCCGAGTTCATGAGCGAGCCCATTGCATCTCGCTCCCACCTTGCCATCTGCTACAATGCCGACTCCGACAGGAGAGAATGTCAAGCATGTCGACCGTGCACATCCTTCAAGTGCGCTTGCTCTGCGATTGAAGAACTGAGAGGTACCAGATCATGGACACTGGCTCCAAGTGGGGCACGTTTTTGCAGGTGCGCTCTTTTATCAGACGCGGGTGAGATCCTGCAGAGCTGTCGTTCGCAGGTCCAACCGGAGGGGGAGCTTCTGAAGTGTGGCGATTGGATACGCATTGGAAACGCCGAGCTGGTGGTTCGATTCTGTGGTGGTCACTGCAATGCCCACAGGCCGGAGACAAGAACATATGGAAAAGCCCATCTTATCCCACAACAGAAGCCGAAGAGAGAACAGGCCCTGTCTATGCCAGGTGGCATAGCCAGAGAGGGCAGCGCATGTCTGCCATGTCTCGATCTATGAGCTCCTCCTCTTTGCAAGGCATGGCAAGACATGTAGATTTAAGAAACTTCTTGAGCTCGTGGTCAGGCAGTTCGTCTTTCACACGCAGCCTGTCGATTAGCAACTGGGCGGAGGAAAAGGCAGCGTGCTTGGTCGTGGTGATCTGAAGAGGCTGAAGCACGCTGCTTAGACGCCAGGAGCCGGATGAAGAGGTGCAGGAGCAGATTGCGTCTGTCCTCAGCGAACCTGCGGCAAGCATGGGCTGTTACCGCACAAGAGCAGAGAAAGCCAGGCTTCAGGAGTCTAAGAGTCTTCACTTATCAGCTTGCAGCGCGAGAGCGGCCAGGGAACCGTTTCCGAGATCCGTTGTGAAATTGCATGATTCCACAAAACGGATCTAGACGCCCCGGCTTCTGGCCTCGGCGGATTTCGACCATTTGCGGCTTGAGGCGGGAGACCACGAAAAGCCTGGGACACACCAGCTGACAAGTGCCGCGATCGCAAATCCAGGTCACGATCGCTCGAATCACGGCATCTTCGGTCTTTCGAAGCCGTGAGAGCATTGGGCCGAGGATGTGCCAATCTCCTCATGGCTTCCAGGATGCGAGGAGTGCTCGGGCATTCAAAGTGAGAGGGGGACACTCAAGCTGGGGTCAATTAAACTGCTGCGGCACCTTGTGCTACCTGTCTGTTGGTGAACTCAGCATTCGCAGCAGTTGGGCAGAATTCAGCGCAGCTCACAAGAGTGGCCTGCTGGCTTTCGTGGGGGTTGCCTGGTTTCCCTTGCAGGACTATCCCTGACATTCGTCCTCATTCGTCGTCATGAGCCCAGCTTTTGCGAGCCCCGCGGGTTTTCATACCTGCCGTTCGCTGAGGTCACTGCCGTGGGCCTGCTGCCGAGAAGCCCACTGCAACCTCAAAATGCGCCCAAGACCAACCCAAATCTTCAGGCGCCTTTGGAGATTGACTTCGTGTCAGGACCCCGCATGGGGGAAAGGCCCGAGCCTCCAACGTCCTGCTTCTACATGTTACAAGCGCCGAATCCGCATCCGTTCTGGTAGGCTGCTCCTGACCGATAGTGTGTGCACCGTCGGTCGGGCGGACACCTGCACCGTCCAGGTTGGAAGGGGATTGTGACAATTTCGGAAGCTGTCAATGCTGCTGCAATGTGCCAGATCAGCGACCCCATGCTGGCAAATGTTTCGCGAAGGCATTGTTTTCTGAAAAGAACCGCCAAGGGCGACTTGCACGCAGAAGGGCCACGCTGTGGGAAGAGCACTGCGTGGCAGCGGCGCGCTGTGACGGAGCCGAGGTTGGAAGATTCAGGACAACAAGTCCACGAATGGAACTTGGAGAAGGCTCTCCTGTGCCCGACTCCAAGTGGTTTTCTCGCCTGGCCGATCGGCGCTTCTCAAGAAGTCCCCGAGGTTTTAGAGCCGTCCGAGCCAAAGGCCGGGAAAAGCTGCTTGTGAATTGGTTTTATAAAAACAAGCTGTTGAACACATGCCAAAATCCTCCCACGCAGGACTTGCAGAACGGCGCTTGCATTCTGGCAGGCGCACACCTCTTCACTCGGCTCAAGATGCACTCAAGCCGTGAGCAGGTGTTCATGAGTTTAGAGTCGAGGAGGCAGCCTCTTGGATGTCCACAGTCAGAGAGACGCCCCAACACGAACTGAGAAAAGAGTGTATCCCAGCATCGTGGATTGCCAAATGTGTCCACAGCACACTGCAGCTTCGTGGCGCGTAGTCGGCTGTGGCAAGCTCAACCCGAGGAAATGGATCGGTGTTGGCTGCCCTCACCTGCATCCAAGATATTGCAATCGCTGCAAGCAGCCGCTGGTCCGGAGCAGGGGCCACCAGCCGTAGCTTCTTGGACGAGGGCACTTTTTCACTTGCCCCCGGCCTTGATACACTGGGGCATCCACAGGTTCAGGTGAGAATAAAGCCAAGAACTTGGGGTCGTCGTGAGGGGCGTGGGTTGGACCATAAAGTGAACTGCTCCTGGTTGCTCGTCGCACTGGTATGTGGACGATTCGATGCGAATCTTGCGGTGTGTCGTGGTGCAACAACCGAGGAACCCCCAGAGGTCGTCCATGGGCAGCCGTAGCCCAGGTGCGGTTAGTTTGAGCAGCAGCCGTTGCAGGCAAGATCCTGCAGCAAAGCTGCAGTCTCGGGATAGGGCCAGCATCATGCCCTCTCGTCTTTCAATTTGATGCCGGCATGGTGTTTTTTGCATCCCGAAAGCAACTCACAGTGTGAGAATTGCAGTTTTTCGTTATATAGAAGCAGCCGATGGCGAGCAAGAGGCCTAGCTGCCGATAACACGAGCTAGCTACACCAGTGATTGCCGGAGCTTATCGCCGGACGCCTTGTTCGCCTCGCTGCAGAACCCACTGTTCCGATGACTGTGTCGCTCTCACGATCAAGCCCTCCGGCTTGACGATTGGGAAAGCGATGTAGAGAGCTGCGGAATGCCTGCCAGCATCTGAGATGGGGTGGGCAGCGTACATGGCTCAGATCCGATGCTACGCAAGAGGTTCAGCATGTCGTTGTCAGGCACACGGAGAGCAGATGCGTTTCTTGATTGACATCCTCTAGTCGTATGCTGTAAATGCACTTCTTGCCTGGCAAGCCGTCGTTTATTCACCAGGGGCGTACGAGGACCGGACATGCGGAAGCAGCCTAACTAAAGCACTGAAATGTACACCTCCAAATGCCCTTACCCCCACGGTGCTGTATGCCCGAGTTTGTGGCATGCCAGCGCCTCCCTATCGAAATACGAGGGCATAGGTCTTGATCCAGAAGACCGTCAATGCTCGGGGTTTCCACGATTGCATGGTTCAATGCACCATGCCCTCTTGCTGCAAGCTTGCGATTATGGAGAGCCGTTCAGTTTTGGAATCTGTGTTTGTGGAGTCTACTTGCAGGTGTATGCCGAGCGAAGCGAAAGGCCAGCTAACAAGTTTCCCAAGCTTGTCAGACCAAGCATTTTGCCCTGGAGCATGAGACCGAGCTGTTGCGGCCGGAACAGCTATGTGCAAAGCCATGTTCCTTACATTTCCAAATCTATTCTACACAGTCAGAGTTGCTTCGAGGAACACGGCTTGGGACACGAAGCCTTTGATTCTTCCGCACTCTTGACCCATGGCCCCTGGTACATTGTCATGGAATTGATTTATGGTGCTTGGCACCGGCATAGGACGTTTAGTTTAGGCCTCCAGGCTCTTCTCAGAGCCTGGGCGGGACTGCAGCGGACATATCGCTTCAGGAAAAGCTATTGCAATTGAGACGTCACTGTGGGACAAGCTTCGAGTGAGGTCTTGGCAGGTCACTTTGCAGCCAGATGGCTGAGCGTAAGGACAAGGCGGTGCCGAGCAGCCAGCTGCTCACCACAAAGCATCTCAGGACCAACAGTGCTGTCCAGCAGTCTCATTCTTGGCCCGTGAAGCCTAGGTCGCCCACAGTCTTCTCTTCCTCCTGGGCAGGCGGGTTCTGGTTGCTGCTTTGTCAGTGCTACAGGTGGCAGTCGAGCATGGGCCTTCTCAGGAGCCTTCCGTTGCTGTGGAGTCAGACACAATCTGCCTCTTGTGGAAGCCACCAGGCACTGACAGAAGCATGTCAGAGACACACAGGTTCTTGCATCTTTCCAGGGTGGACCATGTCCGTCGGCAAAGATCGGCTGTCTGGCAAGGGTGAGCAGACGGAAGGAGAGGGGCCACGAGGCTGATCACCTCGCAAGCGCATCGGACAGATTTGGGCGAGGCGAAGCGAAGACGCTGCAAAGCTGGCTGCCGCAATGTTTCAGCTCCCCGGCAGAACGCTCTCCGGGTCTGCTGTACACTGTTTTGCATTGGCATGCGGCGCCTTGCCTCTCCAAGGCTCAAACCCCATCGCCCAAAACTCAGCAGACATGCTGAAAGAAACTATGGATCCGGCTGCATCCGCCATCATTCGACAATTCTCAGCTTTAGGTGCACGATGCAGAAGCCCAGCAAGCATCTTAGTATCATCGCCAGGCAGCAATCACGAGTTTGTATTCACAATTGCGAGTGAGGCACGGCCTGTTGCACAGGCCGGCGCCTCGGAATCACCGGCTTCGCGGCGAGCCTACCATCACGAAAATCCCGATTGATACGAGCCTAGGCTCGACGAAAACACATCTGGGCTGGTCGCCTTCGCCAAAACGTGGTCTCCTCGACTCCGAGTACAATCACACTCGATGTGTCGAGTTCTCGAAGCCTCGTGCCACAGTAGGTTTGCCGCATATTACGCTGGCCAGATGGCGCAGCGGCCCTAGTGCAGGCGGTAGAAGCCCCCAACCCCTTCCGCCTGCAGTCCAGATGCTAAGTTCAGGTTTCTGTTGAGGAGAGTCCAGAAACGTCGCCGGCCTAGTGGGGACTTTCTAACACATCAGGGAGCAGTTTTGAGCCTTGAGGCTATGTTTGTGTATGCCATGGGCACTATCCGCCGGGGCAGCGTGAGCTTCAATCCCAGTCCGGCCATTTTACCTGGTCGAGTCTTCGGAGATTTGCCTGCCGCATGTTCTGCAGGCCTATTGATGCACCCCTGAAGTCAGCAGCTCAGCGTCAGATACCGAAGCCTGTGCCACAATGAAATGCCAGCCAGGATAGTGCGAGATGAGCTGGGCGGGAAGCGAAGTGTGCCAGGCTTTGCAGAGTCTTACAAGCTGTCCGGTATCCCCGAGATTCGTTTGAGGAGCCGGAGGCCGCCCGAGCCGCACCTTGGCCAAGGGCCCAGCATGCCCAGCTTGAGGTCGCTTGAAAGACGGCTTCAGCGAGCTGCGAGCTATCGCCGTTGCGAGCAGGTGCAAAGTGTGGCACACTTCGAGGGGAGTCAGGGCCAACCTCTGAGTTTGCTGGAGGCCGGGGTTTCGGGGTTCGAGCCAGTGGGCATGCGGCATGCCATGTCTGGTTATGGGGGGCATCTGGGCCGAATCGCGACCATCTGGCTCGAATCCAGCGGGCAGAGCACCCTCCAGGGTTTGCCCTCAATGAAGTGAGGTGGGGGCCGTTGGGAGTTTGCGTCGCAGGCTTGAGCCGCAGTAATGCATCGGGCAGGTGACGTCATGAGGCTCTCTCGAAAGGCAGGAGAAGCGATCTAAAGGTCGCAGGAGTCGCAGAAGGGCCCTCTGCCCTCTTGCCACAGGCATGGCTATGGCTATGGCTATCCTTGCCAGTCGCCTTTGCCCTCAAGGACAACCCCTCGACACATGCGATATGATGTCTTGACCAATGGCCACAGTAACCCGCAATCAAAGACGCAGCGCCAGTGCCAGCACACCCGAACATGGTAAATCAGATTCGCTGTGTTCCCACAAGAATCAAGAACCCGAAATGTCCGACCTCCAACCAACTCCCCATTACGAACATTACAAGCAGGACACCTCGCCCCCAATAACCAATCACAAATCTCGAACGAAGCAAGACTGCAGCGATTTTTGTACTCGCCGGTCCGGGCTAGAGTCTTTCTAGCCGCATGTTGAGAAATGCACAACCACCCAATGCAAAAAGAACGCTATCCGAGCCCGGACCAGTGGCCCGTCTGTTCAAGCCACTATACGTTTGATCGTTCAGGACCGGCCAACGGTGACGGTAGAATGTGGCCAAAGAGAAGCCGCACAGAACATTCCATGAGCTGTATCTCAATGCTCGAGATTTGAACGCAGAGCTGGCTTGATGTAGATGGTGACTAGTTGCTAGCCGTGTCCGACGAATGGAGACTGGCTGCGACGGTTTGCTGGAGAGCCCTTTGCTTTCGCTTGATTCGTCCTGGCAGGACAGCTCAATTGGTTCGACAGAGTTGGATGCCAACCTCCAAGGCCACTTCACGCTGTAAATCGCTGCAAGTGCTACTGCTTCTCGTGTTTGCAAGCGTGTCAACTCATCGCAGTCAGGCAAGGACGGTGAGACGCTTGCTGGGCAAGGCGTCCTCGAGAATTTTGCCAGATGCTGCTTTCATGCTGTCAAAGCATGACGAGGAGTGTCATCTCTTGCAGTGGGTGCAGAGCCTATGGAGGATGGCCAGGCCAGTCTGACAGAATCCCCGATGCCGGTGGCAGTCTCCAAGTTGAGGTTGCCGCTGCACCGGTGAAGGAGGTCATTCGGGTGCTGAAGGCTTTAGCTAAGCGGGTGGACGTGCGAGACAGGAGCTGAGAGCTGAGCAGTGTGTGAACGATTTCACACGATACGTTTGCAATGCAGGAGAGAGAAGAAGCTTCACGAGGAATTCGGAAGCTATTGCCTCTTGGACTGCGTGACCTGCCCTGCCACAGTCTAGTCTAGCTTGAGAAGCTGAGCCAGACGAGGTGCAAAGGGAGACACCTCTCTGGAAAAAAGCCTCAAGGCCTGCTGGCGCCGATGTTTCTGAGCTCTTTGAGCAGCTTGCCGCCTTGACAAGCAGTCTGGCAGCAGGAGTCTCAGTCCGAACTGCCTCACCTGCAGCTGGCGCTGGTCGAGACAGAGAGGAAGCGACAGGCACTCCAGGAAGAGATCAAGGCAGGAGAGCATAAGTGCACCACAGCAGAAACCTGCCGTTCTCTGTGGTTTCTTCTCGAGGCTCATGAGAACGATGCGGCATCTTGCAAGTCTGCTCTCCAGACGGCAGAAGCCATTCGTGCCGACGAGACGCAAAGCTACAAGAAGGACAGTGAAGTTTCGGTCTCCCGTATCGGCCGTAATGGAACACATGCCACTGGTCAGGAGCTTGCCACCCTGACGGCAAACCAAGAGCGGCTGCAAGAGCTTCTCGCTGCACAGGACTGCTACCGATTTCTTTTTGCTGGCTCTGGACAGGGGTCGTTGGTCGTCAGCACCGACGTTTTTGCCTCAAGCAATGTGCAGCAGTGCGAGTAACCCCGTGTCGGCGGGTCTGAGCGGAAGTACATTCGGGAATGGCATCGGCATTCGGCCCTCGCCGAGGTTCAAATACGAAGGTTGCGTGCATTTTCGTAGATGTTCGTATGACGGTCACGAATGTCTGTATTTATTTTGGATGGGCGACTCCGTGGCTGATTTCGGCAGTCCGAGTGAGTGTTTGATCCCTTTGTCCAGAGCGCGTCTGCTGCAATGTTTGCCAAGGAACGGCACGTTGCTCGCTCCCTCCCTCTCCCACTTGTTGCTGATGCCTGCAACGGCACTTGAGGGCGCAGGTTGCAGGCAATGGCAGGATTTGGCCTTCACGATAGCCCGCGCACGACGCGAGGAGGTCGGAGCATCCATCGGTGAGCAGAAGACTTCGGAGTGTCTTGGCTTAAACCTTGCAGTGGCTGAATCGCGACTCACAAAGCACATGCTTTGTGATGTCAGCCTTTCTACCTCAGGTCTGCAGGCGCTCGGCTCGGGGTTTGTTGCGTCTTCCTGCGCATGGGACGTTGCGACTTCCTGTCTGGCCCTCCGTGAGGTGAGGGCGGAAAGTTTGTGCAGACGGGTGACGCAGCGTTCCAGAGACTTACGCTGTCGGCGAGCAGCATCCTTGCAGCACTGTGGTGGCTGTCGTTTTGAATGTTTTCGCGTCTGACTGCCAAGCACACTGGGGCTTGGCTTAGACACTCTGCGAGAGTGCTTTTTGTACTTGGCATTGAGGCGCCACAGAACTCATAGAGATGCTTCAAGCTCCAGATGCAACTGCCGGCCAGAAGATTCAAGTCTTGGCTCCTCACCACTGCACTTCATTGGTAGTGTTAGCTCTGCATCACGAAACGTGCCAAGGGCTCTTGCCAGCATGTGATACGTTCTCAGGAGATGCTGAAGAACATGCTGGACTGACCCGCGACCCTTGAGCTCGGTTTAGACTGTTTGCCAGAGCGCTGCAAGCGGCAGGATGGCGTGAAGAAAGACATGAAGGAGCTGAAGACTCAAGAGGCGAAGAGAGCGGCGGTCTTTGCCGCAATGCAGAATCCGGGGCAGCAGTCAGACCGTGCAGAGGAACACAAGATACAAGTAGCAGAAGTCTCATCTCAATCTCTGTCTTCTGGACCTCGAGGAAGGCGAAGACAGACGAGCTCAAGTCTCTACAGAGGATACAAGCCTTGCCTTGAGTCCTGTCTCTTCTCGGGGACTTCTTGTCTTGCAGGAGCTTACAGCAAAAGGGCGAACGAGATGCTGCCTTTCAGAAGCAGATGGCAACCATTCGCATGGAGCGTCAGGCAGTTCGACAGTGTCGTGTGCAGCATTGCGGGTTGACGAGACGCTCGCCAGGACACAGCCGCTCTTGTGGATGATGCGGACAAGCTCGGCAAGAGCTTGCAGAATTGGTGCACAATTCGGCGCGGCCAGCATACCTCCATGACACTCAGCAAGCAAGAAGATCAGAGCCAAGCCGCTTGGAGTCCTAGTAACCTAGTTGTTCCTGCCTTCATGTGGGCTTCAAGGCAGATGGAAATGCAGGAAGAGCAGAAAGCTTTGCAGGGCGCAGCAAAGCTCATGTGCCAGCCTGTGCTTTTAAGCTTGCAGTGATGCGGGGACGGGGCAGACATGCTGCAGCTGCAGGCTGTCGGGAACCGACCTGGAGATTTTCAAGCCTGCATCCCTTGTGACATTCTTGCAAGTGGCTCAGAGGCAGGGGGCACGGACATTTTGGGAAGCTGTTGTGCAGCAATTCAGCAGGCACCAGAATGCGCACACCACCTCCGGGCAACAACGTGCTCTCAGAGGAAAGCCAAGCTCCTTCGATGAACCCGTAAAGATGTGCAGCTCAATCCTGAAAGCCCTGCCCAAGACACCATGAAGGGTTGGGATCTTGTTTCAGAAGGTCCTGCCCTAGAGAAGATCACCAAGCTCGTCGATTCCATGGTCTCTGCATTCATCTCAGCTAGCACATATCCGTCGAGGCAGCCTATGTATCTCTTTGTCAGATCTTTCGCTTCGCTCTGACCGTTAGGTCTTGGAGAAGGCACAGGAGGACGACAACCTCAAGATTCAAATGTGCAAGGCTCCGTCAAAAAAGGATATGCTTGTTGTGGGCAAGAGCGCTTGCGTCCACGTCAGGACGAAACGGCATCCACCGAGGAAGCTAAGGCAGCCCTTAGTGAGAAAGCGCAGTCCAAGGCTGCTGACATCGCTACGATTCCCAGCAGCAATAGGTACGAGATCCATGTTGCAACTGATGCTGATGCACTTGATTGTGGCACCCAGGCTGAGTGAGCAGCTTGAAACCCTGGAGAGGGACGTTGCCGCTGAGAAGCTGCTGATCTCAACCGCAAGCACGGATGACAGATGTTCCTATGTTCACGAGTCACCCGGGCCCAGTGCAGTCGTCCTTCAACAAAGGACGGCGATAACTCGGGTTGATTGGGTGGTGGCCAAAGCCACCGAGCTTCGCGAGAAGGAGCACAAGCACTTGGCAACATCCATCGCGCAAGGTGGCGGCTGAGTATCCTCTCAGTGTCACCCATAGATGCAGCAAACAAATGCCAAGGTGCTGCGGCTGTAGATGTCACCAGGATGCACAGACTTTCTCTTTCTTCGTTCGTTCATTGCACGGGCCTAGTGCCAAGGTGATGCACAAAGCCATGAACTCTCTTCAGAAATACTTAGACGAGGCTCCGACTGGAAGCGGTTGCGTGCGAGCTCTTGGTGTGCAGAGACAGTCTTCATAGCACCGCGAGGGTGGCACCCTTGATGGGCCAAAACCCAAGAAAGACGACGAGGACCTTCGCCATCCTTCGCCCATTTTCAAGACAAGGTGTGCTGCAGACAAGCTGAGTGGTTCAGGAGTTCGGCTTTCTCCTGGAGACTACCTCCGGAACGGACACCAAGGCTGCGCTGAGGTCGGGGTCACGAAAGTGAACTGCTGCATGTGGCTTCATGGCTGGTACTGGCAGGTCGCTGCAGGCAGTCATCGACGCAGTCCGGTCCGAAGTCGAACAAGTGAAACTTCGACGCCCAGTTGCACAGCAGCCTACCAGGCCACAGCCGAAGAGGAGCACAACAGTTCTGGCTGAGGCGAGGCCGCCGACCAGGCCGCCTACGTGGAGCTGGTAAAGGCCATCCCAATCATGCCGGTCCCTTCTTCGACGGGTGCCCCGCAAGGTGGCTCGGGCCTCCCGGCGGAAGGATGCCTACACCCTGACGGACTTCGTTGGAGGTCAGGCAGCCCTGACGGCTGAGTCCCAGCGCATCCAGGACAGACAGAAGGCCGGCAATGCCATCCCACGCCCATCTCCCACCAAAAAGAAGTAGGATGGAGCCCTAAACCGCCCAAAGAGTGCGTTAATCCAGGCTTTGAAGGAGCAGATGGGCCTAACGGATCAGCTCGCTTCGACCTTGAACGCCGAGCCATGGCAGAATTGAACTTTTTGGGAGGCAAGTAGGCAGGCTTGTGTCGATGCAGCAGCTGCGTCAGCTTGCAGGAATGTGACAAGCTCATCGCCAACTACAAGGCGAAGAAACAGGCACGAACCATGGAGATGGATGTCCTCAAGAGCAAAAAGTCGGCTCTTGCATCTCGGCCGCGTTGTTTCTGCTACATCATGGTAGCATGCGCTGCAGTTAATCCGGTTTGGGCTGGAGAATCCCACTACCAAGGAAGCATCTCTTGCCAGTGCCTGAGTCATTCGCGCTTCGTTTCCTGCTAAATGACCGTGTTCTGTACGATGCAATTGAACAACAAAGGCCGATGTGGATCTGGAGTGAACAATACCCGCGACGTTTCGTCCCGGGTGGAATCAACAAAATGATGTGGCAGAGTTGTGCAAGTGTCTGCATGTTCCGTAGCCGTGCAAGTGCTGCGACTTACCCCCGTTTGGCCAGCTCTGTTTGAACCACGGGCATACCATGCATGCAGGTGGAAATCCTCACCGGAAGGCTTCACCAGATTCGGGCTGAAGACTCAGAGCTGCAACAACGCACGAGGCTTGTTGAAATTCCTGCCTCGTTCCTGGAAGGCGCACCTGAGCAGCGAAGGCTTTCCGTTGCTCGGTGGCAGCCCCAGACGGTGTATGGATGCACTGTTGTGGACAGCGCAGGTACAGAGCGGTCGCCACATATCGGGAGTTTTTTCATTTGGTTCGGTAGTTTTTATTTTTTCAAGTTGTTCCCTTTCGTGTTCCCCTACTATTAGGAATAGGAATAGGATACTAGTCGCAACACTACAGTAGTATTAGTACTAATAGTACTATTACTATTACTGTTTTTTTTTTACTACTACTACTACTACTACAACTACTACTACTACCACTACTACTACTACTACTACTACTACTACTACTACTACTACTACTACCACTATTACCATTACTAGTACTATTAAAATCGCTGTCGGTATTGCTATAGTAGTAGTAGCAGTAGTAGTAATAGTAGCATTCATTCACCACGCAGCGAAGTGTCCGGATTCGCCTAGCGAGCTGACGATAGCCCGGTATTCGGGGTATCGGAACCTCTGTTGGGTTCTGGAGGGCAGTGCCAGCTCCATCCACTAAGACTACACTTGCTCAGCGTCAGGCACCAGGAGGAAGTACCTGACGTAGCCACACTATATATATGTTGCCATCATGTTCTGTGCCAATTGACTTTGCTGTGCAGGAGTCATCAGTGATCCACCATTTTTCTGCACCAAACAGCGGCTGTCCTCGTAGGATAGTTCTGTAATGCCCCATATCAGGAGTGGCCCCGTAGTGAAGCTGTACAGCGACGACCTGGTAGTGAACATAGCGAACTTGCATAGTGTGCAGCCCTGCAAAGAGTGGCATACGAACTGTAGTCGAGGCCATAGCCAGTGGTCTGGTGTCCCTGCGCATGACTCCCTCGGCATTCGTGAATCGCTGAAGTTGTATGCAGAGCATGGGAGACGGGGTCAGCAGTGCATAACGGGCTGTGACCTGAGCACTCCACCCATCAATGGCTGCCTGAAGCTCCAAGCTTGGACCTGCCGGTAGCACAATCGCTATTGGAGCTTGGGTAGGCCCCGTATCAAGAGTGGCAATACCTCCAGGTGCAAAGTTTCTGGCCTCCCAGCCACCATTGAACCCACTATGCGAAAACCTGGGTAAGAGGTATTGTATCAGCTCAGCTGCATCATGCTGACGGTTTACAGAAGGCCAAGCTTGCAGCAGCATAAGCCACGGTACCGAATGGAGCACCTGAATGGGACAATTGGGCGAATCAGTGATTGGTGGACACAGCATGGTAAGAGCCTGCGGTGGAGGCGAGATATAGGCATCGTGTAGCCTGGCCTGAAGGATTGTCCACAGAAGGGCATAGATGGTAGAGTGTAGGTAGCACAAATTCGATGGATTGTGGAAGATCAATCGAAGAACGGCCTTGAGACTAGGGCGCACACTCAGTATGGCATCTGATGCTGCCACACTTCCTGGACCAGGGTGTCGTAGTTCGGTCGATCGCGACGGAGCCTGCATCCCAGTGTGTGCCACGATGCTTGACCGATCCACTGGTTCAGCGTACTCCACATGGCTCCCCCCTCTGGGCGAAGTGACAAGCAGATCTGGAATTGGATCCAGTCGGAGGTCACCTCCGTGGTGAGCTTCCGCATGGACTTGAACCTCACCAGGGTCTCCTCCGTAACAGCCTTCCTCATCTGAACCAGTTGGGCCAACAGATCCTCCGCCGGTATTGGCCTCACTGAGTTGTCTACTTCCAGACATTGTTTGGAGGGATTCCATGTGAGATGTTTCCAATGTTTCTGATCGTCGATCCAGTTCAGGTTCTTGGCTTTGGCGAGAGCATCCTCGTCCGCGATCATGTTGGTCAACCTCTGATGTAAGGTGATGAGCAGTTGCTTGAAGAGCATGAGTTTGAGGGAGTAAGTGATCTTCTCGGGTTCTTCCTCTTTCATCTTCCTCCACTTCTCCGCTGCTTCGCATAGAACTGGCACCATCCCTTCTGGTCCAGATCGTACAAAGAGGTAGAGGACCAGATCCTGACGGATGGCTGAGATGATTTGCTCCTGACGAAGGACCAGCTGAGACAGTCGGTTCATCCTGTACTCCATCCATTCTGGATCCTGACTTCCCAGTGGCTGCAGGTCCTGTGTCTGTGTCCATGGATTGGGTGGATGGCTTCCGAAACCATTTGTGTAACCCATGGTCGGGTGTGCACTTGGTGGACTTGGTAGGCCCTGCTTTCCCTTGCCTTTGCCCTTGGTACCCTTGCCCTTGCCCTTGTTCCGGTCCTGCGGTGCCAGACGCTGCCTCTTGGATTGCTCGGCTTGTTGCAGCATATCTCTTCTCGGTTCCTGTTCCCGCTTGACCGGACCAGCCTGGGCCCAAAATTGCCTCTCCTGTTCGTCCAGCTCCATGGGATCCGCGGTGAGCGTCATGATGCGCTGCTAGAAATGCACAGATATGCAGAACATGACACTGTTTCCAATGTCGATCTTTGTTGATGTTTCGCTGATGACAGTATCGACATGGAACTACAGTATGTCGGCGGAAACCAGTAAGGAGCTTGAGAGTCGCAGGTTGGCAGTCTTTCCACTCTGGATGTTGCATGGTGAGATGATACTTGATGCTGGTAGGAGTGGCTAGCCACTGGTAACACAGCGGGCAGTGGTGCTGGAGATACGATTGGATCTCCGGCTTCTCAAGGAGGTCAGTCCACCTGCGTGCACGTAGCGCTGCGAGAACATGAGATTGCTGATGAAGGGGAACAGCCTCATGGCTCGGTGTAGTGGAGCTGTCCTGCAGTGGAGCATCTGTGACAGGGGGTTCAGGTATAACGTCAGGAATAGTAGTAGGCGTAGCAGCCTGAGCCTCTTGGAGGATGTGGGTCTCCTGAGAGGAGGCCTGAGGTGGCAGGGTGACCGATGCAAGGACTGGTAAAGGATCGGGTTCACTTGATCTCGGAGCCAAGGGTTGGGCATCAGCAGGAGATTTTGTGGCAAGTCTACGGAGTACCTGGCACCGATTGCGTTTGATGTGTTTGACAAGTCCGTCCCATTGTCGGAAGGGATGGGCACAATGTCTGCACGTTGGAAGTCCTTCTGTTCCATGTGCATACCTATCAAAAGGCACTGGGACAGCAGCAGGTGTCTTGAGTCCATGCCATTTAGCCTCGTGAGAACGTAGTAGCCGAAAGGAGGTGAAGACCCGATGACATTCCTGGCACTGGTGTACAGCAGGTTCAGTGATGCCCTCTTTGTCACCGAGAGGTACCTGCCATTGGCGTTGCACCTGTAGGTGAAGCGTAGCAGAGCAGCTGTGTCTCGAGCTGTTTCCACCTGGGCTTGGGTCACGAAGCTCGTTTGGGTACTCAGGCCAGTCAGGCTGCGATGCAAGGCGGCGGCTTCCCTCTGGAGATGCTCCAAGATGGTGAACAGAGAGCATCTATGCAGGAGGTCGTGTGTGGATTCTTTCTGAAGATGTGCAAAAGATCGGGTGATGGCTCGGACCCGCTTGGTCATCATGTGCTGCATACGCTGGATATCCTTGGCACCTGGGTTGGATGCCGCGATGCCGTAGAGCAGCGTGGGAAGCACTGTGGATTTCCATAGACTAAGACGATGTGTCTGAGCAAGGTGCCTGGTAGAGCACAATACACCACGAAGTCTTTGCCATGCCTGGTTCGCAGCCTGTAGCCGATAGGTGACTGCTTGTTTGGCCTGGGAATGATATGAGATGCGAATGCCTAAGTACGTGTGATGGTCACGCAACGGAATTTCATACACCTTTCCCAGGGGGCTACGAAAGCGTAGTAGGTCTCCCTCAGGTTTGTGTATGAGATGTCGTCGCAGCCAGCCTTTGATGAAACTTCCCTTGTGTCTCAGCAACAGTGCTGATTTGGCCGAGTTGATGACCATACCATGGGCAGCAAGAGCATCGAGGATCTTACTAAAGCGATACACCATGTCGTCCAGCTCACGAGTGTTCTGCACGGTATCTTTTTGATGTATATCATCTGCATAAATCGTGGAGCTTTGCTCTAGCCAAGGGGCTGTGAGGAGCGAGTCCTCCTCTGCAAGGAGCTCACGATATATCTGTGCCAGGGCAAGTGTCCAGAGCAACGGAGCCAGTTTACACCCTTGTCTAAGTCCTCTTTGGGCCTCCACTTTGGCAGTGTGCCCAAGGTGGGTAAGGACGTAGGAAATCTCGGAGTGCCAGGACATGATTTGGTGTCTTAACTCAGCCGGAACGGCAGATGCAAGTAAAGCCTTGTCCAGCAGGCGCCAGTCCATGAGGTCGAAAGCGCTGGACAAGTCCAGTGAGAGTTGTGCACCTGCAAAATGTGGGCAGGGTTTCGGTTGTTGTGCGTGACGATCCACAACCGTGGGTGTTGAGATCGAGCAGCGATCCTGTACATACTTGCAGTGAGCAGCAACACGATGTATGGCTTGGGCAGCATTGCGACCCGGTAGATATGCAAATTGTGCCTGATCCGCAAGGAACCTCTCTGCATAGGGGCGCAGTTTCGCCTGAAGTATGGAAGCATATGCGCGGCCGCTGGATTCAGGTGACCCTATTGGTCTGAGATTCTTTGGTGAGAGTGGTCGCGGAATCTTAGGAACGAGAGTCAACCAAGCATTCCGCCATAGCTCTGGTATATGAGGCCATTGCCGGCACCATTGGCACAAGAGAGGCGCGACAATGTCCGAGGTCAGCCTCCATAAAGAGTTTGTGGCTAGATTTGGAGGTGTAGCTTTGTGGGGTGACAATTGCGAAAGTGCCAGGGTCATTTCGGCCTCCGTGACCTCGATGTGAATTGGCGTCCGCTGGGGGCCCTGGATGCTGGTATCCTCGTCTGCAGCATATAATTTACGATAGTGCGTTTCCAGCTGTTGTAGCTGGATCTTAGGGTCCTGCAGATGACCACCAGAATCTCGCAGTTGAACCTTCGGCTTGGAGGATTTGGGAGCTAGGGTGCGGATGCCAGCATAAAGTTTGCGGGAGTCACCCGAAGAGGCGGCAGCCTGTAATTCCTGGAGCCTGCCATGGAACCAGTGCTTCTTAGCTTCTTTCCCGGCTTGACGAAAGGCCTTGTGTGCCGTCTTGAAGTGATGATAGCACCTGGATACATAAAGCGGATTGTGCCGATCTTGAGCTTTGGCAGTCTTCCAGGCTCGGTAGGCCTGCCACATGGATCGAATACCATCCTGCATTGGTGGTGTCTGCCATAGTGCTAGCCGATGCTGACCTGTGGGCGGCGGGAAAAATTGGGATGCACAGTGAATCAGAGTAGCATGTAGTTGCCCAAGATCAGTGACCCCAGGTAGGGATGCCTGGACGGCAGCACGTAGACTTTGTACTCGCGGATCCCAAGCAGAGCGGCAAACCTGAATCAAGCCCCAATGGTCCCATGCTCGTTTTGGTGCCACCGGTTTGTTGAGAGTGTGGAAGCGCTGAAGCGGGATACTGGCCTTCAGTGGTAAATGGTAGCCACCAAGCCTCCATGCAGCTAGTCCCAGGCGGAGAGGTTTGGCCTGACGAGCACGGTCATCCGCTTGGCAAGAACGCATGATAATATGGTCAATGAGGCTGGCACCTTTGTTGTGATGGTACGTGGGGCCAGCAGCCTTGCACCATGAGTTGAGATGTAGGAGGGAGAAGTCCTCGACAAGATGCTGCAGCCGTGCCTGGTCAGGTGGATGTGTTCCCGAGCTGTTGCCGGAACAAATCCTGGTGCCAGCTGCAGCACATGGCTTGATCTGGGTATTAAAATCTCCAAGCATGATCACCGTGTTGCGGGCAGGTAGGGCCGCCAGGATCTTACCAATGCACTCCCAAACAGCTAAGCGAATGGTTTTGGAAGATTGCAGGGCGAGTGGATGAGAGTTGTGCGGCTTTTGATAGATGTGCAGCAGGTCGACTGCCCATTGGTCATGGAGTATCCTCAGGTGTTGCACCCTACCCGGTTGAGGGTCGGCGTAGACAATTCTGCAGTTACGGGTAGTCTGCTTGTTGAGGAGAATCAGGAGCCCAGCAGATTTGTTATCAGTGGTCGGGGAGGTGTACACATCCCACGTAGCGGTGGGGAATTGGGGTGCCACCTTATCCGTCCAGTGAGTTTCTTGAACACACACGATCTGGGGACGATCGTCAGGCGGCATATTCTCAAGTGTTAATAAGAATTCCTGCCACAGGGCCTGGGACAATCCTCCAGCATTCCAAGAGAGGAACAACAAGCGACCCTGGGAGACTTTCAGAGCGGCCTGCTGCATACGACGCTCAGCCTGGGGGGCGGGCCGATGGCCCCGATAGCCTTTGCAAAGCTGTTGCAGGGTACAGACACGGCCCCGATAAACCGTATGCTGGGCCTGGTCCTGTGCAGCACGACGTACGGCACGTTTGTAAGATCGCTTCCTTGCAAATGTGTACTCAGTGGGGTTGGCTGCAACCGGCCTGGGTTCTCCTGAGTGACCCGCTACTGCAGAGTGCAGAGGGTGTGCAGAGGGCACTCCCCAGATCGACCTTGGGAGGGCTAACAGAGTCGAGAGAAACAGAATAGGACGAGGGCACAGCTTAGAGTGCGTCGACGTGCCAGGGGCCTCACTAGGTCGATCAGTGTTTGGCGGAGGGCGACACCTGTCGGCAGTGTTGGTAGGTCGGGTTGCAGGTGTTGGTGGTTGTACTCCAGAGGGAGGCCTCCTAATACGAGGAAGGCCAGGAGAGGTAAGGTGTGGAAGTGCTGGAGCCCAGATGGCAACAAGACGAACAGGAAGACCCTGTTTGTAGAGGAAGAAATACCGGGGCTTTGACTGCGGTGGAGCATATCCAGGCAGCAGTTTGTCCATGCTATTTGGCACGCCACAGGGGCCTGCAGTCTGGTCTCCTTGACCAGCCCACGATGAACAGATGGCTGAAAACAGAGAGGAGGTCAGGCTAGGGGAACAAGCAGTGCCTAGAGTGACTCCTGGGTCAGAGCGAATAGTGTGGTTTTGTGGGGGGTCCCGCAAGACTGCCCTCACAGCAGAGTGTAGTTCATTGGGCTCCTGCCACGGCTTCCCGTCCCTCACCACGAAGGTGAGTTTCGGTCTCGTGAGCGGGTGGCAGCCGCTCACAACCCTCGCCCCTACCGACTGTTCGGAGGCTAGATGGACAACCAGCTGGTATCTGAAAGATGACAGGTTGTCAGCCGTACGAAAATGTCGGTCTCCGGAATTGGGACCGGAGTAGCTCAGAGCAGGTGTGTTGAGAATGTGAGAGGGGCACCTTATAGTGCTAGTTGTCCATGTTGACAAAAATGCTTGCATCGGCATCGGTGTGCGGTGCAGCAGACTGTCTACACAGCTAATCCATAGTGTGCAGGTCCAGTGCCGTTTGGGAAGCTTTGTGTAGCAACTGCACTTCAGAGTCATGCTCTCGGGATCTGATCTTGTTAGCCTGCGAGGTGCTGGTTTGTTGCATACGGGTGGCATATGGTGTGCATCTACGGTACTCAAGCCGACACCACTCACAGCATGGGTCCGCCAGACGATAGGCAAGCCACGTGCCCGGGATATCCTGCACAAGTTGGGCAAGTAAGAGTCCCAGGGTGATGCCTGCTCGACCCTCTGGCCTGCGCCCAGTGGCGAAGACAGACCTGGAGGCAGGCTGGAAGAACAGCGAAATGGAGCTATCGTCCTCCTGGGAGTGACGGTCACAAGAACTGAGAGCCCGTCGGGTTGTAAACCAGCTCCTGGTGGTGGAGGTGGGCATCGTACCGAAGCAAGACCAGCAGATGGTCTGGTGTGACGAAGGCACACCAGACATTGTTCAGGTTGGTCAGTCAGGAAAGCATCCGGCCACCCCTGCCAGGTGTGGTGACTATATTGAACACCAATTGTGGAGTGAACGTGCAACAGAGAAGGACCTGTTGCCAATGCAGCTGACATACCTCGAGTCACAGGACATCGATAGTCATCACGGTGTGGGGAGGCACCGTAGGTCCATGTACATGTGAGCCCGGCCGGCATGGTGGTAGATGTACACGCAGGTCGTTCAAGGCCTGGATAGGCACATGTGGAAGAGCGCAGTGGCCTTTCAAAGCCCCAGCAGGGTAGCAAGAGGACCTGCGAGGATCCGGGCTTGCCGTCGGGCGTCCGACATGTCGGCAGACACGAGCCTGATATCCGCAAGTGTTGCAGGCAATAGCCAGTTGAGGAAGCAGCAAAGATTTGTAAGCAGGGAACCCACCTAGGTGGCTTCCAGGACCTAGGTGCGTAGGTCTGCAACACCGAGCACTCAGTAAAGCAATCCCCGCCTGTGTCAGCTTGGCCTGTCGGAGCCACTGGTGGGCTGGACCTGAGAGGGGCGAAGGCAAAGAGCATGGCAGGTCTAAGTGAAAGGGACATGTGTCGTCTCCTGCAAGGCTGACCAAGCTGGTGCAGACGCTGACATGATGAACTGTAAACTTGATCCTTATATGCAGCACTGGATGAGGCAGCTGGGTCCGTGCTGAGTCCAGCGGCTCTATTGGCCTGGAAAATTTCCTCCATCTTCCTGGCCATCCTTCTGCGGACACGGTCTTGGAGCTTGGCGAGTAATAGTAGCAGTAGCAGTAGCAGTAGCAGTAGCAGTAGCAGTAGCAGTAGCAGTAGCAGTAGCAGCAGTAGCAGTAGTAGCAGTAGTAGCAGTAGTAGCAGTAGTGGCAGTAGTAGCAGTAGTAGTAGTAGTAGTAGTAGTAGTAGTAGTAGTAGTAGTAGTAGTAGTAGTAGTAGTAGTAGTTGAGCGAGCTCATGGAATTTCACAGTCTTGCAATCAGTCAGTATAGTAAGGTATTGTCGTATCAGATAGTGTCGTCGCGAGTGTCAGCTCGACTCCTCTCCTGGCTTTGAAGAAGCGAGGGAGGGCTCTTTGCTGTAACCGGGCAGCTGGACAACGAGGCCTGCTGCAAAAAAGTAGTAGTAGTAGTAGTAGTAGTAGTAGTAGTAGTAGTAGTAGTAGTAGTATTGCATTGCGGACGTCACACAATCCATGTGCTCGACGAGGGAGGACAGTAAAAATGACCGGCCGCTCAGTGGCAGCTTCATCGTTTTGATGAATCCTGATTGGAAGACCTACCGACCGCTACGTTCAATCCATGCCATGCCATCCAACACATTCAGAATTCGGAATTCACAGTATTCGTGGAGTATTCGTGGAATCTAACCAACTGTATTCGTTGAATTTGTTGAATTCAAGGCAACTGCTGTCCCATGGATTGCCGAGGAAAGTTGCTTCACGACAAAGCATGCCACTGCATGTTTGCTGCTTGTGACCCGTACCTGGCATTTGACAGCTGACCGTTGCTGTCCCATGAGGATGGTCGCTTGACGACAATGCATGCCACTGCATGTACTAGAAGGGAGACTGGGACGTTGAAAAGCGTGGGCTTAGCAGTTGGCGAGCAGGGCAACCAAACTGCGGGCGGAGAACACAAAGCAGGGGGTATTGCAGTACGACACTGCGAAGAGAGTGCTGAGCTGTGTAAAGAGAGTGCTGAGCTTGAAACTGAAGCCGGGCGTGTGAAACACATACCCTGTGAGCACTGTTTGCATGCGAGCGTGCATTCCAAACGGACAGACACGTGTAGCAGCGTTGTAGCGCACTGAAGTTGCATAGATTTTGTGTTGCCATGAGTGTACCCTGCATCGTAGGTTCGTCCTAGCCAGGCGGGCGGCAAAAAAAATCCATGCCATTCAAGTCAATCCTGGGCTCTGCCCTCCCACAATTGGGATAATATGAGAAGCGCACCGGCCCGCTCTCGCCATCCATGCTGACTCCAGTTGTGCCGTCTGCGGTTGCATAGCTCCCATGAAGGCCAGCGGTAGAGGAAGTGTCTGCAGTTGCCCCAGCAGAAATCGTAGTCGATGCCAGAGCCTCACCTCCAGCATCTTCCTCTTCCGAAGCGCTGTCATGCACCACCAGCAGCATGGAATCAACGGCCACGGGAGTCCAAGCATGAAGGCTGCCAGCAGCAGATTAAACCTCGGTCGAGTAGTAGTAGTAGTAGTAGTAGTAGTAGTAGTAGGAGTAGTAGTAGTAGTAGTGGTGGTAGTAGTAGTACTAGTAGGAGTAGGAGTAGGAGTAAGACTAAGACTAAGACTAAGACTAAGGGTAAGAGCAAGAGCATGAGTAAGAGTGATAGTAAAATACTAGTAAGAGCACGAGTCAGAGTAAGAGTAGTAGCAATAGGAATGGTACTAGTAGTAATACCAGTACGAGTAAATAGTAGTAGCACTAGCAATAGCAATGGCAGTACTGGCAATAGTAAGACTAATGGTCCTCGCAAAAGTCATAGCAGCAGAAACAGTATCAGAAAGGTAACATTCATAGCAACAGTACTGGTAGTGCTGAAAGTAGTAGTTATCGCTATCGTCATAGTAGTAGTAACTAAGTAGTATTGATAGAAGCTGTAACATCTATGGTAATGTTTGTTTGCTTGCATCCTTTCCTGTATGTTTGCTTGGGTGAATACATGCTTGATCGCTTGCTTGCTCGCTTTGCATACTCCTTCTCCAGCTTAGCTGCTTCCTTGCTTTTTCTGCTTGTTTTCTTGTCTTGCTTGCTTGTTTGCGCGTACAGAGCGGACCTTTGTGATTGAGGTGATGCCACTTATGGAGCAGACCCAGACGACCACTCAGCCACACCAGATGCACCTGTCGAGACACCTGTGACTGGCACGAGGACTTGGATCGGTGGTGCCCGCGCATCTTCTTGCATGCAGCATTTCTAGGCCACAGTGCATCTTATGATGAGATGTGTGAGATCCGGTGGTGGTTGTGCTGACTCATGCACTGGGACCGTTTAGATGCAGCAGCAGAGGGCGAGAGAGTGAGAGATGGTTCAGGAGCGGTGTTTTGTGGGGAGGGCTCAGTCGTGGGAACGAGTGCTTCTCTCATCCCCGAAAGGGGCCGTACAGACCTTGAGACGCGCGGACTGTGGAGGGTGTAGGCCTTCGGGCCAGGGTTCCCTCGCGGGCCCATGCCCCGAAGCGAGCAAGATGGCTCAAGCTGTTGGATCCAGCAGCCCGGAGGTTTATCCTTGGTCTGCGCAGCCATAGCAACACCTCGATCAAGCATTGCAGCTTCTGCTGCCGCCATCTTCGTTCGCTCACCCCTCGAGGCCCCAAGCATGCACCTCGGTGTGTCCCCGCTTGGATGGTGCCCCTTCTCTCTCATTCTTGGTCGCCCTTCCCTTGGAGTGGGCTCTGCAGGTCTCCTCCTCCTCCTCTCCATCATAGCACATAGACCTGCGCCGACGCTCCCTCGCTGTTGGTCTCTTCCCAATGCACAAAGTCTTTATCGTCTTGTCCCCGTCGTCGTTTAAGAAGCGGTGAACCTGTCAGCAACTCTCGAAGGTCCTCGAGGTGCTGGAATCGGTAGGCCTCCTGTTTCTGCGAAGTTGCCCCGCCGGTGCATGCTCCCCTCTTCTCCTACTGTTGGGCAACCCCTTCGCAAGTGAGGAAGAGGCGAATGCGCGCATAATTCCAGCGTTCCACACAGCTGCGAAAGTGAGCAGACCGAGTGGGTCGAAAGCGCGCCAGAAGGGTGTCCAGATCTCGAGGGGAGCAGGAGCCATTGACTGCATCTTACATGGAAGTGCGGCACAAGATGGCGCAGCACCGAAGCTCTTGATGGAGGCGTCGAGGACAAACCCAGAGGCGGTCAACCAAAGCATCCTCGCAGACTTCCGACCACGCAGAAGCCACAGGGAGACCAAGGTCGCACAACACAGTCAAAGCCGAGGGCAAAGCCACCAACGGCCCCAATGATTACGCGGACAAAGCCGAAGCCCGCGCCCTCGTCGAGTATGACGTCGGGTACGAGTTCTACAGTACCAGCAAGAAACAAGAGACCGGCCAACAAATCAGGGCACACAACATGAGTAGGACGACGCCTTCTGGGACTGGTCGGGCACTTGAAAAGAGACCGAAGAGACGAGAAGCGAGACCCAAGAGGAGATGCAGAACGCCCAGAAGAAGACCAAGAAAACAAAGAGCAACAAAGCAAAAAGAGACCACACAAGAGCCGAAGTTAGGGGGAAGCCGTCAGAACACGCACAATGGCATACAGCCTGGCCATGCGCAGCTACGACCAAACCAGGCACACCTCGGGCAGAACACAACGCACAGAAGACTTTTGAGGAGGCCGTAGTCCCTGCACAGAAGACGCGACGACATACATTCTGCAGGGCTGCTGGTCGAAGGCAACCTGATCAGTGGCTTCTGTGGGCTCCTGGGTGTGCAGGTGCAGAGACTTGTCGTGTTGTCGCATCATTTCGCGAGGTCCTTTGCCAGCTGACCTCTCCGGCATGCTGAAGCTTATGCGCCCTTTAGGTCCGCGATCACAGACGATGCAGGACCAAATCTGAAGGGTTGCTGGTCAGTGGCAAGCCCAACTTCACGCGTCTGAGCTGCTGCTGCTGCTGCTGGTGCCGTTCTCGTGTCTTTTTTCGGGTGAGTTTGGGTGTTGAAGCTTTGTTCAATTGCCACCCTCCGCAGTCTGCTTCACTTCCATGCTTTCTTGCTGCAGCATGCATGATGAAGAGGTTGGGGAAGTCACCGAACACCAAAGCTCCTTTTTCTGCATGCGTGCGGACACGTGCATACATCTGACAGCAGAAGATGCGCATCCCAGCACATCCAACTGCTCATCATGCAGCTGTCTCGACTGACGCCAACCTACTTGTAGCGTGCCTGAGGGCCCACGAAGCCGCACATGCCTAAGGCCGCGTAAAAGGCTGAAGGTTGGGACGGCTGAAGTGTCAGACAGGCAGACCTTATAGTTGAAGTAGAGCTGCAACCGTCGGCTGCGCACGCCACTCCGCGCGTGTGTGCCTTCGCAGGAAAGGTGGCTCCGTGAGAGCGGTGCGACACATTTCAAATTGCCAAGAGCCGAAACAGGATGCATTTTTGGTTTCGGTGTTTTTCCTCATGAGCCCTTGGCCCTGGGTTCAGGCGAGTCGTACATTTGCGGCGTGGTTTTGGCTCAAGAGATCAGGGCCAAAGCGCTTGCGAAAGCTGACGGCCGGAGGTGTCTGCCTGCAGAGCTTATAGAGGTTTTCCCCCTCAAAATTCGCAAAGCAGGTTTGCTGTGCGAGCCACTCGAGGCCAATCAGTCAACTGAAGCAACAATGCCAACGGAAACACCCCATGCGGGTGTTTGCTCAGGTGCCGAAGTCCGAAAAAAGCACCCGATCGGTACAAACCGACAGCCGGATGGAAGGCCCCAATGTCTTGACGAGACGCGGAGCGGTAGTCGTAACCGTCGTTGTCGAAGGTATTGTGGACATGTGCAGAGCTCAGGGACTTCGAGCGAGCCAGTGACCAGCAGTTGTTTGGACATTTTTTTGCAATTGGTTGAGGAATTTCATCTCCGAGCCAGTTGCTCACAGGCCTCCAGATGTCCAGATCTTGGTTTTTGAAGCTACGGTCACTTTGCTTGTCATAGGGATCTCTGCTACACTGTGCTGTGTTGCTGTACAGCAACAGTGCTAGAGGTCATGCCCGGCGGAGCACCATCACCAAATGTGATGCAGCTGCAGCTTCCTTGAGCAGTTGCTGCACCATGTGGCCTTGTCTGGCATGCGATTTGTCGACCCCATGCAAACTACAGCATGCAAGGCCTGCTGGTTTCCTGACTCCGACCAGTCCTGATCTGCGATCAACTTCGCCGTTCCGATCCTTTGCAGATTTGCGGCGTCAACTTTCCTTGAGTGGATACCTGCCGAAGTGATCATGCCAAGGAATGGTATGGCCTGCGCCACGGGCTGAGAAATGCGGCAACAGTTGAAGGCGCGAAGGTGTGTTCTAGCTGGGCTGGGCCACGCAGGCAGTCGCCGACAAAGCCATTTGGACATCGCTTCGTGACAGCCTCAGCACGGAAGCATGGCAGTTTTGGCTCACCGCTCGAGCCGCGCAGCCGCACGAGGCCCGCTCCTTGAGTCCTCCAGTGCGGACCCCGTCACCCGCAGTGCGGCAAGGCATTGCCTTCGCACCAATCCCTTGCAGCTCGACCGCTGGAAGATTCAGAGACCAGGAACAGCTGCACTGCTGGCTTTGCACTTTGCCCTGCTGAGGCTGCGGTGGAACTCAGTGCATGAGTGGGGCGAATCGCGGAAGATCTCCTCCGCCACAACCCACATCGCCGAAAAGTCTCACCATTCCTTCGGCCTTGCCCACAGAACGCATTCATTCGGTGCCGCAGAGCATGGGCGACTTCATGCCTGGCCTTGCTAAGATCATGCGAGCAGCCAACCCCACCTCTCACGCTGGGGTTTTCGTGCCGATGAGCGACGGCTATCAAGAGCTCCTTGGCTGGGCACTGGGTTTTTCTGAGTAGCCTGTTCCTGGGGTCCTCGTTGGCCGAGGCAACCAATGGCAGAGCTGCTTTCTGGGCCACCTCCATCGGAGCCCATTTCAATGGCGCACGACGGCCCGCCAGGGCAAGTCGCGGTGCAAGTCTTCTCACCTGTCGAGGCGGCGCACGGGGCACAGGGCTTCGTCCCAACTGTGGGTTGTGGAGCTTCCCACCCCCACTCCCAGATGCAGGCGGTTCAAGAGGTCCAGGCGGCGCAAGCAGCTCACGCAGCGCAAGCAACACAGGTGGCGCAAGCAGCACAAGCAGCACAGGCGGCGCAAGCTGCCCAGGCAGCCCAGGCTGCGCAAGCTGCTCAGGCAGCAGCCCAGATGCAAGCTGTGCAGGGGATTCAAGCTGCACAGGCGGCTGCTGAAGCGGCACAAGCAGCCAGGGCGCAAACGGTCCAAACTCCAAACCTCCTGACGGCTCCGACTCCCTTCCTTCATGCGGCACAGTGCGGAGTCACTTTGCCGGCATCACCGGTACCACGGCCACTTAGCTGCGCTTGGTGCATAAGTTGACGACTGCGGACACGCCCAGTGCCTTGCAGTGCCCAGAGGCTCGTGCTGCCCGCGGGGCCCGCGGCGGCCCAGGCCCAAGCTGCCCAGGCTGCGGTGGGAGGCGCGCGGACGCGGATCTCACGCTGTCTCTGGCGAAGCACAGCAGCGGAGCCCGCTGTCAGGAAGCCCAGCAGCGAGTGTGTCCGGCAGCCCGCAGGTGGAAAACAGGCCACCATGCATCAAAAATCTCAGGGGGATGCTTGCCCTTGCAACAGAAGCCTGAGGCATGTGGCGCAGGGTGCTATGACCCAGCCCTCCCACCGCTGGGTCGCGTGCTGCTCAGATTCAGATCTGCGTTTTGCGAATGTCTGTTGGGTCCCTTTGCTGGGTTCGGGCCGGGGGTGACCTTCTCAGCCTGCTGGCTTTGTGACTTCGAGGGTTCGAGGCCGTGCGAACCTTTCTGACCTCGCCCAGTCTCCTTTGCACGATAGGAAGCCACTCTCGCAAGTAATTCCTTCTCAGTATCAGCCGAGACCCGGAAGCGTCGTTTTTGCATGTGGCAGCTCGGTGTTTGCCTTCAAGTCCAGTACCATCAGAGCCACCACACGCCCTAGCAAAGTGCTGGCTGGGCACCTGCAGCTTTTGCTCCCCCAGCCAACCCGAAGTCCCCGCTCAGCTTCACCTGAACTCGCAGTAGTGCAGTGTCAACCCCGTGGCCAAGGAACTGCCCCCTTTGCCAGGTGGGGCTGTGTTGGCGAGCTCAGTGCGGCGAGATTTTGCATCTTCTGCGGTGTGCCAACGGTCATCCAATGTCAAAACGACTGGTAGGCTGCTCACCCTGCTTTGCTCATCTCCGTTCGCCCGAGAGCCTATCGAGAACAAGGGCACAGCAACGAGCCATTCGCCATGGCTTTTGGTATCTTTATCCCCGAAAATCACCAGCAATGACCGTATATGCTCGTGTGCATTGAGCTGTCGACATACCATGCCGGGCAATAGCTTTGCAATGGCGCGCTGCGGGTGCTGCGATTGCAGCACAGGCCGCTGTTGCTCTGTGTCTCTTTGGGTAACTGGCTTCCATCTACTGTAAGTCTCAGCCCGCACTTTTCAAGCGGGGAAGGTTGAGGCTGGTCGAGTCAAGGATAGGATTTTTCCCCAAGGGGTCAGAGTCCTCTGGGCTTAGGCGCCGCCATGGAGACTTTGGGCATGTAGTCGATGAGAACCTTTGAGGAGGCAGGCCCAGCAGAAACTTCAATCTGCCAAGTTTGCAACTGCTGCGAGCGGACAGGCCCTGTCTTCCGATGCCTTCGCCAGTTTGCGGAGGTGCGTCGAGGCTGCGGTGTGGCGGCACTTTCAAGTAGGTGCAAGTAGATGTTACTTTTGAGACTTTGCTTGCAGGCCTCCGGTGAGCCGTGTGAAGGCAACATAATGCACACGTGGTGTCTTGGCTCAGACATGATCTCAGACATGTGGCGAGTGCTGCACCAATGCAAGAGCTACATCAAGGAACTCTTGGGAACGACAGCCAGACATGGAAGCGAAACAGAGGCACGACAGAGCTTCCATGTTCACTCGGGCGTAAGAAACTGAAGCTCCGCAAACAGCCGCGACTCTGATTCGGATTCTGTCGAAGTCTATACGCCAAAGGGGTTTCAGACAGGAACTTGTTCTCATTGTCACAGTCGCTGTGTGAGCAAAGCACGGCCCCAAGCACAACTTCTTGCCTCACGTTTGTCGGATGACAACTGTCTGGATTCTGGATTGTCCCGCGAGGATGTGAGCCTGTGCTTCTCGAAGTTGGCTTCAATGCGGGTCATTCCGTTTGCTTGATGATGCGACTCGGTTGAAGCACCAGGATTGCTGCAACCCACTGGCTTCAAGGCAGCATCTGAGGCTTGCAAACCCGAGAGCGAAGGTTGTTGCTTTCGACCTATGTGAGCACACGTACACCAAGCCTTGTGCGAAGGCGCGGTTTGACATGTGCACCGTGTCTGCTTTCAGGATCATGTTTCAGACGAATCGAGGTGCTGCAATCGATCTTCGGGCCGGATCGCTCGGGCCTTGGCTGGCAAGAGTCATCCCCGTCTCATTTCCAGACCGGAGGCCTACACCTGGTAGAAGGATCCAGCGGCACTACCCTGCTAATAGCTTAGTTGCTGCAGAAGCCGCGATGGTCAGGGTTACAAGTTTCGATCTCGCAGTCGTGCACAGGCCGGAGTACTACCAGCAGCATCCAAATGTGCGGTTCGACCTTTTCCACGTGGACGGCGGACATCAGCGAGGGTCTTACTTATTTCCTTGCCCCCGTGTCTTTCAGATGACGGTGGCCGACTGCGCCCGGATCTTATGATTGACATCTCTGGTCAAGCGCATCTTTCCGACTCTTTCAGGTACAGGCAAGCACTAGCAGACCTTGAAAGCTGTTACAGCCTAAGTTGCTGTCCAGGGTGTTGAGGCAAATTTGCTTGGCTTTGTTCTGTCAGACCTGGCTTGATGACTTGTGTGCTTTGCTCAAAGGGTGCAAGGTGTCTGACACCAGTTCAGACTGCACAAAGCTGATGTGCTCGGGCCACTCTCAGGGCATGGCCTCTCCGCTGGCCCGGAATGGATTGAGATTGAGTTGTTCCTGTCTTTTTGCATGGCTCGTCTCTTCCGATGCTGCTGGACATGCTCTCCATGAAATGCGTGGCATGGAGCACGCAGGGAAGATTATTAAGGAGATCCGCGCCGATGCCATGCGTGCCAAAGACGACTTCGAGGGGAGAAGGCTATCAGAAGGCTTTGAAGTACCACTCCGAGGTCTCTCACCAAAGCCCCTCTTGGATCAGATCGTGGACAAGTACGGGAGGTCCTTGCAGCACGATGCCCAGAGCTATGTTAGGGGCCGGAAAGACCGACGATTGGGTGGTGGGACCCTGTCGCAGTCCAATACCAACCCTGTCCGCATCCACTATAACTTTGACACGTTATACGAGGACAAGGTACAAGCAAACCCTCTCCTGCGTGACAGGTACTGTTTCAACGAGGGTGACTGGTACCGTGTGAATTTTCCCACTGAGCCAAAGCCCACAGGATCAGGCCCGGATGACTGCAACCGTGATGCAGTCGCAATGGAGATCTTGACTCAGGACAAATGGTGCCGATGCACAGCTGAGGATGTAATCACTCCGACTTGGCGCGATTTTGTCATTGATGCAGTTCACAAGCACGGGGCAGACATCCCCAAGTACTTAAATTTGAAGCCGGTGCACGGGAACTTAAAATTCCAGAAATCAGAAGGCTCCTTTCCATCGATGTGGAGAACCACCAATCAGTTGGGCAGCTACTGCAGTGCTGATTGTGTGAAAGGTTCGCATGTTGCAGTTCCCGAGACCAGATGAGACATTAATGCTTGTCGTTCTGGTGTTTATCTGTCAATATCTGTTAATTGTGTTGTTTATTCTCAAAAGCAGTCTTTCTAAAGTGTGATCTGTTCGGTATCCGATGCCCTAAGCCCTAAGCGCCTGCAGAGTCCGAGTCGCGACAGTCCAAACAGAGGCTTCAGCCCTTCCAAGTGGTAGCCGAGCAGCCAAGGATGCACTCTGCGAAGAGGGCGTCCAGGCGGACGTCGTGCTGAGCATTGCTGGACCGTCTCCAGTGCCTGGTATTGGCGGCACTGGAGGCTCATGCTCTACAGATCAGAACGGAAGGCCTATCCACATTGTTTTCAATTGGTACTCCAGATATGACTTTTCTTCAATACCGCGCGAGACCTTGATGTCATCTGCAAGGGCATTGGTCATACACGAAGTGTTTCATGGACTGGGCTTTGGCTCACGTGCATGGTTGAATGCCTACGGAAGTTCAGGGGAGCGCCGTACTCTCCTGGAACAGAGATGCTTGGATTGAAACAGATTTTGAAAAAAATGCTATGCAGAAGCCAAGCCCTGACATCAAGCCAGGAAGAGTGGTTGATGCTGATGGAGCCGAAGATGTGGTGTATCATTTTGTCAAAGGGACCCGCACATACGAAGTTGCCAAAGCCTTCTTCGGCTGCGATGACGATGATGCATGGCAGGGCTTGCCGTTGATGAGTTGGCCACCATATGGTCGTGACTCGCATCACGAGACAAGAGTGCTTCGAGACGATGTCATGGCCTACGGAAATGGTGATGCAGTCTCGGCCGTTACGCTGGCGGCCTTCGAGGACATGGGCCACTATCTTGCTAACTACAGTCGCTTTGCTGCACTGGATGTGCCACATCCAGCCTTGACGCCGATCTCGCCGATGTGAGGCAATGCGGACTGTGTTCACTGGGGACAGGGCCGCGGGTGTGCCTTTGTTAGCAGCAGATGTGGCGAGAGGTGGGCCGCAGTTGCCCTTTGCCCTGTCTGCCCTGGCTGTCGGGTCGCCTCGACTCTGCGAGGCCATCGGTGCAGACGGTGACGGGGCTGGCCTCTTCCAGGTGTGACCGAACGTGGAACGCAGCTGCTCGGCTGAAGCTGTTTCCTGGCCAGGCCGGCTAGGCGGCTAGGCGTCATGGCGGCGTGAGAATGCTATGCTATGCCCAAGGCAAGCAGCACGGACCAAGCCTTGGCGAAGTGTGTTCCTGGCTGCACGGGCAGCAGCCGAATCGAGAATGGAAAGTCATTGTGTGATGTTGAGTGCTTCACAGGCGAGGCTTCTTGCAATTGTTGCAATACGAAATCCAGTGGTCTGTGCGATAGTTTTCTTTTGGCGTCAGGCGATGCGAGCGTGCTCGACAGTTTGGGGTATTCATCCTGCAAAAATGCGCCGGCCGGCGAGGTGGCGTCAGCAGGCCAGAACGAAGCACTGCCGACCAAGTGCATGGGTGTCGGGCGTTGATGCAGTGGCCAGGTCCAGAGAAATGGGCCAACGAACTGCTTGATCATGCTTCCAATCTGAAAGAGTGCCAAGAAGATTTCATGGGTGATCCTTGCATGCGAGCACTGCTTGGGCTGTTGCTTGGCGAAAGTGAAAAGCTGGCAAGTTCGTCTGCAGACTCCAGTTCTGCCCGAATGGGCTGTCAATGTTGTCCCAACGTGAGATGATCGAAGCTGCAGGTCCTGGGTCGTTCTGATCCCAATTAACATCTGCTTCTGGGGCCTGTGCTGCAAGAGCTGCCTCTGCCCTTCTGGGCGCCAGGCAGGATAGCTGGTACTCGGGAGAGACGAAAGAAACTTTTATCTTTCTTGATGGGATAATGTGCGGGGACAGGAGAAGTCCAAGAAGATGTTCTACATCCTCACCACCATTGTGCTCATCTGTGGGCTCATAGCTGCCGCTGCCTGCGGGTTTGTGCTGCACAATCAAGAGGCGCGCGAGCTTCTCAAGAAGACCAATGCCAGCTTCCGTGTCAGCAGGTCATCGAAGGCTACATGAGCACCACTGCGGTCTACGTGGTGCTAGCTGCCGGTGTCAGCCTTGCTTTGTTGGCTGGCCTCGGGATCTACGCCGTGAGGCACCGTGGACGAAGCATACCGTGTGAGGGCATGCAGCTGTTTTCGTGTTTTGACGACAGTGAGGAAGGGCTACCGCTGCCTGATGACAATCTATCTGCTGATTGGTGTGGTCATGCTCATCATATTCATCTGCACAGCGGGCTTGTTCGCTGCTCGCCGATCAACCAATGTCACAGTCGCATGACTAGAACCGTGGTGCCAGCACCATGTCGCTCTTGCAGGCCAAGTATGCGCAAGATGTGGATGGCCTCAGCCGAAGTTCCTTGCAGGCGCAGCAAGCTGGCTTGCAAGGCGGTGTTCATAGGCGACCCCTGGCTCCGAGCCCGAAAAAGCTGGAAGCCTATTGGCAACAGCATTTGCGGAGAATTGAAATGCCAGGCTGGTGAATCTGGTGGGACCTGGTCAGATGAGGGAGCCCACTCAGCCGCCTGGCAACCTTTTGCATTGACAGCAAGCATGTCGATTGTGTTGACTTCTGACTTGTGCTTTGCACAGCATGTGCGCGACCAGGACCTATATGCTCGCATGGAATCTTTCGCTTGCCGAACGTACCAGACATGCTGCTTCGATGCAGCGCATGATTTGACGGCACGTGGGCGGGAGAGAAAAGCAATGGTCAGGCTGCGA